ATTTATTTCTTTATTAATTTTATTGGGGTTTTTTTTACGGGCGGCCATATAGTTAGTACGTATATAACTACAGTGCGATGGTAAAATTTAAAAGGAAATGCAATTATTGAAAGGAAATATAAACTTCCTAGTCAGCGGCACACAAAAAATTCGCAAAATTAATTTTTTCCCCAAATAGATCTGTATGTGATTGGCCTCGTAAAAAGTACGTTTACAGCATTAAAATTTTTTTCTTGACAAACTGAAAAGGAATTATTTTTAGCCCTCACAATTGCTTTCATTTTATTTAAGATTATCAAACCAACCTTTCACAATCAGGATAAGTACACTCAGAACTTCGGACCTCGTTTGCATCTGCTTCCGTTCCTTCTTCATTGGTACCATGGGTGGAGGTAGATGTTGCCTCTGGCTCAGTTTCTTTTGACACCTCTTTAAAGTAAAAATAACAACAGAATGATTAATACTAAATACTATAGTATAGTAACAATTATGTCTATAAGCACTGCTGGAAAATATATGGCCTATAACAAGCAATTTCAAAATGGGGAAAGGGGGAGGGGACGAGAGGAATGACCAAGCCTTCCATGTTCCATTTTCCAAATGTTCATTGATTTTATAACAATAGAATTTAAAAAAAAGCATACAGGCCCACTACCTGCCGTTCTACAATCAGGAACAAGGATTTACACTGTGATATACCTGAATTAATTTAAAATCATTTCTAGGTGGATCGAGAGATTTTTGAGAAGGATCAATTGAAAGTTGGTGTTTTACATAACTGAACTAAGATCTGAGCGTGGCATTTTTGTTATATTTAGAGTACGAGTTTCCAACTGTATCGGAGATACAGGGCGGGGCTTGAGGCGAGAGCGATAGCTCGAGCCGGGCCCCGCCCTGTATCTCCGATACAGTAGGAAACGAGTATTCTAAATGACTTGTGACATGACCTTTCCAATGACCTCACTAATTTACATGCGTATTTGGGTACATATCTCTCAACCAATCAGATGATTTTGCAGAAAGTTGATTTAGTATCCCATTTTAAGCATTCGCAACTGAAATACCGAGAGAGGTGGACGTGCAGGTATTTATCATTTTAAAATAATTATTTAGGGGATGCATTATATAATTAAAAAAAAAATAAATTTAGATTTGATTGCGTAGGTTTTTTTCTCTATTCGGATGTTGCCGACATTTTTATTTGGATTTAAGCTACGATTTAATGCAAAACATTTTAATATATAAGAATCATGTGGGAGTGTTTTTGAAACAAAAATACTTCGGGGAAAACGTATTCTGAGAGAAATGTCCGACGATGTCCTCCACCTGTCGTAAGATAAAAAAATTGAAATAAATAGATTAAAAGAAAGCGGGGGGAGGAGGATCGAGTATTTTACCTTCATGTTTTTGATAAAATGTAGAGTAACGAAAGGGGATCCCAGCACTCACTGGTGCCCCCAACTCAAACCTTGTGTGAGTTTTTTTTTTCGATTTCGTAAATGATTTTTGCTAAACTTGTATACATACGCTTTTTAATTTATCAAATGATTACTTTTACCCCCCCCCCCCCCGCAATGGAAAATGGATCAGGTAATGAAGAGAAAAGAAAGTCATAAAACCTTTTGAAAATAATACCAAGGAATATTAAGGAAAGCATCATCACGAAACTAAAATCGTGCGGAGGAAGATGGGGTGTTGAAAGATGGGGGCCCATGGGGCGAAGCCCCCGGAAGCTCCTGGATTGTTGAGATTTTATAGGGTAAAGATGAGGTCTACCGAGTAGACATTTTTACATTTTCTCGACGAAACTAGGATTTACGCTAGCTTTGACAATTTAAGGGGGGCGCGCGCCGGGTGCACCCCCCCCTTAAATCCGCCACTGCAGTCGTTTTACCGGTAACGAATATTTGCTAGTATTGAATATTTTTTTTACTTGAATATTTTTGAAAAGCATGGAGACGGGTTTAAAAAATCTTACTGGGTAAATAGAATAAAAGGATGCATATTCTATAGGCTACCTGTGTTGTGTTTTTGTGATATCTGCATGATTATTTTCCACAGTATTTGCAGTTTGAAACAATGACCTAGATTTTTAGCACGCGGAAGTGAGATGAGAAAAGTGAAAATATTTTTTAAAAATTCCATGAAAATTATGTCTCGGAGATAGTTGATTAAATTTCAATAACGCATGTCACTATTAAAAGTTTCTCATAAAATGCTACATTTTTCATATTGTTTAGTTTTAGAAAAAATATCATTTAATTCAACAAGCAATGCTTATAAACTTTAGGTACAATCTTTTTTATTGTATATTTCTCCAATAATTTCGACCAACCGATTTTATCCATAAGTCAGCAACAATAGAGGGCACTTGATTCGATACTGAAAAATTGATTCTAAACTAGGAAAATAAGGGGAGGGGTATCATTTTTGACAGCTCTGTACCTGTACCATTCATATTTCGTAAATTTTGGTACCACCTTTTTGAAGAGATTAAAAATACAAATTAAACTTGACAATAACAAAGAAAATTTGGAAATTCAAAGATGTGAGTTGTGTGCAAGTCGTAACTAGAAACTTATTCGTTACTGGTAAAATGTACATGTATATTTTATTTGATATTTAGTCTTTATAATTTGAAAAATAATTGATATCACTGTTTATAACATGTATGTACATATCTAATGATCGGGGTGTCGAATGACGTCATATTCATAGCTGTGTGACGTATATCATGCATAGGTCTATTGTATAATGTTATAGGGAGAGAGAAAGAGAGAGAGAGAAAAAAAAACTGTGTGTGTGTGTTTTATCACCTGCATTTCAACTGAAATGGACTGGCTACGTCGAGTGGTTCTCTCCAAATCATCTCTCAGTAAATCAGCAATAAAATTGAGTGATTCTCGCTTGAAACGGAACCTGGACCGAATTTGTTTATCAGAGAGATCGGCCATATCTACTCTTTTTCGGTAATTTCGCTTTTTCTGTTCCTCATACAAATTTCCAAACAAAAGTAAATCCGCCATTTTTGTTTTTAATGATTAGTTAAGTATTTAATGTACCTTGTATACCTCTATTAAATCTGTCAGTTAAAATAGAAGTTTAACTAACGTTTAACTGTGAGTTAACTTTCGTGCAACGCATTTAACTCGCCGTTAAATTTAACTAGCCGTTAACGTAAAGTTAACGGCTAGTTAAATTTAACTAACGTTCGTGCAACCGAATCCTGATGAACGTTTATGTTGTTTTATTTAATATAAATCCTTTTAAAAACTTTTTTTTCTTAAATTTTGGTTATTATTTGTATAATGTTTTAGTAAAGACATAAAAATTGCTTATATTTTGTTTTTACAAACTTTTATATTCATTTCAATTTTGCTACAGTGTAATGACCTGATATGTAATGACCTGATGACAAGATATGTTATTTGCGTATCAGAAGATATATACCAGTAAAGTAGCAAATAGAAAGGTCTTTTTAAATTTTATTTTAGTTAGTCTGAACATATCAAAAATACGCCATATATGACTTAAAATGAAAAGCGATAACACATATCATTAAAATAATCTAAATAAATAAAAGAAAAGGAACAACCATTGTTCTTTTTTCTGCCTAATACAAACTTCTTAAAGAGAAGCCTTAATTATTCTTTATTCTTGTAATTTACACGCTTTAGAATTTTTTTTTTTTACATAACTGAACTTTATTTTAGTCTTTTTTTTTTCCAAAAAATGTCGATGTTGAAAAATGAAAGTGGTTTTATTTTAGCTGTGAGAAATTTGTTATAAAGTATTTTTTAAATAAATATATGTATCTTACATTTTCTGTATTTTATACATGTATGTACATAATAACAAAGTTAAATGTGTTTTGTGTTTGTTTATCAATTCACACGAGTCTTGGTTTACTATGTTGACTGGGATTACACAGGTGACATACAGAAGCCATATCCAGGGGATTAATTGGGTAGGGGATATACACATGTACAAACAAGGGGGCAGTGTCTCTTTGACACTATGAATACTGTTTTGTTTTGAACATATTTTATTGCATAAACAAAAGGATTGCAAACAAGTTCTTTCAACTTACGAGTTCCTCTCCTTAAATATAACTATATGTCGTGCAATTAAAATACATGTAGTACATTGAAATGTAGAAGTTCGGGCTTTACGGACCGTGGATATCGGCCTGGATAGCTCAGTGGTTAGAGCACCTGACTAGTAATACAGGGGTCCCGGGTTCGATTCCCGGTCCAGCCATATGTTTTCTTCGTGCATTTCTCCTTTCCTACTACATTTGGTGGCCAGTGTGGGGGGCTTTGTTCAGGTTACAGTGTATGTGTAAATTAGTAATTCCTGGCAGGGCCCTAGAACTTGTGTCTTCGAGGTCGAAGAATGTTTAAGGAGGGAGGAATGTAGAAGTTCGGGCTTTACGGACCGTGGATATCGGCCTGGATAGCTCAGTGGTTAGAGCACCTGACTAGTAATACAGGGGTCCCGGGTTCGATTCCCGGTCCAGCCATATGTTTTCTTCGTGCATTTCTCCTTTCCTACTACAGAAATATAAATACACACGAGATACAAGTGAAATATTTTACTGGAAGACCTCGATTCGGTACTTTCAGTACTTTGATTTGTAAAAAGTGGGCCAAACTGTAAGGTCAAGAGGTCATTTTTGTGGTACTCGACGAAAAGTCTTGTCACAAGGAATACACCTGTGAAATATGAATGATAAAGCCCCACCCACTCGAAAGTTATCAGCAGGTTCAACTTTTCGCGGACAAACAGACGGACAGGGCAAAAACTATAATCATACTCCCAAATCTTCGACTACGGATGCATAAAAAATAATATATAAGAATATGTTTGGATATTTTATAACATGCATATCTGCGTGTAGGCCTACACACTGCTGTGTGCATGCATGTTTGCTTAGTATTTCATCGGGATCGGGATTCCATACCATTAAAGTGTTAAGTGAAAGTAAATGTAATCAGAAAATTATTAATTCCCTAATACAGATTGTAATTTGTCTAGTATACAATATAGTATGTATTTGCATATAGGAAATACAGATAATTTGTTTTATTCCACAAAATGATAAAATACAAGTCCACTATTTTTGGTGTTGGGAATTTCCCTCATGGATTTTCCCTTTTTTTGGAAGAATCGAGAAGACTGCCAGTTAGGTAGGCTACAAATTTCACCGACTGAACACAGGGGCTCGTCACTAAATATATACCTTCTTTTTACAGAATTACTGTCATTACCCCCACTATAAAAATGCACCAAAAATACAAATAATGTCATATTATGTAGAACGTATGAAATTATTTCGTGACAAGCCCCGGCCCTGTGGACTGAGCACTCTTAACTTGTCATGGTACATTGTTTCAAAAGTATAAGTTTCACCTAAGTTCAGGGATGATGCATATAACTATAAGCTGAATGTACATGGAATGGGGTTGATGTAATAGTATTTTATAACAATATATAACAAACCCATTATGACTACCTGTGGTTTGGACTTACAACTCAAATAAACATATCAGTCATGTCATTGTAGCCTAGTGACAGTAGGGCATTTGCTTTGTAATCCAAAGGCAGATTAAGTGCTGTGTATGAATAGTATGGTCAAAATTTGAAACCTTCACTGGTAAAAAGTGACATCTCTGTATCATTTGAGTGAAAGTTCTCAAATTAGACTTGTACTGTAAAAGCACAAATATTCGTGGGGGATTAAATTTTGTTTATTTCATTGTTAACAATTATCAATGAAATTATATCCCACTCAAATTTTGTATGACTGTATATTGAATTGGGTGAAATACTTTCTAAACAACAAAATTAAATCAGGCGCATAGCCAGCATGGAAATGAAGTGTACGCAGAAAATGTTCAAGGGTCTGGGGCCGCCCTTAGGCCCCCAGTGGGTCCAGGGCTTCGCCCTGGTGGGGGCCCAGGCCCCCGGAAGCATCCTGGATTTTACGAAATTTTTTCCCGCAAAAGAAATCACGCTACATCTATTCTCGAGCAAATACGTAGCTAAGTGCTTCCGTGGGTACTTCAGAAAGAGAACAATAATTTAATCAAATTATTTTACAGATATATTCGTAAATGCATTTTTGACAAAAGTTTCCAAGTGTTACAAAATACAACAGAGAAGTAATTTCAATACTTTTTTTACTTTCATATTCTGATAGCTTAAACAAGGTGAGAATGCTTAAACATGTTAAATAAAAATTCTATAAATTGGTAACATCAGTAAAAGAAGATTTACATACATGATCTATATTATTATTTACTTTGTTCAATGTAATGAAAATTTACTATTTTTAGCTCACCTGCGCCGAAAGCTCAAGTGAGCTTTTCTGATCACATTTTGTCCGTCGTCCTTCCGTCCGTCGTGCTGTCTGTCCGTCTGTAAACTTTTCACATTTTCGGCTTTTTCTCAAGAACCACTGGGCCAATTTTGACCAAACTTGGTACAAAGCATACTTGGGTGAAGGGGAATATAAATTGTTAAAATAAAGGGCCAAGTCCCATCACAAGGGGAGATAATTAAGAAAAGACAAAAATATGGTGGGATCATTAAAAAATTTTCTCAAGAACCACTGGGCCAGAAAAGCTGAAACTTATGTGGAAGCATCCTGGGGTAGTGTAGATTCTAAATTGTTCAAAACATGACCCCTGGGGGTAGGGCGGGGCCACAATGGGGAATCAAAGTTTTACATAGAAATATGTAGGAAAAATCTTTGAAAGTCTTCTTCTCAAGAACCACTGGGCCAGAAAAACTGAAACTTATGTGGAAGCATCCTGGGGTAGTGTAGATTCTAAATTGTTCAAATCATGACCCCCGGGGGTAGGGCGGGGCCACAATGGGGATTCAAAGTTTTACATAGAAATATATAGGAAAAATCTTTAAAAATCTTCTTCTCAAGAAACACTGGGCCAGAAAATCTGACTCTTATGTGGAAGCATCCTGGGGTAGTGTAGATTCTAAATTGTTCAAATCATGACCCCCGGGGGTTGGGCGGGGCCACAATGGGGAATCAAAGTTTAACATTGAAATGTATTGGAAAAATCTTTGAAAATCTTCTTCTCAAGAACCATTGGGCCAGAAAAGCTGAAACTTGTGTGGAAGCATCCTGGGGTAGTGTAGATTCTAAATTGTTCAAATCATGACCCCCAGGGGTTGGGCGGGGCCACAGGGGGAATTGAAGTTTACATTGGGGAATCAAAGCATCCTATGGTAGTGTAGATTTCAAATTATTTTAATTATGATCAGTGGGATAAGGTGGGGTCACAATATGTATTACAAGGGGGAAATCTGGTAAAGAACAGAATGGTCAAAGCTTCTCAGGTGAGCGATGTGGCCCATGGGCCTCTTGTTTTTGTTTAACGACATTTATTCATTACCCCGACGGAAATTGAAGATCTTATATAGTCGTACAACGGATTAACAGTTGAACATTCTGGTTCAAAAATATTTGCTTCCTCAAGAATTTTGGAAAATGTTTTTGGAATTGATTTTATAAAAGACTTTGAGTTTGATTGTACAGACATCTGAACAAAATTTGAATCGAAACAATAAGATGCAAAATAATTTGAAACACGGATCATAGTGCCTGAATAGCCTGGTTCCCGAGGCCTTCCGATTGTGCAAGCACAGAAGCTTGCACAATCGGAAGGCCTCGGGAACCAGGCTAAGTGCCTGAATAAAAATAATAAATTATTTCTCTTTTTAATTTCTCTTTCTTTTTTCTATCGATCTTTTTTTTTTTCTTTCGATCTTTTTTTTTTTTTTTGAAAATGATGTGTACGCACTGGCGTACTTGCGTATAGGCAGCTATGTGCCTGTAAATGCCTAGGAATCTATTCTTATAACAAATCAACAAAATTTTATCCCCATGAAAATTTGTGCTTCTATGGTATTTAAAATTACCATGCAATCATTCAGTCAACATATATCAGTGATGTCAGCTTTCAGCATGCTGAAGTTCAAACAAACATATGAGATGTTTAATTTTAATTTTCATGATGTTTTACAGATGAAATCTTGTGAATGATAAAATAGTCAAGATCAAAAGACTCAAGAGGGTTTCGGCACATTCCTAAAGGACTTGCTTCAAATCTTGCAAGTGAACGATGGGTAAAATGACAACCACTCTGACTTTGATGCAGGGAATATTATTTATATTCCAAGTAAGTGATCATAAAATTACTAAATGAATATTAAAACAATTTTATTCACCAAAAAAGGAAATAAAAGTACATGTAATTCAGAAGACTTTTAAATTAAATTATTGGGCATATTGAAATTTCTTGTTATTTTGCTTATAATAATTTAATATCCAAATTAGTCCCTCACATATAATTTACCATGGTAAGGAGAAAATCTAACACTTTATTGTTTTGATTAATATACCCCACATGCTACTTATTAAGGTATACATGTACATGTATTTACAATCACTGAATATTATATCATTTAGTTCTGAAGAAAACTGTTGCTGTTTATCACTTTTAATAGTGAACAGCAAAACCCACCGCAAACATATAGATGTAATATATACAGATTTCTTGAGCAGTGGCTGTATTCCATCAATGAAACATACAGTGACAGCTTATGTGGTTTATGCTTTTTATTGCAATAGCTGCAATAAGAAATAAAAAAGCATTTTATGTTTAAGTAAACTTTGGGACAACTACATGTAGGAGAAGGGGTTTTCTTTTGTTCTTGCTTGATAATTTGTACTGGTATGTCCAGTGATCCAAATTATTACTAAGAACCTCAAGGGAAAATGAACTGATAGTATACATTTTTTGATAGTTCATATTTTTTATAAAGGAATTGCACAAATAGTAAAAAAAATGAGGACTATAAAACTAAAAATAAAATCCTCCAAAAAATATAACCATTTTAGTAATTTTTATTTTGTAGATACTACAAATTTGTGCCTGCCCTGTTGGATATAAAAGTAGAGATGATGGTACCTGCTGCAAAACAAGGAATTGTTCACGAGGTTTGAAATCCTTCTAATCATCTCCACTATTGCATAAAATGCTGTATTGTTTAACTTTAGACCATCACTAAAAATATTTTTGTTTGATGTACTCCGTCCCACTTTATTTAAGGTGGGTAGGTAGGTAGGAAGTTTTTTTTGCTTTACAGAATTCGGCAAAATGATGCCCGTCATATAAATCACAGACTCAGAAATTTTTTGTTGTTTTCATTACACACTGGATATAGCTATACATGTATTGATTTATAATTTATTGCCATAAAATTTTCAATTAAAAAGCATCCTATACTTTGTCTAAGTACTATGGAAACTGAAAAAAAAATTCAGTGTTGAAAAAAATGATTGTGTAGCGACGATTTTGATGGGTCGGTTGGAGTACCTAAAACAAATCATTTTTTATTGTTGGCTTTTTTTGTTACTCCAAGTACCAGTTGTAACTAAGATTGATTATTTGATAAGTAAAGTCCACATTTTCGTGAATGTTGCAAGATAACCTCCGAGGTTGACAAATGTAGTGTGAAATATTAAAGTTGAGGCTTTATTTCAAGCAAAAATATGTATGTAAGCTTACATTTGATCACAGGAGTTCATGTACCTAACAATTTTGCCAAAATTTTCGGTAAATAAAAAAAATACGTTATACCTATTATAATAACACAAGGAGTGCAACGCATTTTAGGTCACCTTGGAACCTCTCGCTTAATATCAAGGCTGTCGCACAATTAATCTTCAATCGAAAATTATAAAACACAAACCAATCTTTTTGGAAGGGACCATTCTTTATGGCTCTTAATGCATATGATTTCAAATGCATGTTTTACAGCAGCAGCGGTGACATTTCTCCACAACTTCGCTCAAATATCCGTTGTCCGCGATGCCATGACGTGACGTCACAGGCGCGTCCATGTACCCAAAAAGGAACAAAACTGCCTGAAATGCTAATCTAGATGATTGAGGTCATATGTGAAAAGAAACCAGAGACAATTTAGTAGACATTCAAGAAAATTTAAAACGGGGAGGTACAAGTACTTGTACTCGTATCTTAACGTAATATCGTTATCTCTAGTTAATTGTTTATGATTGTTTTTTTTTTTGTTCCATTTGGGTAAATAAACCGCCCGTGGCGTCACGTCATGGCGTCGCGGACAACGGTTGCACTCCTTGTGTTATTATTATAGGTATTACGTATCTTTTTTATTTACTGAAAATTTCGGCAAAATTGATAGACACACGAACTCCTGTGATTTGATTCCCTAAGACAGAAAATATAACACTTGTTTGTTAAAATTGTATGTGTTGCAAAGTAACTAAAGAAGCCCATCTTAGATTTGGTACTTTGCATGACATATTTAAGCTAGCTCTCCCTATGTAGCGGTTAGGTTAGCTCTCCATTCAAGATTGTAACTTTATGTAGCACCTACGCTTTTGAACACGCCCTGATGGCCTGATATTTGCCAAGATCATTTTGGCAAGTTTTTATGACAAGTTTTAGATCACACCCGGAGAAAAACTTCTTGAACCTTTTTATTATAATTTATTTTGGCTTAGTATTTTCTACTAATGTTTTGTGCTCATTCTTAAAAGAAGATGGATGTGTTTGGCGTGAGATTCATAGGAAAAATGTGTACAAAAAGGTTTTAGTTTAAATATATATATCTACGATGTGGGCGGTGGATTACAGCTGAACAATCTTTACAAAGTTATGCACATGGGAAAAAGCACCCTCATTCTTAAAGTTTGAGATTATCCTTGTAATCTTTGATCCTTAATGATTTTGTTGTTGCTATAATTTCAGGAGAAGGGTACTCGTTTTGTAAAGGTACAAGTGAAAATCCTGGTGAAGATGTCTGCTTTAGGTGTCCAAAAGGGACTTATAATATAGATGCCATCAACACAGCTGATATGCCTGAGGTCTGGCAAGTCTGTGTTCCACAAGATTGTTCTTGCGAGCTTCGTAAGTATTTTGTGTAAAAGCAACACAGACAATTGTAATATTTGAAGAAAATTTGGCCAATACCTGTACACAACTTCAAAATTAGGCCATTTTAGTAAAAAAGATTGTCATCTCCCAACTCATAATACATGTACTGGTATTTGAGAGTGAGTATGTATGTATTAATATATCTTTTAAAAAGTTATATACAGTAAAATACTCATATTTAAATACCAAGGACAGATGATTTTGCTTCATTATAAGTGTACGGTAATTCGTTATATCCAATAAGTTTAACATATATTTTAAAGTCAAAGGGATCATTAATATCACTTTGCTGTAAATGACAGTTCATTGTTAGTATCTTTGCTTTCAGCAAAGGTTTTGGGGCAATAATTTGTCATGTCAAAACTACTTTAATGAAAACCACTGAGACTTTTAAGAGATATTTTGATTTTATTCATTAGCTGGAACAATTATTGAAAATCTGACAGCTTGTGAAGCCGGAGAACAGAAGATTTGTGTCTGTGACAGAAGTCAGCTTCGCTATGGACTTGATCCAATGATTTGTAGTAGAGTGGAAGATCCCAAAGATATTGCCAGCATCCATCGACCTGGATTCGAGCTCACCCTCACCGGTAATATCATAATAGATCATGGGCTAAATGCGGCCTTAAGTTATATAAAAAAGAGAGTTATTCTAATGGCTGCATTTCATTTCTGGAATTTGTTGTAATTATCAACTTCTCATTTCCGACATTTTTTGTTTTCATTTCTGTCAGTTTTAAGATAGTACCTTTAGTAAAAGATTTGAAGACTTACCTATGAAAAAATTAAGTTCTTTGTGGAGAAGTACCGGAACTTAAAAACTCGGTTAGGGTACATCAAATGTCTTGGATACTGTAAAATCACATAGTTTCGTGGGGTCAAATTTTGGTTTTAGGAAATTCTCTTGGTTTGTAGGGATTTGATTTCATGGATCAAGAATTAATGAGTCTAATGTATGTAATATTTTACATTTCTTGGTGGACATGAATTCGTGGGTCTCATCATACCTCAAAAACACGAAAATTTGTGATTTCACAGTATATTTTTGGTGCTATCACTGACATTTAATTTAGTGCACTTTGTGTGCTACATGTAAGTATAATTTTTGTAAACATGTACATGCACATGTATGGTAGATGGATGTTTACAGTTTTAATCAATATTTTGCAATAAATACTTTTAAAATTTCATTTTCAATCACTTGGAAAACATTAAATTGTCGCAAAGGTAAATTCCGGGAATGAAAAAAAATGTCGGAAATGAAATTTAAAAAGGTCCGAAATGAGATTAAAAAAACGTCTGAAATGCTATGCAGATTTCCGCAAATGAAGTGCAGCAATTCTAATATTTTTGAGTCACTCAGGTGCCTTAAATTATTGCAGAATTGTCTTCATTTTTAGTAACCCTACATTAATTATGTACAGGTATACATGTAAATATAAACAATGAAATTTCTTTCTATGTAACTATGTTAGCATGGGTCTAAACTTTGCAGCTATTGCAAAAAAAATGATGCATTTTTCCTGCAAAGCTGCAACATTAATTCCTGTACTAACATCCAAAGAAAGCATTTTATTTTACCTCCCTCCAAAAGAGAGGTGGTATACTGTTTTATTTACCCTTGTGTTTCTGTCCATACTTTAGAAGACTTTTTGTAAGGTATGGCATATAGTGGGATTCATGTTTGTTTTGAATTCAGTGTCAACTTCCTCTTTATCCATGTGCTTGTCCATCCAGAATTTCAATCACAGTTTTCTCAAGAGCTACTATGTGCAAATGTTTGAAATTCTAGAACAATGTTAAGGCATGTCCTATGTGGGATTCATTCATTGTCAATTTCCTGCTTATCTATGTGTCTGTCTATACCAAATTTTTATTGCAGTTTTCTTAAAACCAACTCATTGCAGATGCTTGAGATTTTAGCACTCTTTTTCTTTGGCACGTTTGTATGAATTAGGTCAACCTGAGTGGGTATGTTTTTACATCAGAGCGGAGGTATTATCTGAGAGAATTTTCTCACAGACTTGTTGTTTATTAATAACTGATGGTTTTGTAGGTTGTTTTCTCTTTGTGACAATGACTTAATAATAAATTGGTGAGTTTTAAAGAGAATCAATGGCATGCATGACATTAGGAATAAAATTATTTTGCCTTGTGTTGTATGCTAACATGACATGAGATGGGAAAAGGGCAGACAGCCCCTTGGTTGCATGAAGACTTAAATTTAACTGGATTTTTAAAACTGGTTATTAGTGAAATTCTCAATTATATAGTCATAACCTTTAATATCATTTATACACGGGGTACATATTTTGGCATTACATATATTGGGTATTGTTGAGTTGAATTTAATAATGCAAAAATAATTAGATTTTAACATTATATTGTTAAATACAAAATATTTATTACCATGTACTCAGCAGATTTGAAATACATGACATGTATCAATAGAATTTTTCCAAATTTGGTTTTCATGGCAATTTTTGCATGTTGCATTTGATACTTTTTGATTTATAATAGATGTTTACCAAATTGATATAGACCTTTGAATTCTTTTTTGCATTCTCCTATTTCTTTTGTTTTAGGAAGTGTAGAGAAATGTAGAAAAGGATATTACAAACCTAAAGTTAATGACAATATCTGTGTGCCCCATCAAAAGTAAGTAGACTCTAATTTTTTTTAATATATTTGACTATATTCTATTAACATTTGTTTAGTGAGCTTAGTGATCTTTGATTATCTTTGTTTTCACCATCTTCTACATGCAGTAATATATCAGTCAAGAGTTAATTAAAGAAAAACTGTCTGTGCCATTAATGTACAAACCACTATATACTAGTAACAGAAATTAGATCCTTCATGTTTCAACTTTAATCTTGATAAACCAAGGAAGGAACATAGTTTGTTGTGTTATGTAGTACATCTGATCACATAAGTATACATTTAGCATGTGTTGTTGAGATGCATGATGTTTTTAGCTCACCTGAGCTGAAGGCTCAAGTGAGCTTTTCTGATCACTTTTTGTCCGGCGTCCGTCTGTCTAGCTGTCTGTCCGTCTGCCTGTAAACTTTTCACATTTTCGACTTCTTCTCAAGAATTGCTGGGTCAATTTCAATCAAACTTGCCACAAAGCATCCTTGGGTGAAGGGGATTCAAGTTTGTTCAAATGAAGGGCCAAGCCCTCATCCAGGGGGAGATAATTGGGAATTAATGAAAATTTGGTGGTATGCTTTAAAAATCTTCTTCTCAAGAACCACTGTGCCAGGAAAGATGAAACTTATGGGGAAACATTTTCACATAGTGTAGATTCAAGTTTTTTTCAAATCATGACCCCTGGGGGTAGGGCGAGGCTACAATGGCCGACCAAAGTTTTACATATTAGAAATATATAGGAAAATTCTTTAAAAATCTTCTTCTCAAGAATAGCAAAGCCATGATTTATCACATTTATATGGAAGCATCCTCAGGTAGTGAAGATTCAAGTTTGTCCAAATCATGACCCCCGGGGGTAAGGCGGTGCTACAATGGCCGACCAAAGTTTTACATAGAAATATATAGGAAACTTCTTTAAAAATCTTCTTCTCAAGAATAGCAAAGCCATGATTTATCACATTTATATGGAAGCATCCTCAGGTAGTGAAGATTCAAGTTTGTCCAAATCATGACCCCCGGGGGTAGGGCGGGGCCACAATGGCCGACCAAAGTTTTACATAGAAATATATAGGAAAATTCTTTAAAAATCTTTTTTTTAAGAATTGCAAAGCCATAATCAATCATATTTATGTGGAAGCATCCTCAGGTTGTGTAATTCAAATTTGTTCAAATCATGACCCCCGGGGATAGAGCGGGGCCAAAATGGCCGACCAAAGTTTTACATAGAAATATATAGGAGAATTCTTTAAGAATCATCTTCTCGGGAATAGCAAAGCCATGATTGGTCATGGGACTGCTTTGGGATTTAAACTTTTCAATAATAAACCAATTTCTACTTTTTCCTAGCCACAGTGCAGATATGGCCCATGGGATTCTTGTTCAAATGTTGCAATTCCATGTGATGGATTGTTTTAAATGATAACATGTAGATGAAAATTAAATTAGGTGATACTTACATGTAAGTTGGACAAAAGATGCACAGAAAAATTTCCATGAGAAAATGCTTCTTGAAGATACCATACTAAATCATATACCTAACTTAATTTGTCAATTACATAGCTTAGACCATAAGATTTCAAGAGTGCTTTATATGCTTTATATTCTCTGTAAATGAAATTTCAAAATAAAAAGGACTTCATGCAGGTAACTGGTTTAATTTACTATTAGGCCTATATATATCACCAGATTTTTCCAACACTTTATTTTTACAACAAGAAAGGAATTCAGACTTGACATACATGCATGCAAGAGAAAATGTTTGTGAAAGATCTTTAGTTATTGCTGTATATATCCAATGCTAATACCCGGTAGAGTTTTGTGAATGACTATCTAGTGTAATTATTTGCAAATATGTAAAGCTATTATGAATAAAAAGTGATATTTGCAGTATGAAGTACCTCAATTAAGGTTAATTTTAACAAAAAATATTGTGCTATTTCATAGGAGTTCTATAACCATAATTGATACATGTAAGTATATGTTATAAGGGCAGTGGTTTTATTTTCCATGTACTCCTGATATAATCTTCCCTATTTGCAGTCCATGGTGTGGTTTAAATGTTCTCGTAATACCTCTTCCCTCCATCTAATAATGTGTTAACACCTTCCAACCTGTGATCTGTAGTTGTTTTATACCATCCCTAAAAATAATACATTTAGTCAGTACAGATGTTGATTTATATGTATGAAATACACAGTATTTGATGATGTTAAAATACAGATGCCAGTCAGGATACCATGTGAAGATACCTGGGACCACGACTACAGACAACGTGTGTGAGGAAATACCAAGAGAAAGGGAGACAACCCCGAGATTGCCTCCAGATCGGAAAAAAAATGACACTGCTCCTGATGTAAAAGGTTCAAATTAATTCATAATAAGCATGAAATGAATAAAAAAAAATTTAAGTGGAGGACTGCAGAAATTGTTATGAAATTTTATTTTTCTGTACAGTGTAATCTTCTTGATGAGACCAAGAACAAAAATTGAGTTATCTGTCAATAAGGAATTGTGATAGCAGGGGTAAAAGACCAATTGGAATTTTCCCCAAAAGTTTGTTATGCCCTGCCATGAATATGTCCAGGGCATATAGTGTTTGTCATGTCCATCTTCTGTCCTTCTGTCCTTCCGTCTGTCCTTCCGTCACACTTTGCGTTTAGCTATGTTCAAAGCTAAGTTTCAAAAAACTATCCAAGATATTTTCATCAAACTTCATATGCTGATAAATATTGATGAGAGCTATGCAACTGCGTCAACATTGTTTTACCTTGACCTTTCCTTTGACCTTGACCTCACTTTTCTTATATTAGTGTTTAGCTCAGTTTTAAACATACCATTCAAGATGATGTTATCAAACTTCACATGTTGATACAAACTTGCACGGATGATGCATCTAGGAAAGAACACTACCAGACTTGCTTCAGATGCTGGATCTGACCTACATTTTCTAGATGAGTGCCCAGGTTAAAGTGTTTGGAGCAGGTCCATTCCTAAGGAACTATAAGCCCTACTTGGACCAAACTTGCATGGATGATGCATATAAGGATGGACACTTCAGACTTGCTTTGGATGCTGGATCTGACCTACATTTTTATTCCCTAGTAACTATAAGCCCTACCTGAACCAAACTACCGGTAATCAAATTTTATACACATACAAATTTTCATGTTGCTTTACTAATACATGTATATCCTCGGCGGGGCATTCATGTCCTATGGACATATTTCTAGTTGAGTTCAGTGTCTTCATACAACAGCGATATTGTATACAGTGTTATTTTTTCACCTCGTATTATTTCTGCCCTACTGCAAGTGATTTTGTCTTCTTTCTTTTATAAAAAATTCACCAAGACATGGTTATGTTTATGAAAAGCTACTTCTTTTTCTGTCAAATTAATCATATTTCGAACTTACACACTTGGATGAGGGTGTAAGAGGTGAAAATAAAATGGAGGTGAAAATTTCCATGTACGTACATGTACATTATATTGCTTCCCAAATTAACTATGGTTGATGCCCTGAGGCATACGCAACAAACTACACACTGATTCCTTAAATATGTCGTGTTACTGAGCTTTATATTCTGTTTTTTTTTATAACAGTGGATCCCACTAGCCATCCTGATGCACCAATATATGTGTATGTGATCATTGGTGCTTTTGTATTTGTGTTATTGCTACTATTATTTACATTCTGGTAAGTACATGGTGGTTGGTTATAATCTTAGTATACAGTTTCATTGCACTGATTCAGTTTAAGTCATGCAAAAAGTTTTCAATAAAAATATAACTCATCGGATACATGTATTTTTTTTAACCCTCACCTGAGCCGAAGGCTCAAGTGAGCTTTTCTGATCAAAATTTGTCCGTTGTCTGTCGTTGTCGTTGTAGTCGTTGTCAGCATTGTCGTAAACTTTTCACATTTTCATCTTCTCAAGAACCACTGGGCCAATTTCAACCGAAATTGCCACAAAGGATCCTTGGGTGAAGGGGATTCAAGTTTGTTCAAATGTTCAAATGAAGGGCCATGCCCTTTTCCAAGGGGAGATAATCATGAATTAGAGAAAAATTAATGGCATTTTTAAAAAATCTTCTTCTCAAGAACAACTGGGCCAGGAAAGCTGAAACTTATTTGAAATCATCCTCAGGTAGTGTAGATTCAAATTTATTAAAATGATAACCCCCGGGGGTAGGGTGGGGCCAAAATGGCCGATCAAAGTTTTACATAGGAATATATAGGAAAATCTTTAAAAATCTTCTTCTCAAGAACCATTTGGCCAGGAAAGATGAAACTCATGTGGAACCATCCTCAGGTAATGTAGATTCAAGTTTGTTCAAATCATGACCCCAGGGGGTAGGGTGGGGCCAAAATGGCCGATCAAAGTTTTACATAGGAGTATATAGGAAAAATCTTTAAAAATCTTCATCTCAAGAACCAAGGGGCTAGGAAAGATGAAACTCATGTGAAATCATCCTTGGGTAGTGTAGATTCCAGTTTGTTCAAATAATGACCTCTGGAGATAGGATGGGGCCAAAATGGCCAATCAAAGTTTTATATAGGAATATATAGGAAAAATCTTTTAAAATCTTCTTCTCAAGAACAACTGGGCCAGGAAATATAAAACTCATGTGAAATTATCATCAGGTAGTATAGATTCAAGTTTGTTCAAATCATGACCCTTGGGGATAGGGTGGGGCCAAAATAGCCGATCAAAGTTTTACGTAGGAGTATATAGGAAAAACCTTTAAAAATCTTCTTCTCAAAAACCACTGGGCCAGGAAAGATGAAACTCAAGTGGAACCATCATCAGGTAGATTCAAGTTTATTCAAATCATGACCCCCAGGGCTAGGGTGGGGCAAAAATGGCCGATCAAAGTTTTACATAGGAAAATATAGGGAAAATCTTTAAAAATCTTTTTCTCAAGAACCACCAGGCTAGGAAAAATGAAACTCGTGAAATCATCCTTCGGTAGTGTAGATTCAAGTTTGTTAAAATCATGACCCCCCCCCTAGATAGGGTGGGGCCAAAATGGCCGATCAAAGTTTTACATAGGAGTATATAGGAAAAATCTTCTTCTCAAGAACCACTGGGCCAGGAAAGATGAAACTCAAGTGGAATCATCCTCAGGTAGTGTAGATTCCAGTTTGTTCAAATCATGACCCCCCTAGATAGGGTGGGGCCAAAATGGCCGATCAAAGTTTTACATAGGAGTATGTAAGAAAAATCTTTTAAAATCTTCTTCTCAAGAACCATTGGGCCAGGAAAGATGAAACTCATGTGGAACCATCCTCAGGTAGTGTAGATTCAAGTTTGTTCAAATCATGACCCCAGGGGTTAGGGTGGGGCCAAAATGGCCGATCAAAGTTTTACATAGTTAGGAATATATAGGAAAAAATCTTTAAAAATCTTCTTCTCAAGAACCACTGGGCTAGGGAAGATGAAACTCATGTGGAATCATCCTCGGGTAGTGCAGATTCAAGTTTGTTTAAATCATGATCCCCAGGGGTAGGGTGGGACCAAAATGGCCGATCAAAGTTTTACATAGGAATATACGGAAAACTTTTAAAATCTTAATTTCAAGTACTTTAAAGCCGTGATTAGAGATATTTATATGGAATCATCCTCAGGTAGTGTAGATTCTAGTTTGTTCAAATCACAACCCAAGGGATAGGGTGGAGCCACAATGGGTGATCCAAGTTTTACATTAAAATATATTTAAAAAGTCTTCTTATCAAGAATAGCAAAGCCATGATTTGTGGTACACATACTAGTATTTATATCGAAGCATTCTCAGGTATCGTAGAATCAAATTTGTTCAAACCACAACCCCCAAGGGTAGGGTGGGGCTACAATGGTGGATCATAGTTTTACATAGAAAAATAAAGGGAAAAATCCCAAAGCTAAGTTTAGTCATATTGCCATGTAAGCATTCTCATGTATTGAAAATCATGGCCCTTTAGGATAGGGAGGGAAACAATGGGGAACCAAATTCAAATTATTACGAAATAATATATAGGAACAAAGTGTTTAAACATGTTAAAAAAGAAATCTTTTTATCAATAACAGCAAAGTCATATGCTTTATTGATATGAAGGCATTCTCAAATAGTATAAAAATTGAAGCCCCCCCCCACCCCAGTAATCTTTCAGTTCTGATCTGATATGTGTTTTTTCCTAGCCGATGTGCTCAGGTGAGCGATGTGGCCCCTTGGCCTCTTGTTTTATATCCCACGGTTTTGATGTCACAAAGGGTTTTGCGTTAGCTTGATGAAGTAAAGTAAAGTGGAGCTCTATATAAAACAGTGTAAAACATTGATTGTGAAGTAATATATTTGGAATAAAAAAAAATCTTGCATGATTTATAGTTGGATATGAGTTTTATCCAAAACTTAAACACACAACTTGTTTGATAAAAATCATATGATCCAACTAAAATTATGGGAGATCCTATATACATTTTCATAATAATAGAAATGTCATAGGAATCACTGATTTATATCAGTAATAATAACTATTTTTACTTTTTTTAGTGTTTGTCGCAGAATAATGCCAGGTATGTACATTTTTATTCAAGACTTTTGCTGGGTAGACTGAATGCAAGAAAAAAACAAGACCAACTCTTGACAGCCTATTTCCCCTTTATCTACACTATGTATGATAACATTTCCTCTAGGACACAAGAATTTCTTTTAAAAAATACATAGCATATTTTTTATGTAACAGAGAAGTACAGAGTAGCCAAAGAATTTTTGAAGAGAAAGTTTTGCACCAATACAGAATTTCAACCTGACAATGAAGAAGATCTCTATGAACCATTGAACATTCAAGAAGTCAATCAAATGAATAAGCAGACAATTTTACGTGATGAAAGAGAAACGGGGGAGAGAGGTAGTGAACCAGAAATCCCTCCTGATTCACTTCATGGGGATTTATCTGCAGATTTAAGTGATGTATCCACCTACGTACGCCAAGCTAATATAATTCTAGATCACTCAACACCACTGACATCATATGATTTAGAGGACCAAGGTAATACAGCATCATTTGTAACCGAAATTCTTCCCACTGAAAAATCAAAAGGTACACATTAAAGTAGGATGTCTCACATTGATAAACTAATTGTTTTGCCTTTGATTTGATGAGAATAATAATAGCACTACAGAAATAAACATTCAACATCATTGCATTTCAATCCTATTTCCATACCATATCTGTGTAATTTTTAAGTTCGAACGTAAACATTACTTGTCATTCAGGTACATGTATTGCACCACCATTCAATAGCATTCACAGTGTAAGAGTACTTTATGTTATGAAGTATTTGTGATCTTACACACAAACTTTGGGAGGGGGGTTATATAAGAATCACTTTGTCTGTCTGTTTGTCCATACAATTTGTGTTCACTACATATCTCCTAAAGGTAGAAAGATTGGAAAGCTTATACCGGGGTACTTGACACAAAGATTGTTTTTGACTTAAGGGTGCACTGTTACCTTGACTTAAGGTCATTTACATGTAGGCAAGTTCAAGGTCATTGGCAATATGTACTTATCATTTTGAAAGATTGCAATGACTTTGATCCAAAGTCATTTGTACAGGTTCAAGGTCATTGGCAGAAATTGAGAGAAACATCGGAATTTCATACTAGCACAAAGATTACCTCTGACCATATGAAGAATTATTTTCTTTACTCTATGCCAATCAGATAAGTCCAAGATCACATTTATAGGAATGTATAAGGTCATTAATGGTCTAATTTTGGGAGATTTTTTATTATAGTGCAGAGTGTGGAAGAAAGCAGTACTGGTCTGGACTTGGAGACATCTCTGAAAACTTCAATAACCGACTCAAACTCCAATCTAGGGGTCAGTGTCCAGGGTGAAAACAGTGTGGAAAATAGAAGACCCATTGGTCGAGGTAAACAATATCAGTGATGTGTGATACAGACAAAAAAAAATTTAAAACATATTTAAATATGCTTATGCTTCGTTCACCCCCCCCCCCCCCCCCCCCCAAGAAAAATAGAATTCATGCATAATTTATAAAGCTATGGTCTGCAAAAAGAAAGAGTCTGTAATTTACAAAAAAAAAGTATGATGAACTACCTTTAAGTAAGCAAAGGACAAGGTAGAATAAAGGCAGAATCTCATCCCCTGTTTGATGCAAACATTAGAACACTGGTAAAAATGTTATAGTTTGTAGTTAACAAATTAAAATTATGTTGCTTTAAAACCAGCATTAAGTTGGATTCAAAGCTTACACAGAGGCCACTAGATGGTGCAAAAGTAAGACATTTTCTTGAAGTTCCTCAATTCTGGGGGAATTTCATATTTGAGATACTTTTCTTTTGGGAAACAGAGTATCTGAGATTTTTACACATAAACTGCATCTTATACTAATGTATAAAATATATTAATTTGTTTGATAGGCAAGCTTGTGCTCTATGTTTTCCGAAACGAAATAAATGCTGTAAAATCGATAAAAATGAGAAAGATTGAGAATTGACATATTTTCTGACCTCTCTGTGACCTTTGTGTAATCCAAAATTTACAACCAATACTCATTTAGTGGCAGGGTTGACAGTATGTTTTTATGTATAAACTGATGCATCATTCTGAAAAACACCCAAAAATAGGGGCCAAAAAGGGGTTTTAGTCTATCTTAAGTTGTCCTTTGTATAAAATTAATATGTTTTATTTTCCACAAGGTGAATTTATTTAAATAGGTTTGCAGAGTATTTTATATGGAGTGGGAAATGTGGCATTGAAGTATTTATTTTGCCTAAATAAAAAAAAAGATGTTGTTCCAATAGAACAAATGAATTGTATTCCAGTATTCCCCAGTGTTAGAGAGGAGAATCAAGAGGGAGACCAAAGTGGAATAATTACAAGCCCCTCAGAGGATGACAGTGGGCAGTTAGTTCCTGGTGGTCAAAGAGTCATGGCAAATCGTGTCTATTTAGTTCAGTCACCAGGCAGTGATGATCAGCAATCCTTGGATCTCTCTGAGTTGGGTGTTCAACGAGTAGGGGAACACTCAATTGATTAAACACCAGAGGTAAGTGCGCTTTGTTTTCATTTCTTATATTTATTTCTTTTTCCAATTGATACTTCTCTGGATCCTCTACAATGTTGTATTAATAAGCTCAGATGGCAATTAAGATCCTTGTACCTGAGCTTGTTTGACATACAGAAACAATTTAAATTATTATACTTTCATGTTAAATACTAAAATCTGATTGGTTGAGACGCAGTTAACAATCTGTTCTATTACCCTCAGCCTTAGCAACACACGTGACAACGGGTAACACAACGGTAATGCCACGTGCGTGGAAATTATGCACGTACGGTTCACCGTAGAATTCTCAAAACGTCAGTTGCGCATTTGAAAGAACCGGAATAAACTTGACGTCAATAAAAGCTTGCGTCTGATGTAGCTTACTTGAAAACAACAAACGACAGATGAAACATGCTTGCGAGTGCAGAAATAACGAAACTTTAGATGATAAAGGACTCGTAGAGTATCAAATAAACAATAAAGAGTCAGTAAAATCTTTTTCGAAGTAGCGGGGAGTTGAAAGCTTTCTAAACGTGAACGAAAAGGCGATCGACGATTTGTATTGCTGACATAGTAAATCAAGAAGACATTCAGTATAATAAAATAAATGGTGCCTGTTTTGGAGGGTAACAGTTGAAATTGAAACCCCTCGGAAAACCATTGTCAACTTCCGCTGACGCGTCGGTTGACAATGGTTTTCGTTGGGGTGTCAATTTCAACTGTTCCCCTCCAAAACAGGCACCATTTATATATTGCTCTCATGTTATAATGACTTTCTTTATGTTGTTATATACATATTTGTCTTTTTTTAGGTTGAAAATGTATATGAACACTATGGATCTGCAATAACTAACAGGATCTAGTTTTGTCAATTGACAAGTCAAAACTCGAGGAGAAGACAATACTTCATCAAAGGCCTGCTTGGGCTGTTCATTCATCATTAATATGAGACTCAGAGATGCATCACATCAATGGAGGAAGGGTAGTGAAAAAATATATCTAATAAAACAAGTCATACTGTTGAGGAAAGAGCTATCATGAATATGGTAGAAACTAAAAATGAATTTGGGGAAAAGATAAAATTATTGTATGGGGAGAAACTTTAAAGGGTTTCGGAGTTAATACAATATATGTATGATCAACTCCTCAAGTGTCAGGTCTAAGGATGGACGGTGATTGTACCCTGTTTGGGGGATATTTGACCACCAAGATGTGCTACAGCCAGTGCTGGTCATACAGCTGCTGTGACACATACCATGTCTGTTCTATAGAGTTTGAGATAAAAGGAAGTGGGTTCTTTATCAATGCACATACAGTGCCATGTCAAATTGATTTAGACTTTCTGCTACTTTACAGCTATGATATGGAATTATGAATCATTTTTAGCTCACCTGAGCCGAAGGCTCAAGTGAGCTTTTCTGATCACATTTTGTCCGGCATCCGTCTGTCTGTCTGTCCGTAAACTTTTCACATTTTCAACTTCTTCTCAAGAACCGCTGGGCCAATTTCGACCAAACTTGCCACAAAGCATCCTTGGGTGAAGGGGATTCAAGTTTGTTCAAATAAAGGGCTTTACCCTTATTCAAGGGGAGATAATTGAGAATTGGTGAAAATTTGGTGGTATGTTTTAAAAATCTTCTTCTTAAGAACCACTGTGCCAGGAAAGTTGAAACTTATGGGGAAACATCCTCAGGTAGTGTAGATTCAAGTTTGTTAAAATCATGTCCCCCGGGGGTAGGGCGGGGCCACAATGGCCGACCAAAGTTTTATATAGAAATATATAGGAAAATTCTTTAAAAATCTTCTTCTCAAGAACAGCAGAGCCATAATTGCTCATATTTATATGGAAGCATCCCCAGGTAGTGTAGATTCAAGTTTGTTCAAATCATGACCCCCGGGGGTAGGACGCGGCCACAATGGCCGACTAAAGTTTTACATAGAAATATATAGGAAAATTATTTAAAAATCTTCTTCTCAAGAACAGCAAAGCCATAATTGCTCATATTTATATGGAAGCATCCCAAGGTAGTGTAGATTTAAATTTGTTAAAATCATGACCCCGGGGGTAGGGCGGGGCCACAATGGCCGACCAAAGTTTTATATAGAAATATATAGGAAAATTCTTTAAAAATCTTCTTCTCAAGAATAGCAAAGCCATAATTGCTCATATTTATATGGAAGCATCCTCAGGTAGTGTAGATTCAAATTTGTTCAAATCATGACCCCCGGGGCTAGGGCGGGGCCAAACTTTTGGATTCAAACTTTTCAATAGTAAACCAATTACTACTTTTTCCTAGCCACAATGCTCGGGTGAGCGATGTGGCCCATGGGCCTCTTGTTATGGCATTCAATTTGAAATGATCACTTGAAAAAAAGTAATTCTGATGCCAATAGAAGTTTACTTTTAATTTATATTACTTCAAGGAAAATGCCAAGGACACTTTTTCGAAGGGTAATTTCACTCATGAAAAGATCTTTGCCCTAAACATCAGACTTGGCATGATATATTCAAATCTTCAAGTCATCATTATGTTGTTTGCTAAACGATGCATGACTGCATACATTGATCAATTCATAAGTGCATAAGAATATCACCCCCATTAATTTTTCTGATTTTACACCAATCTGTATGAGATTTTGATTACATCAATACATGTACATGTAGTATTTATCTTGTATATATAGTTAGGTTTCAAGAAATAATACAGACTGTTGTCAAGTTGTTAAAATTTGTTGATTATTCTGTCTTTATCATTACTTAAAGAAATTATATAGTAAATTAAGAAACTCGGGAAAGAGTCCAACTATATTGTCCCTTGATAATGGGAAGGATTGAAGGCTAGTTTTCCAGGTTTTTCACAATATTGAGAGACAACAGTTTGACTGTTCCCCTCGTAGTCATGATAAAAATGTACACTATTCAATCACATTGTTATTTTCAGAAGATTGATAGTTATTTGGTAAAAAAAAAAAAAAAAAAAAATCAAGAGAAAAAAAATTATGAATTTTGGTGATACATTAAGTTGCATAAAATTTTCACTAAAACAAAAATCTGTGAAAGGGAAATTTTTTGCAAGCAAGTTATTTATACAGCATTAATTTTGTTAAATCTGGAGTGTGTCTCTAACATGCACTTATTGGTCTGTGAAAGTTTAGAATCATCTAATTGTATCCTGCTTAAATGAGCTATTCCAGATATGTGTATTTGTTGTTGATATTTTAAAACCAATCATGATATATACTTTTCTTGTGATATAAATTATCAAATTGAAGTTACCAGTTACAGCTTATTGGTATCTTTTTCAAATGTTTTAGAAAAGGGACGGGAAACGTAAGGGAAACAGAGATACATGTATATCGTAATTTTGTAATGTTTCTTATTTATTAATGTCAGCATAATGCTTTCTAACTTAAATTTCCAGGTGAATTTGTCATAGATATTTTATTTCCCAGACAGTTAAATATTTCAAACATTATATATGCATGATGACATGTGATTGGTCATTGAATTGTCATAAAATATCCCATTTTTGAAATGCTTGTTTATGTAGGGTCATGTAAATTTTATATTTTTATAAAAACAAATCATGTTGTATGTATTGTTTCTACATATATGTTTTGTTTCTGTTTTGGCTTGGTTGGTGAGTTTTCTAATTGTGTAAAAATGAAAACCAAGAGAATTTATTCTGACCATAATGCGTACCATATAACTAGGTAAAGGCTAACAGGGTATATTATTATCAAATTAAAACCCCTTTTTTTAATGCATCCATTTAATACCTTTTGGCCATTTGTACTAATACTTTTCGAATAAGATATACATAATTATTGATTAATTTTAATTAATGTAATTTTTGCAATATTTTGGCATAGTATTTCTTTTATATACAAGTACATTAACTGCGTAGTGCATACTATGGATTTTTTTTTCTCTGCAATAAGAAAAAAAAAAACATATTCACATACAAAATTTTATTTTCATACTGTAGACCCGAATTATTCATTTAGGTAAATAAGACATGATAAAATAAGAATTTGCATAATTTAGTAAACTTTTACCAGTAGTTGAAAAGATTTTGACTTTATTAACAATAACAAAAGATTTTTTCCTATGAGGTAGACATTAACAGTTGTGCAGTTTCCAGAAGCTAGTAAAATCTCAGGGCTAGTACTAGTATATCAATGTATTTGTTAGAGCAAGTGAATATATCTGGTGGAACATATATTCTATCTATTACAGTAGATTAACATTTGATTTTCTTCAATGATGCTCATTTTGCTTCAGGAATCTACCACTACATGTAGCTGTTCTAGAAAGGGCAGTCCATATCAACATTAATTCATCCAATGTACACTGTTTCTAGTAAATCTGATATTTTTTTAAATATTCAATTTCCAAACGACCCCCTTTGTCTGATTTTGTCTAATGTTTTATATGGCATTAGATGTTTTGATTTACATAGCTTATTTAAATACATACAGAATAAATTACAAAATATACATACTGTACGCTCCTCCTGTACAAGATACCATAATTTTGTTTCCTGGAAACCAACTTTTTCATTATTAAATCTAAGGGATCTTCTGGAAATTCTTAAGATGTATTCTTGTAATATTTCCAATAATTTTGGAAATTTTAATCATCATTCATTCAATGTTCCAGTCATAGTTATTGAGGTACAATGTATTGATAGAGGTACACTTAGAAAAAAATAATATTGGTTACTATATTTTTTTCTTAATCTGAACAAAAAAGATTTACATTCAGACAAGTACAAATGTGAATTGAATGGCTAGTGGTTCTGAAAAAAAATTATGCCTATATCTTTGTTTCTAACATTTTTATACAAAAAAAAATATATAAACTTAAAAATTGGAAAAAGGAGGATTTATATTTCAGGCACAATTACAATACCACTACTTGTTTAACTTGATGAAAACAAGTGATTTTCCTCTGTACAATGTATATCAATCATTAATTGTTTTAAAAGAAATATAGTTTTGAGATGCTGATACATGTATATGTGTGAAAATTAATGGATGTTTGTTTCATGTGATATGCTTGAGATTCGACAATTAAGTGCAATTTTCATTTTATTGTCACATTTGTATGAATGAATAAACCATTCTAGTCACCTCTTACTAGATTGTCATTTTGTGTACTTGGTAGTAAATTTGTTCTTGATAAATAATTACGACAATTTTTTTTTATTCCATCATAAAGAGGATTTCAGCCCTTTAATTTTTTTAGGCTGGGGGGGGGGTATTTTCATTGTATTTGTGGAAAGAAGAGACTTCAGAATTCACAACCCCAAAAAGTTGGGATCAGCCATATTGAAAACAATGCCACTTGCCTAAATTAGTATGTCTATGAAAAACAAAACAGAAGAAATGTATACATAAGTTGAACAGTAATTAAAAAAAAATCCATTGATGACTGAGAATACAGTTTATTAAAATAAAATATAGAATATATACATATATATATATACAAAGTGCTGTTAAAATTAGGATTTTAACATCCTTCACTACTTTCAAGCCTATGCTTGTGAAATGTGATTAAAATCCAATTTCTCAATTAAATAGCTTTGACTCTTGAGCTTTTAAAGCGTGTACATGTACTCTGAAATCAGCAATTTTCGTGGGGGTTTAATTTTCGTTGTTTTGGAGGTAAGGAGAGACCAACGAATTTATGACCACCACGAAACGTAAAATTTAACATTACTACTAAAACGTTATCCATCCTAGAAATCAAGTCCCCACAAAACAAGATTGTATCAAACCTCGAAAAATACCCGATATTTGACCCCACGAAAATATGTGATTTTACAGTATTTCAAGCCGTTGAGCTGTTTCCTCCTTCCTCTCCGTCACCTTCCAGGGATACATATAAATGTCCTTTAAGAGACGCCTCTTTATCGTCTCGATTGATGTTAATATAGCCAGTTTCCTCTGCCGTTGACACTGTTACAAAATTGTCAAAAAAGCAATTCTGATTACTTTAATTTACAAAGTGATTTATTATTATATTAATCCTTGCTCTTTGTTAATCTAGAGCTCATACATACCCCGTACACATACGCTTGCGTGCACACACGCACATGCACACTCACCCATACATACCGGTTAATATCCTCTCTATCTATTTTATATCAGGTTAATATATCATTTCTTACTCGATAAATCTTTTGACCCTATGTATCCGCTGTCACCTTGGTCCGTGTTTTGCCCTATTTAAATAGGAGTCAGAATTTTAAATAAATTTCATTTGAAAATGATGATAAATGGAGAACTGTCTCATTGAAATAACATAAATAACAAGTAAATAAATGCATTTATCTTTCGTCATTTACAGAATGACATGCCCGGGAGCGCCTATGTTCAGTCCTTGAAACTTTTATAAAAGCATGAATAACTTACTTCCTTTGGACCTACTTGATCTCATTTCTATGGGATTTTCTCCATCTGTACAACAAACAAGACATGTATATGAATATCATTACAGTATCTCATACATGACGTATTTTAAAATTTATGGTTTTTTCAAATTTTACTTGTAATTTCCGATTGGAATATTGTTGACTTTTGAATATATCTAATCAATACTTAAATGGAAAAAAAAAATCGTAATGACACTATTTTCTGTTCTCTGTTTTATAAAGCCAAACTAAGTCAGCGTGGGATCGTTTGCTCGCAGAATAATGTTGTTAAGACATATATGACAGAACAGGGAATTTTATTTTAGAGAGCAAAAAAAGGTTAAGCTCACTAAATGATACCCCCACCTCCCAAATGGTTATAATGGCAATTAAAGTCCATATTTTGCTCTCTAAAATAAAATTCCCTGTTCTGTCATATATGTCTCAACAACATTATTCTGCGTGCTATAGCAGTAACGAAATATAGGGAATTACTTTCTACATATAGTTTCTGAGAACTTTGGGAATGCATGTTGAGTCGATTGCAGTATATGAATAAAATGCAACAATTAACCTCTCATTTCTTAGAACCCCAAAACACAAGTCTCTTCTAAAATTGATAAAAATATTGTTTCAACATACATTGGCAGTTGCAAATCTCTTGGTCGATGTCCACTTCCTTACTTAAAAGATTACTCTGTATCTTGTTTATTTCTTCTTTAAGGCCTTTGCATTCGCCAGCGAGTCCATTCTTACATGTCTGACATGGCCGTATATCTTCACCCTTGTATTTACTATCATCTATCTCGTCATTGTAAGCCCTCAATGCTTTCCTCGTCTCCGACATGCATTTGCGAACATTTCTCCCATCAAAGCTGACGTTGTTGAAATCATTGTCTTGGTATCCTAAAGATTAAAAAGACCGAAGATGTAAAAGATGAAGACATCAAACAGAACTTTATCGATATCAAAAAACTCTACAAACAATAAATTTGTAAATATATAGGGCATATAACACGAACCCCCGAAAATTCTAGAGGTGGGATCAAGTGACTAGGAGTAAGCATCCCTTGTTGATCGGTCACACCTGCACACCTACATATTGATTAGAAAGATAGAATACTCCGCAGTCAAATCTGGTATATAATATAAATATAATCTTTGACGAATACCAATTTTATCAAAGTGAATATTTTTTTGGATTTGGATATAAATTTGAAATAAACCAAGCAAATAATAAAAAAAAAGCGGTCCCCCGCTTTCGGTGTAGTGGTGGATGGGTGCCATTATTTATGGCATATTGTGTCAACTATGTACGCCCTATCATATGTGATACAAAACTTATCACCAAAGTTAATTTTTTTGAAAATTAGGTCAAATATGAAGGTCAAGGGGTAATAAAATTATCATGCTGGGAAACATCTTCTTACAGGCAATGAACATTTCAAACGTGAAAGCCTCATCTCTTCTCTTTCAAAAGTTATAAGTCAAGATACCATTTTTGAAAAGTAGAATAAATTATAAAGTCAAGGTCACGGTGTCAAAAATCATAGTGTATTTAGAAAGGTCCTCTCACAGGTAATAATATGCATGCCTAATATGAAAGCTCTGTCTCCTCTTAGGTCAAATTTCCAGGTCAAGTGAACAGGGTCAACTAGTACAGTGTAATTAGAAATGTCTTGTCAAAGGTAATACAAATGTCTAATATGAAATCCCTACCTTTTTTTTCTTTCAACAGTAATGGCCAATTCAGTAATGTTAAAATTTAGTAGGTCAAACTTTAAGGTCAAGGTCAATGGGTCAAAAACATGGCATATATGAAAAGGTCTAGTCACGATGTAACTAGAGTAAAGACTGAGTAATGCGCTTGTGAAAGTATAATTAATCTCCCCTTGCTTTCACAAAAGCAGGGGACATTAGAAATGAAATTGTTGGTGTTTTTTTTCATATATTTTAATCTGTATATTTATTTATTCATATACATGTATATTTTTGAACACTTACCAACTGACTTTGATTGACAATTGCATTTGACGTATTGAAAATTACTGCTGTCCTCAAATAGGTTTCCAAATCTAATGATCTCTTTATCCAGTTCAGCAGATTCACGTTTGATGCAATGTGAGCAAAGAATACAGGGTAATAAGGATTTTTCGCCAAGTTTTCCATCCGTTAATTTATTGTTAAACGCACGGACATTTTTCCTTGTGCGTGTTATATTATTTTTCACCTCACACGCAGTTATCTTTCTATCTTCTTCCGAAACGCTCATTTCCTAATAATAAAGGTATGAACTAAATATATTACATATTTAAGGAATCACTGTTTAGTTAGTATAGTATGCCAGGGCATCGCCCGTTATGCAGAAATTATCCCATGTTTCCCACTATTGTTGATGTCCCTAGCATATATTTAAACAATAAAATGCTTTCTTTGTTTGTTGTTACTGGAATGAACGGAAGCAGCTGTTGCAGAAAAAATACATAACCCGCGTAAGCGGGTTATGTTAATTTTTTCTGCAATAGCTGCGACCGTTCATTCCAGTAACAACAAACAAAGACAGCATTTTATTGTTTATATTTATATCTGTTTAAATAATCAATCAAAGTAGGATTAAAAAGATTAATTATTGTATTAATGATGCGAACGTCTTTATACGTTTCATTGATGGAACAGCCACTGATTAAGAAATCTGTACAGGCGACCTGCCTACTGTAGTTTATGCAGTGATGAACGCAATGGGGTTACTTAAGAAATAAAGGAGAAAATATTCAGTGGATGTAAATATACTATACTAACTAGACAGTGATTCCTTATATTTTCATTTCATTGTGAAATAAAATTGTACAGATTTAGACTTTAAAAATGCAGCCATAGATTTAAATTACACAAGGACTCCCATCTCAATTTCAATTGTCCTCACCCACTGACGACGAACACAACGGCAGCAGCAGGAGATTTCCATGCATATTTGTGCTCCTTAGTGTCAGACTCAGAAACAGATGCGCACAGTTTCTGTAGGGCTAATTTGTATCCTGCAGGGCTGACATGGTTTTCATAATACTCTCTTTGTAAATTAAACATTAATATTTTACATTTCTAATTGTTTTTTTCTCTGTGATTAGGTGTGTTGATTTTTTGATAAATTAATGCACCCGAATGTGAATGTGTCCTTCGCTTATAAGTATACTGAAGTTGTACCACTGCTCCTTGACCTCAACACAATAAGGTTCATGTATTTGATTTGTGGTTGGTAGTTCTTGAAAAAAATATATCTGTCTAAATATTTTCATTTCTATTTGTTTGTTTTCTCTGTGATGACTCTTTGAAAGTTAGTTAAGTTGATTATCATTCCACCGGAATGTAAATTTTGCCAAGCGATAGGACAGGAGCGAAGGAGTCCTTATATGCAGTAAATCTCGTGCGGCTGTCTTTGTGTTTGACGTCAGTGGGCGGGGACCATTGAAATTAATTGGCATGCGAAGCTCGTGATGCATAAATTATCGGGGGACGTTTCCAACTACTAGTATCTTTGATGCTCTGGCATATTCTACTAACTAGACAATGATTCCTTTAAATAAGAAGACATAGTCTCTGATCATGCTTCAAGCCGTAGTAGATTTTCAATGTGAAAGGAAGCTTCCTGTTGCATGTTGTTATTTCTGGTCCATTCTTTTACATTTTTACTCCTAGTACAGTATTGACCCTTTTATTATCGAAAGAATTTCCTTAAGATTCTAAAATCGACTTCTTTCTTTTCAAATTTTGTTCATTACAGTTAGTAAGATTACTGCAGTTTTCTGTGTGTGTTCAATTATTGTGGATAAATCAAGATTAAATCAAGATTATTCGTTATTGCTATCCAAAAGTTAAACTTTATGTCAATTTCTATAGTTTCTTTTAGGATAAAGGCACTGAGAAAGTAATCTTAGATTCGAAGGCACTAGATGAGTGCCTCTTTGATTGTTTAAAAAAGCTTTAAAACCATAGTGTTCGGGGTGGCAGCCATCTTGGATTTTTAAATGGGGTCCACATTCAGCACAAACATCTACTATTTTTCTATGTCTGCAGACTGCCGAGAGTTAAAAGATCTATATATATAAAAAAAAACTTTTTGTATCTTTTAATGTCCATTCCTAATAATCAATTGTTGTAATACTAGTAACAAGAGGATGAATTAATGCATTGGGATATTTCTGATCAATAAACAACAAACTTTATATACATACTAAACAACACATCACAATACAATAAAAGAACAATTCTCTATATAAATCTCACAACAAAACTCACCTTCTTGTTTTTGACAATGACCGTAAAAATACATGAAATATTTTTGTTCTAAAACACTTCCTTTTACAATCTAAATTTAAATTTGGAAAACCCTGGCTATTGGACATTTTCGGTTTGGTTTACTTCTACATCTATCAGCTACTCATGTTGTGCAAAAATGAATTAAACAACTATAAATACAAACAAATGATTTACTCGTAATTTAATCAACCAAAAATGGTTCTTGGAAACATTCGATATTGCATTTTTTGAAATGGTCAAAAGCAAAAAGAATTCCATAAACTATCATATGTTACTTTAGGTCAAAATACCAAAACCCTAAGACCTGTATACATGAGCCACAGTATTTTTGACCCCTTGAAAATTAATATGGCAAGTAGTTTATTAAGCATTCAGTTTAGAGTATTAAGACTCCAGTTTAAACCCTAGCTCGAAAGAGAAATTTGGCGTATGGCTCCAATAAAGTGTGGTTGTAAAATTCTGACTCCAAAGTCTGAATTAAGTCGAGCAGTAGTTTATGAATAAAATTTAGTACTGAAAGAATTTGGAACCTATTTTTACGAAAGCCAATTGAGCTCATTTTCGTAGGTAAAAAAATATTTTCGCTGTTTTACCAAAACATTTGCATAAGTTTATTCATTACAATGGATAGCAAAAGGCTATTTTGATCTTGGACCCTCACAAGCTACAATTTTAAGTTTTCTTGCTATTGGATATGTCTTTCCTCTGTCTCAATCTTTTTTACCGTCAAATGTTGTCTTAAATGTTGTCAAACACATGAAAGTCTAAGCGAGTTTTCCAAAAGTTAAATTTCATGATTATGAATTTCGGGATAAAAATCACCCCCATTCGGCGTCATTTTTAACACTCTCTAGAGAATTTGAAATACTAGTAAGATTATAAAGATCAAGATCTCAGAAAATCGTTAAGCTCATGAAATAATACATTGTTCACTCAATTTTAATCCATGTGTCTACAGAGTATATTTTTAGTCCCAAATGATGGATTGCTTAAAATAATTTACTAGTGTTCAGTTGTAGTGAATGTTGCTGATAAAAAAACCGCTTGAGAAAAATTTAAAATGGGGATTTTCCTTAAAAACAAAATAAACAATCTAGAGAATTTCTTGAATTCAACAATTGAAAAACATGTACTAGATACTAGATGGTAAAATTCATTTTATCTATTGGAAAGGTTTTGAAATAAATGCAAAATTCGGAAAACTAATCTATCGTATTCTCGCATTATTTATCCAGTACATGTCATCTTCTAAAGAAATGAGATCAGTTTTATAATTAAATTCATAAAAGTTCTCGTCTGCATGCATTCATGTTCTTATAGACCATTCAAGATCAAGGTCCCTGAGTAACATTCCTATATGCATATTATTTCGCAAAATAACACGAAAGTTTCGCGTTAAAACTTTCGAAAAGTTTTGTGTTTATTTGCAAAAATTGTACGCGTTATAACGCGCTCAAGTTACGCGTTTATTCGCGAAAAAATATTTTTGTTAACTTACGAAAATGAGCTCGATGGGATTTCGTACTTCCGTATTGGCACATTTTTTTTTTCGATTGATTATTTTTTGCAGGCTTAATTTTTTTCTCTTTTACTTAGTCCCCCCCCCTTTTAATTTGCTTCCGACGCCAATCTTTATGTAAAATCAAAGTGATAATTTAATAACAAAGTAATTTTGTTATTTATAATCAATCACAAGATACGACAATTTCCAATATATGCAAGTTTAATATAAATGGAATGTTGACGCAATGCAATTGTACTGTGAGTCAGTAAAGTCATAGAGAGTTGACATTTATGTGTCATGGAATGTTGACGCAAGGCTGTGACGGCGTTCCATAAACGAATGAACAAACCGAAAGTACAAGTGTTTTTTTAACACAGTCATCAATTTCATGACGGTACGTATGTATTATTATGATGTGATTCTGATCAAAGTCTAAATTAATACACAAAGCATTTTGAGATGCTTAGAATACCATCTGAAACTGGCGTGTTTCACTCTGTGTGTAGGGGGGGGGGGGGGGGTTCGTTCTAGATTGACTAGTTATTTCTTGTCCTTCCTGGTCTATTTTTTAAAATACATGTATAAAAATAGCTGCTGATCTGTAGCTCTCCGAAAAAAATATATTGATAGACCGGAGAGCTACAGTGTAGAGCCACCCATTGAAAAAACTGTTTATTTATTGTGCACAAAAAAGTGCGCTCATGTCTTGATTAATTCTTTAAAATTCTTACCTCAATTGCAAAAAAGGGTCCTTTCTCCTTTATCAAGTACTCTCGTAGTTGAAATCTTAGTTAGAATAATCTAACTGTGTCTTGGTACGGCCCTCACCACATCGATCTAAACTCAGGTGACCTATTGCTATCCGTTTTCGTCCGTCGTCGGTCGTGTGTTAACATTTGAACATTTTCAGCTTCTTCTCTGCAACCACTGAACCAATTTCAATCAAATTTGGCACAAAGCATCTATGGGTGAAGGGAAACAAAAATTGTGAATTTCATGATCCCTGCCCCCCCCCCCCCGGGGGCCTGAGGGATGGGGCCAAAACCACTAAAATTAATGCAATCTTTAAAAATCTTCTTCTTTACTCCTGGACATCAAGCAGTCAAACTGTTTGCGTGATTGTAATCAGCATTGAGTCTTCTACCAAAATTGTGAAATTTATGGCCCCAGGTTCAGTGGTTCTAGTGCTAGGGCAGGGCTAAATAAGTATATAGTGAAAATGCATTATTTCTTTTGAAAATCTCCTTCTCTGCTCCTGGGTGTTAAATAAACCAACTAAGTACATAGTTATGATGAGCAAGAGTGCCTCTACCAAAATTGTGAATTTTATGGCCCCAGGGTCAGGGGCTCTGGTGTTAGGGTGGAGCTCTATTGATTATATATAGTGAAAATACATGATTTCTTTGAAAATCTTCTTCTCTGCCCCTGGGTATTAAATAAACTAACTAAGTCCATAGTTATGATGAACAAGAGTGCCTCTACCAAAATTGTTAATTTTATGGCCCCAGGGTCAGGGGTTCTGGTGTTAGGGCGGGGCTCTATTGATGATACATGTATAGTGAAAATACATTAAGTCTTTGAAAATTTTCTTCTCTGTCTCTGGGTATGAAGCAGATGAACTACCTATATAGTTATGATGATCAAGGGCCCTAATCTTGCAGAATTGTGAATTTCAAGGCCCCAGGGTCAGGGGTGGGGGGTGGGGGGCTATACTTATATACTGAAAATGAATTAATTGTTTGAAATCTGCTCCTTTGTATTTATAAAAGATTTATTTATTTTTTGATAGGCAATTTTAAGGGTGCCTTTTTAAAAGAATGGGTGGACTTAACTAGCCAGAAAAAATGCTGCAAATTTAAGTTCCATAAAATGTTAATTTTTTTCCATCATATAACCCCCCGATATCTTAACTGTGTATTTATGGTACGGATGTGAATTTAAAATGCTCTTTTCGAGGTAAACTAAATAAATATCGAAGGCATGGTGCCTGAAGATTTGTTGAATATCAATAGATAATCAGGGTCAGGCATTTTTCATCATCTGAATACATAGTCAGCGCATGTTTATCGGGTGTTCTTACAAAAATTGTAGTTGTATATTGAACAAAATAATGTCATATTAAAAGGAGAAGAGCCGACAAATGTGCGCTCACACTTAATTTAGCAAAAAACATGTTCCAAACAAACTTCTCGCTTCCATTGTTACGACTTTGATTGACCTGTTAAATATTACAATTCATCACGTGATGTCCACCTGCGAGTGTACTCGTGGAAACAGTTACATTGTATTCTTCAACCTGACCTAGATCTAAATCAAGTTATGTTTGGTGCCGTTTTCAGAATTTAGCACATTAAATGTTGTTTTAATTTTGCGTGTCCTCACATTTAAAAAAAAAATCATAATGACATCGCTGTAATATTCCAAACACATATTCGAATTTCTAGAGAGAGATGGAGAGGGAGAGAAATGTCAACAATGACACTGATCGATAGCCCCGCCTCCTAAGAATATTGATAGCGCGACCTAAAAACCACTCCGGGTACATGTCAAATTCCGGAAGACGACACTAATGTATAATTGTTTCAATTTTGATTCATGGCAATAAGGCATTGCTTTTGTACATATGTTCTAGCTAAAATAACCATGTATACGTCGCTCTTTCTAGTGGTTGTAATATATTTTGGATTCACTTTATTTTCAACTTAATTGTTAGAGTAGTCTCAAAAAGATCTAAAATAGGGCGTTAAGTCCACCCATTCTTTGTGCAATGTGTGGACCTAGGGTCAGGGGTTTACTAGTATGTCACAGTGTTAGGGGCACTACTGATTATTGCTGAATATTACTGATTAGTTGGAATGCATTTTTGTTCCCCTACCCTGCGTATGGGTATTCAGTAACCAAGCTAAGCTACTGCTAAGAGTATTGTTATGATGATCAATGATGCCTCTTTCAAAATTGTGAATGCCATATAGCATCTGGCTTAAAACATGAATCAAATTCAATAACTGGAAAGTTGTTGCATAATGCTCAGGTGACCTATAAGGCCTCTTGTCTTTAAAGCTAACAAGTGAAATAGCAATTAGGACTGATTTCAGGATGGAACAAACATGTACATCTTTTTCTGGAAAATTGCTAGCTTTGAGGGTACTGCAGTTCTGTCCAAGTTAACAAAAAATGCCAAGGGAAGCATGCATGGGGATGGTGGGAGGATCCTAGAGGTCACCTGTGATTTTACGGAGTTGTAAGTTGCTTAATACCACTTTAGAATTTTTCACCCAGAAAGTGAGAGATGATCCATTTAAGGTAGTTCTATACTCGGCACTAAATGGGCTCAATCTTTAAAAATCTGCTTTTATAAGATAGACATACATCCCAGCAATGGATAAACACAAGAAAAATTATATGTCAACATGTTCACTTTTCCGCTATAGCCTATCGGAGTATATACCCCGAAATGTAAAATACTGAAATTTTACCTATCCTAGATTTTGTTGTATATAAATGAATTTAAGTCTAAATATTCAACTTTAATACCCAAAATAGAGTAGAAACATGTTAGTAAACAATATAATTTCATTGTTTTGCATGAATTATTATTATAGATGCACTTTGTTAGGCTACTGAATCAAAATTTAATGTGAGAAAATATGCTTCACAGGACAATCTCGGTCATTTAAAAAAAAAAATTATGGACTCAAACTTCGTAAATTTGCATTATTTTTACTAAATTATATTTAAGAAAAATAATAAGCTAAAAAAAATTATATGTTGACGCATTATGTAACGTTTTCGTCTTATGTGTGTATTCAATCAGAAGGTACCCTAGAGGCACGTTACAATAATGGGTTCGAAGGTACCTGTGCTTAAGGTCAAGATCTAGTAAATAACTTTAGACTAATTTTTTGGTGCTAGATTCATTATGACATCATAATCAATTTCTTTTTCCCGTATTTTACAGCTTCAGCAGAATTATACAAAAAATAAGGTATTTTTATGACATTCAATTTGAAATCTTATGAAATCATACGAAAAGTAAACCGGATACCTATATTAAATTTGATATTGGTTTAAAGAAGAGGCCATGAACATACTAATTACCGTTTTCTGAGAGACTGTAGGCAATCTGGATACATTTCCTTTGTCGAATATGAAAAAAAAACTCCCATATTCATGACTGGTTTTCTAAATTTTTCATTGAAAATGACGATTTAAAATACAGTTTTTCATCTTGTTTACCTACAAATTATGCCCCGAAATACCTTATCTGACCAAGCTAAAGTTGTAAAGCATCAATAAAGGAATTTATTTCTCAAAATTGATAAATCTGTAGGCACCTTTCATTTACTAGATCTTGACCTTAAGTAAAATTTAGATAGAACAAGTGTGATCAATGACAATCAATTTATTAAATTAACGAAAAGTACAATACACAATAATATAATGTCCCAATCCACAGTGCAATGTACAATAATAAAAATTATATTTAAATGGTCACATGCGCGTTAGACTCGGTGAAAGGTGCTAACGGCTTAAGGTGCTAGGTGCTTCCGATGATACTGGAGCAAACTGGTTCTAGGTGTCCGGTGTTCAGGTGCCAGGTGCTACTGATATAAGCTAATTGGGTCTAAGTTCCATCTTTGCTTGACTGGTGCTATATAACCTTACTCGGTGTTAGGTGCTAGGTTTCTGCTGAAATATACTATCTAAACTCGGAACATAAATTCACAAAGTAACTCGGTGTAAGGTGCAAGCGCACCCGACTATCTCAATAATTCCGCACATGCTCAACTAAAGTCCACCACCCTAAATCTATAACTTCTGGTTATAGAATAAAGTAATTTATGTCATTAAAGTAAAAAGTATGCCATGCAAATTTACCAACACCTCGGATACATTCATGCAAAAGATAATTAATCCAAGTACGGTGCACTGTCGTAATATAGTCAAACGGTGCAACTTCACACCGAACTAGAAGAATTGACTAAGTTTTACTTGTCAATAAAAAAAATATAGATTTAATAAAATACAAATTCAAACTACTAACAAATTACAAACTTTAAATAACAACTATAACTTTACTGGGAGAGACAATTTTCTGTGTCTCCCAGGGTCAGAATCCCGAGTGCACCGACTGTCTAAATAATGCTGAATTTAAATATTCAATAAATCTAAATTTCTAAATATTCAATATTACTTCAAACTACGCTAAAACTTATCCTGAAACTATTTTAAGATATCTTTACTTTAATATGTTTACTTATAAGAATAATACCTCAGATCAAGGTGCAAGGTGCTGAAAGGCAGGTGACAATTCAAAAGGGAATTCTGACAAACGCACTTTCAAAATCTTGTCTTTTATACCTTGACGCAATGGTGCATCGTCTACGTCATATGCATTTGTAAAACTTCAAAAACTATTCTTTAATCAATGTACTTGAATACTTTATTTACTAATACAACATCTATAAAACTCGTTAATTAATCTATGATTTTTATCTAATCCAGAAGTCTTATTCATAAAGTTCTGTATAGAAAGTGTACAGGAATGTCGGCGTATGTAGCAACTTATCCGGAGATCCGTATTTTATACCATTCTGGTTCTACAATTAGTGTCTAAAAGCCATTTCCAGTAAGCATCCAATAAAATAACGGTAATAATTCACAAGAGAATTCTTTTTCTTGACTATATCGTATGACTTTAAATACAATTTGATAATTCTAAGGACGCTCTTAAAGTTCAGTAACTCGTAATTAATCAGCATAACTACGGACAATCGCCATACAAAATGTAAACAATCATTCTAAGTTCTATAAAGAGAAATTAACTATAAAATATTCATGCAGGCACAACAATTACTATTCATGGTATGAGCTCTACACTAAAGGAACCCCCCTATTTTCTTTCTTCCAGAAGTAATATATTGCCACATATTTCTGTAATACTGTTTATGTTTGAGTGTATACTTGTATTAACAAGGTTGTACATAATTTAAAACAATAATTATACACACCAAAAACCAAATGTCCATAAAATTTATCATATTTTACTAGGGATGTCAACGAGTACCCGCTTAACCGGGTACTCGATCGAACGTCCGAGTATCGAATACTAAAATCGGTACTCGGTTACTCGGATGTATATTTTTTAATGTTTCAAAGCTCATTTATTAATGCATTAAAACATCGGTTTTAAAACGTAAAATGTTCATTGCATTTGTACATACAGTAATTAGAGTTTTCTACACCTCTAAATGACCGTTATCGCCCGTGGCAGTGTTTATACAGTAATTATCGTGACCAAGCACCTGTTACCTGGCTTTTCTCACCTTCGACTGTCTTCTACCCATATTTGTTGTTTGCTTTAATGATTTGTTTTCACTGAACATCGTTTATGGTCTATTATATTTAAATGAATTAGATAATTTTGTCAATTCTCCAAAAGCCGTAAATTCTCGGGAAAAGAGACAGATGATATTACACGTGCTAACGGATTGTTGATATGGTTGTGTTTGATTACATGCCAATTAATTCAAATGGTTAAAGACAAAGGGTTTCAAAAAACCGATGTCCATCGTTGCATCAAAATAAAACATACCGTCCCATAATACTATAAACATGATGAAATATAGGATCGAAAAAAATGTACGAAGATAGTAAATCCGCTCTGTCATAGGAGAACTTGACCAAGTTGATACTGAACCTCGGACAATTGATCACGTGGACGTCAAACGCAACCAAAGAGATTAACAATAAAAAAAAAAGAAAAAAAAAAGCACTGAACTATTTATGATTTTATTCCTTGTCTTTATCAGATAAATAAATTGAACTTAAAAAAATGTTATATTAAATTTCGTCGGGCATGAAGTGCTCATAATTACTACATCAGATTTACGGGTAAACCTCCCATCGGAGCATGTGGTGTTATTTCTACAAGTGTTTACAATGTTTTACAGTTTTCAATGTTACTTGTTCATATTTATCCACACTTTTACCGAGTACCCGGGTACTCGATCGGAAAAACGTCCGAGTAACCGAGTAGTAAAAATTGACCGATTTGACATCCCTATATTTTACTAAAAAAAATGAATAAATAAAACACACTTGTCTTTAAATTGGAGACGATGAAAATGAAAGTAATTCATTGATTCTCAGAAACTGGATAATTTTGCTACAGAAAATAAAGAAGTGTGCTGCAAGTGAATCAACTTTTGTCAAGTAGTTATTCAAAAGATTATTTTGCATTGGGATTCGTGGGTAAGCAGGTTGGGGGAGGGGGGTATGCGTTTTATGCAATAATTATTATTCAAAGTAAATTTTGTAATGTTTGATTAGTAAAATCCATAAATTGTATAAGTCAAATCGTAGTCATTACTTTTCTTCCGAATTATCACTATTAGCTTCAACTTGGTCGCCTCGATAGTTTGATACACGTTCTGATGTAGCATGTACATGTATATATGGTCCGTGTTTTCGGCGCGGCATATAAAACATGCATCATTCACAGAAATATCGTTTTATTACCTAATTATTTCTGTTAACCGAAAGTTGTTCCCAGCCTTCTCTTTTTAAATAATTTATCCTTAAACTGTAGAATATGTGTTTCTTGACGCGATAGACTTCGAGCAAAATCGTTATCGGATATTTAAAACGCTAAGTAAAAGTCAAACCATTAGTTAAAAAATCTCATCTCGGAAAAAGGAAGCGCGGTTCCGGTTTTACTATTCGTAAATGACGTAGTGCGAGTATAGACCTACTTTAAGGGGACGAAAGATGTATGGTCACATGACTCGGTTTAATTACGTCATAACTTTTTATAAAATATGTACAAAACAAGATTGAAACCACAGTACTTGTTTAATTTTTTGACTGTTTATTTGAGTTTACATCTTGTATAAAAATATCTAAAAACATAATTTTCAAATATTGAATGATAGGATTTTTTGCAAATTATTTTTTTATGTTGTTTAAGTTGTCTTAAAAGTACATAATTTTCCGTCTCCAGATGTGGTACGTGACAAAAGATTCTTGCTTTTTCGAAATTTTAACCCTATTTATACTCTGAAATATTTTAATAGACACATGTTTGCTGACAAATATTTTATCTATGCTGAACAAATTCCAATATGGACGGAGTATAAATGGACCCAGGAACATGGAGAATCAAAATTCCACTTAGACACTGTGGGGCATAGTATTTGTCACTCAATATCTCAAAAATAATTTGTCTATAGAAACCTATTGATATATCTGCTTTAAGATATGTGGAACATACTAAATTAGATATATACAAAATATGAAAGAAATTGAATGACAGGTATTTTTTCAGCTAAAGGTCCTTCTTCCCCTTAAGATAAGTGTGACAATTCTGATTCATATAATAAAAGTTGTTTCTTTTATATTGGCCAATGCCTATCAAATCAAAAAAACTTTCTCTTTTATGGCACTGTTCAAAAGGCTCATATCCAAGTGCTTAAAAAAGAAAGTCATTACTCATGTTTTTGCCTTAGTTGAAGTTTTGACATCACTCTGGGGAAGAAGAATTAAGCTTTCGGACCTCCAAATAACAAAGTGAGGGCTCATACAATGGCTAGGCTACTGTGATGGGAGGGCCTGAGTGGGATTTGCAAAATCTGTTTTTTTAAAAAAGAAGCTTTTGAAAAAAAAAAATCATTATACTTTATACAGATAATTAAACCAGCTAAATGGAATTTTAGTTATAATGTGTTTTATAGTAATGTTCACCTGATGGTGGCATGATCTTAATATACCCGGTATTTTTTGCAGATGATGGGATATCAGCCAATCTCTGGAAGAAAAACATCCGTTTTTAAGATTAAAAATTTTTGCAGTTTTGGTCTAAACAATATTCCTTTGGATATTTGAAACAGATGATGAAGGGATGTAGAAATTGGAGGAAGAATTTGTTGAAGTTAAAGAATGCAAACAATAGGTGCTAATGTTGTGGTAAGTTGTGTAGGGAATATACAATTTAAAAAAAATTTACATATTGAACTTTGATACAGTACTTGCAATTATATATACTTACATACTGTACTGGTCATTATCTTACTTAAAAGATACATTAATCAAAGCAAAAGCAAGAAGTTATCAAACACACATTGTATGTCTTGATAATTGCAGTTTTGTTGTGTAATTTTCTTTTTTCGGGGGATGGAGAGGGAGGGGGATTCTCCACAACAGTAAAATTAATAAAACTTCTTTTTTTGTAATTTATACATGAACTGGTATATTGAAATACGGTATCATGTTTTTATTTTATTTAGAAGTTTTTACTAAAGATTTTATACGTCATGGTGCAAGCTGATGCATTTTCTTGCCCGATTGAAGAAAACTTCATTCTAGGATTTGATCAATCTTGCTGCAAACCTATACAGTGTTTGGAAAGTAAGTCATGTATATTGGGATGAAATTCTGTATTTTGTTTTTTTAGCTCACCTGAGCTGAAAGCTCAAGTGAGTTTTTCTGATCACATTTTGTCCGGCGTCCAACTGTCTTTCTAGGTGTCTGTCTGTCCGTCTGTCTGTAAACTTTTCACATTTTCATCTTCTCCTCAAGAATTACTGGGCCAATTTCAACCAAACTTGCCACAAAATATCCTTAGGGGAAGGGAATTCAAGTTTGTTCAAATGAAGGGCCATGCCCTCTTCCAAGGGGAGATAATCATGAATTAGTGAAAAATTAATAGTATTTTAAAAAATCTTCTTCTCAAAACCACTGGGCCAGGAGAGATGAAACTCGTGTGGAATCATCCTCAGGTAGTGTAGCTTCAAGTTTGTTCAAACCATGACCCCCGGGGGTAGGGTGGGGCTAAAATGTCCTAAAATGTCCGATCAAAGTTTAACATAGGAATATATAGGAAAAATCTTTAAAAATCTTCCTCTCAAGAATAACAAAGCCATAATTGGTCATATTTATATGGAAGCATCCTCAGGTAGGTAGATTTAAGTTTGTTCAAACCATGATCCCCCATGGTAGGGCGGGGCCACAATGGTCGACCAAAGTTTTACTTTTTTTTTCTTAAGAATAACAAAGCCATGAATGGTCATATTTATATGGAAGCATCCTCAGGTAGTGTAGATTCAAATTTGTTCAAATCATGATCCCCGGGGGTTGGGCAGGGCCACAATGGCCAACCAAAGTTTTACATAGATGAAATATATAGGAAAATTCTTTAAAAATCTTCTCAAGAGTTACAAAGCCATGATTGGTCATATTTACATGGAAGCATCCTCAGGAAGTGTAGATTCAAGTTTATTCAAATCATGACCCCAGGGGTAGGGCTGGGCCACAATGGCCGACCAAAGTTTTACATAGAAATAAATAGGAAAAAATTCTTAAAAAATTTCTTCTCAAGAATTACAAAGACATGATTGGTCATATTTATATGGAAGCATCCTCAGGTAGTGTAGATTCAAGTTTATTTAAACCATGACCCCCAGGGGTAGGGCTGGACCACAATTGATTCCAAAGTTTTACATAGAAATATTTAGGAAAAATCTTTAAAAATCTTCTTCTCAAGAATAACAAAGCCATGATTGGTCATATTTACATGGAAGCATCCTCAGGTAGTATAGATTCAAGTTTGTTCAAATCATGACCCCCGAGGGTTGGCAGGGCCACAATAGCCGACCAAAGTTTTACATAGAAATATATAGGAAATTTCTTTAAAAATCTTTTCTTAAGAATAAAAGAGCCATGATTGGTCATATTTATATGGAAGCATCCTCAGGTAGTGTAGATTCAAGTTTATTCAAATCATGAACGCCGGGGGTTGAGCGATTCCACAATGGCCGACCAATGTTTTACATAGACATATATAGGTAAATTTTTTTAAATGAAAGAAAAAAGTGAGCAAGCTCACATACCCCACGCTCCCCCAAAATTCAAAGTGCTGAAAATCCAAAAAAAAAATGAAAGAATCGGAATTTCCCGGTAATATGCACATCTACAAATTGTGTCCTAAATATCTGCAAAGTTTGATGAAATTCTGTGAAGCAGTTTATAAGGAGCTGCGCTGACAAACTGTTCAGCACTATATTCAAGATATCCCCAAAAATCTAAGTTGTAAAGTGCCGAAATTCACAGAAAAATAAAGGAATCGGAATTTCCTGGTAAAATGCACATCTATACATTGTGTCCTAAATATCTGCAAAGTCTGACGAAATTCTGTGCAGCGGTTTATGAGGGGTCGCGCTGACAAAATGTTCATCTCTATATTCAAGGTATGGCCAAAAATCTAATTTGAAAAGTGCCAAAATTCCCAGAAAAATAATGGAATCGGAATTTCCTGGTAATTTGCACATCTATACACTGTGTTCTAAATATCTCCAAAGTTTGACGAAAATCTGTGCAGCGGTTTATGAGGAGTTGCGCTGACAAAATGTTCATCTCTATATTTAAGGTATGGCCAAAAATCTAAGTTGAAAAGTGTGGAAATTCTAAGAAAAAATAAAGGAATCGGAATTTCCTGGTAATATGCACATTTACACATTGTGTCCTAAATATCTGCAAAGTTTGACGAAATTCTCTGCAGTGGTTTATGAGGAGTTGCGCTGACAAACTATTCATCTCTATATAAAAGGTATGGCCAAAACCTAAGTTTTTAGTGCGGAAATTCCCGGAAAAAATAATGGAATCGGAATTTCCTGGTAATATGCACATCTACATATTGTGTCCTAAATATCTGCAAAGTTTGACGAAATTCTGTGCAGCAGTTTATGAGGAGTTGCGCTGACAAACTGTTCATCTCTATATTCAAGGTATGGCCAAATGCCTAAGTTAAAAATTCCAGAAATTCCCGGGAAAAATAATGGAATCGGAATTTCCTGGTAATATGCATGTCTACACATTGTGTTCTAAATACCTGCAAAGTTTGACGGAATTCTGTGCAGCGGTTTATGAGTAGTTGCGCTGACAAACTGTTCATCTCTATATTCAAGTTATGGCCAAATGCCTAAGTTAAAAAGTCTGGAAATTCCCGAAAAAAATGATGGAATCGGAATTTCCTAGAATAATATGCACATCTACACATTGTGTCCTAAATATCTGCAAAGTTTGATGAAGTTCTGTGCAGTGGTTTATGAGGAGTTGCACTGACAAACTGTTCATCTCTATATTCAAGGTATGGCCAAATGCCTACATACATGTCCAAGAACGAATTCGATGTCGATATCGATGATATCGACAATATTATGTCGATATCGTATCGATATCGATCGTGATCAGCACTATTAATTTGAAATATCTGGTGCCATATTTAAGACTCTCTATTATGTCAATGTCGTCGATATCGACAATATCATGACGATATCGTATCGATATCGATCCTACCTGCACAATTTATTTTCACAGTGAGGTATGACAATTTTTTTACAAAGTCACAAGTGAAGTCAAAATTGATTCATTATTGGCATGAATATGAAAGTAAATTATGATTAAGAACGTATTAGGGTTGTTATTGTTTTAGATTAGATTTAGAGTAAGATGTTGGGTTAGGGTGACAATTCTTTATAATGTTTTAACAATGATGATTCGATATCGATACGATATCGTCGATATCGACGATATCGACAGTAAGGTAAACTTATTAAACACAGAAGTGTTGTAAAAATAAAGTTTTTGTATTTAGGGTGAAGGTTGGTAAAGTAATATGCTTTTAACAATGATGATTCGATATCGATACGATATCGTCGATATCGACGATATCGACGGCAGGTAAAATCTTCGTAAAAGTAAAGAAATTAAACATAAACATATTCAAAGTAACAGGGAAGGCATTTACCAAGGGCTGAGCGAACATGATTCGATGTCAAAGCGATATCGTCGATATCGACGATATTGACACTTCAGGGAAAGATTTATAAAGAAAGTTTTAAGTAACAGTTGTTATAAACACAATATTAAGGATTGAAAACACAATTCTTGGAACAATCATGATTCGATATCGGCACGATATCGAGGATATTGACAGTAAGGAAATCGTCTTAAAACATGAAGTAGTATAATAAACACACGAGAATAGAGAAATATAATAGAAAACTATAAAAAAAAAAGTAATGTGTCGATATCGTAACTACATCGTGTCTTGGACATAACTCAATGCCTAAGTTGAAAAGTCCGGAAATTCCCGGAAAAAATAATGGAATCGGAATTTCCTGGTAATATGCACATCTACACAATGTGTCCTAAATACCTGCAAAGTTTGAGGAAATTCTGTGCAGTGGTTTATGAGGAGTTGCACTGACAAAAAAAAGGACTGACTGACTGACACTCTGACACTGACACTCTGACGGACGGGTCAAAAACATTATACCTCACGCAACTAGTTGCGTGGGGTATAAAAATCTTCTCAAGAATCGCAAAGCCATGATTGGTCATGCATGTATTTATATGGAAGCATTCTCAGGTAGTGTACATTCAAGTTTGTGCAAGTCATACCCTCTCCCCTGTAAGGAATAGTTGGGACTACTTTTGGGTTTAAACTTTTCAATAATAAACTAATTTCTGCTTTTATGCTAGCCACAGTGCTCAGGTGAGTGATGTGGCCCATGGGTCTCTTGTTTTACTAAAGTAAACAAATTATGTTTAAGTTCCATTGATTTCTAATTAATTTGAAGCTTTGATTTAAATTAAAGTGTTGTGCAATGTGATTAAAATACAGATCACTACATAGCACAAAGCGCAGAACTCTCTGTGCTTTAATTTGTGCTATGTAGAGATCTGTATTTTAATCAGATTGAACGTTGAATGTGTTTTTTTTTTTAGATCAAGGCTACAGTCTGTGTTCTAACACTGATTCTCTGGGATACGATACTTGTTATGACTGTCCACCGGGAACAATAAATCGTGAACCACCAGTAAATACAGCAAAAATCAGATTTCAGTTTGAATTCTGTACCAAAATCAACTGTGATTGTCTTCCTGGTAAGTGGAAACAAGTTAGACTGGATTTGTTCAGTGAAAATTATGTTTTATTTATTCTTCAGCAGCTTTAGCAAAGTACTAATTTTTTTTAACAATAGGCTCCATGGCAGAGCCACAATGCTCACACAGGCATTTTGACCTTGCTGTTCTTCATATTTTTGAAAAAATTGAACTTCATATTGTGACCTGACTCTAGCCCCTTGTCATCAAGGCATAACCAAACTAGAAGCCAGAAATCACAAGGATGCTAAATATCAGTATGAATAGCATGGGCTTGCTTTTCAATGAAATTTTTAGAGCAGTCCTACTCCCATGCAAGGGCCATGATGAGGACAAACTTGAATCTTCTCTACATGAGGATGTCTGAACTTTGATAAGACTAATCCTCATCTTCTTGTTTTTAGACAATATTTGGAAAAGATTTTTCTGATGTAATCCCTGTATCAAATTTTGATCTTTATTGGAATGCATCCTAATGCTGGAAGTACTGATCATATTTTCTGCTCTTGATCAATCTGCAGAATTGTTATTACTTTCAGAATATTTGAGAGTGAAATTGTGATTCTTTTGCTTCTGATTTCATCAGAAAAGATGATACTCAAAGAATTGCCTAAAGGAATTCACAGTTTTTATTTTATTTCTGTGTTGTAGAAGCAGAACTTCAAAATAGAGAGGAATGTGAGAAAACTGGTGACAAGATCTGTGTCTGTAGGAGGCAGGATCGTTACTATGGTGATGACCCTGGAGCATGTAAAGGACCAATCAATGATGAGATCAAAGTGAAAAAGATCAAACAACCAGGATTTGAATTAAAAATCACAGGTAAAAAAAATTTGATATTTTAAGTGATGTAATGTTATAGATACAAACAGGATTTCCAGGGTGACTTGTAATCTACATTTTTCAGGAGAAGTTGACAAGTGTGAACTGGGATTCTTCAAGAACAAAAGCGATAGTTCTATATGTATTCCTCATTCACAGTAAGTTAATACTCTATTCTATCATTTAAATTTGTATCAATTATTTACTGTAAACAATTACATAGAAAGAACTATATCATGTTATGCATGTAGCTGAAAAAATATATAATTATACATATCCAAAATTATACATATTTATATTTCATAAATTAGAAGCGTCTCATATGCTTGGCTTCCTATCAGTTCTTGGAAGTTTTGATTTAGGGCAGGTACAAATTAATAAATCATTATATACCTTGATATATGTGTTGAAGTGATATCATGTATGAGAATAAGTTAATTTAAAACAAATAAACAAATGGAATTGATCAACAGGTGCCCTAATGGCTACTTGTCAGTTTTTAATGGGTCTACAACTCAGGATAGAGAATGTCAGAGAATCACCACCACCACACAACCAGAAACTACCACACAACCAGGTACCACCAAACAACCAGTCACCACAAAAATGCTAGTTAACATTACACTGCAACCAGTCACTACCTCAAAAACTGTTGTTATGTTTACAACATCAACGATTAATGGAATGAGAGTAGTGCAGGAACCAGATACGTCTGGAGATGAAAGCTCTACACCTGACCCAGGTCCTGTAAACAATGAACCAGTGGAAGGTTAGTGATAGAAACTTTAGAACATTGGAATATTAAAGGTATGCTTGTACATTATGATAGTAATTAAATTATTGATTCAAAATACAACTTACTTTTATTTCTTTATAATCAGGTAGTATGGATTTAGTTTGGGTTCCAATAGTTGGTGTAGCTATAGGGTAAGTGATACCTTGATATTTCATCTAAAAACCATAGTATACCATATTTTTGAACAAGGGCAAGAAAATTTCCAGCCAAAATTATTTATACCCCATCCCAATAAAAATAAAGTTTGACTTTGTATGTATCAAAGAATCGTTGATAGCTCATATTTAGTACAGAAATTGTGTGTGACTCAAGTGTGTGTCATGACCTTGACTCAAGATCATACGTCAGACAAGTACAAGGGCACAGGCAGAAAAATATAAAATTCTTATATGGTGTATAATGTTGTTATGAAAAATCATTGGAAGGAGGATATGTCTTGACCTTGACTCAAGGTCATTCCAACATAACCAAACTAAACAACATTGGAAGCTCATTTCAGTACTTGGCACATAGATTGTTTAGGACATGAGAATGTGTTATACAACTTAACACAAATTTATTAGCTCACGTTAACCGAAGGCTCAATTGAGCTTTTCTGATCAAAATTTGTCTGTTGTCGGTCGTCAATTGTCATTTTATGTCATTGTAAACTTTTCACATTTTCATCTTCTTCTCAAGAAACAATGGGCCAGTTTCAATCAAACTTGCCACAAAGAATTTTTGGGTGAAAGGGATTCAAGTTTGTTCAAATAAGGGCCATGCCCTCTTCCAAGAGGAAATAATTGATATGAATTAACAAAAAATTAATGCATTTTTTAAAAATCTTCTTTTCAAGAACCACTGGGCTAGGAAAGATGAAACGCTTGTGGAATTATCCTCAGGTAATGCAGATTCAAGTTTCTTCAAATCATGACCCCCCAGGGGAAGGGTGGGGCCACAATGGCTGATCAAAGTTTTACAAAGGAACATTTTAGGAAGAATCTTTTAAAATCTTCTCGAGAACAGCAAAGCCATGATTGGTGATATTTATATGGAAGCATCCTCAGGTGGTGTAGATTCAAGTTTATTCAAAAGCCCCCTGGCATAGGGTGGGTCCACAATAGATGATCAAAGTTTTACATAGGAATATATAGGAAAAATTTTCTTCTCAAGAACAGTGAAGTCATTAATGGTCATATTTATATGGAGACATCTGCAGGTGATATAGATTCAAGTTGGTACAAATCATGACCCCCCCCCCGGGGATAGGTTGGGACCACAATGGACAATCAAGGGTTTACATGTACATATGAATATTATAGGGAAAAAAAATCTTTAAAAATCTTCTCAAGAACATCAAATCCATGGTTGGTCATATCTATTTGGAAGCATCCTAAGGTGTGTAGATTCAAGTTTGTTCAAAATATGATGCTTATATCTGACAAAGAAGAAAAAAATGAAAATTTTACAACATATTTGTTCAATTAAAAAAGTTGACTAGAACCCATGGCTCAGGTCAATCAGGTGAGCTAAAAATAATAAATAATATCCCAAGACATTTAGAGGTGACAATGACAGACAACTTAGTTAAAATATTATCTGAAACAATTGAACAAATACAGTATTATTTTCTTTCTATGACAATGTCAAAACTTGTATTGTTTCAGATTTGGATTATTAATGGTAATAGTTGTTCCTTTGTGTGTATGCTACTGGAAGAAAAGAAGGAAGAAACTAGAACAAAGCCAAGGTATTTTGAATACTTAAAGAGGCTGCATTAGACCCCTACTGGTGAAACCAGAGGGGACTCTAAATTTCCTCCTTTATATCTGTTTGTCCATTTGTCTTTGTCCCTTTTTGGTTTTCTGCATTTTTTGTAAGTGCTTGCAGAAGCTGTGGTGGTTTTTGGTATGTCATATTGTAACTTGATGAGTTACAAGCTACCATATAAGTGGAATTTTTAGCGAGATGCATGTATATAAGTAATTTATTCTTAAAAATTGGGGGTTTTTTTATTTTTAGCGAGAGGTAATTTTAGCAATTTTAGAATGCTAAGTAAAGGAGCTATTAAAATAAAACACAATTTCTAGTAATATTCAATTTTAGAAATCTTAGGACCATTGCTAATAATGCCAAATCAAAACCTTGCTAAAAATTCTACTTAAACATATGTTTGCATTTCATTTTATGTTTATTTTTGACAGAATTATGGCCTTTGTAATTTTCATTGGGAGCCAGATTACACTTGCCAGTATCATAGGACTAGCATTCCTTTTGTAATGCTCTCTGAATGTTTATTTGATTTTTATTACTTTTTTTTAGGGGAAATAATTTAATCTTACAATTGATTTTAATTTTTTTTTTTCAGGCATAGAACTAGAGAAGATACCAGTAGAAAAACCAGCAGTTAGTTGTCCAGATATTAATAATATAACAAATGATAAAGAAGCAGTCAAAATGTCTGAAAAAGAACCTTTGTTACATGTAACTGTAAATGATGAAACAGTAAACAGTGAAGAAGTAGATAGCAATGACATTTTTGTGGGACCCGATGGAGTCATAAAGCAGTTAACAGAGGAAATACCTAACTCCAGTGACCAGAAAACAGCTCTCAGTGTTGAAGGTTTGGATAGTGAGGCAGTGACTGGTCAAGTCATAATACAGCGCGAAGAGCCATCTCAACAAAGTGATGTACAGAGTATACCATCACATGATTCTGCCAACTTAAACACTGCAGTAAAAACACAAAACTTTACAGTGTGTAAAGATGAATCTCCAGAAGTGAAAAAAATAACTGTAGAAAAGCAGAAGAGCGATCCAACTAACATAATACAAACGGCAGAGCCCTGTTCAAATCCTATTCATATAGTCCAAATGGAAGATCCCCCAGTTATTTTTTTAGCTCCAGACTCTTCACCTCTGGTCTTTTCTAGTAACCCTCAGCCACCTCTGACCTTACCTAGTGACCCCCAGCCACCACATTCTATTGGTTCTCTAAGGAGTGATGAAAAGTACTCACACTTGTCTCTTAGTTCTCTTGGAGAACATGTAGTTCCACCAGACAGTGACTATGGCACAGGTTATTGTCATTTTTTATTGATGTTACATATTATTTTAAAAAAACATTCTAAATGTTTTTCAAAACTTATAAATGGCATGGTTGCTCAGTAAAACTTGTTGATAAATTTCAAGGTAATTGCTCGTAGACATCTGGTAACATTTTGAATACTTGTATAACTGTCTTTGATTGAACTCTGGATAATGTTTGACGTGTTGAATTCTTTCTTTCCAGGATCTTCAACAAAAAATAATTCCGCAACTTTAGTCTCGTTAGGATCATCAGGAAATTATACAGACTTGCATTGGTCCTCATTGCAAAGTAACGAGGGAAATCTCAGACCAGGTCAGCCAAACAAGACAGTGGTCCCACCTCAGCAAGAAAGTCAACAGAACATTAACAATCCAAAAGTTGTTGGTAAAGACCAGTTATTTTTTATTTATTTATTTTCTATAAAGACTGCTAATAGTTAATTTATTAGGAGGCATCAATAAGGAAAATTCCAAAGGACATGTAATGCACTGTACCATGGTAACGATTTATCTTTTTGGCTTACTACCGTGGTATAACTTTAAGAACCCATAATGTATAGACTTCAAATACATGGAAAAGTTGTGGAGAGAGGCATATTTGTCATTGTGACCCAAAAATGTTTCTGATTATTGAGTAAATAAAATAATTTTCTATTATTAATTTTGTAGCAATTGTGTCACCTTTTAGAAGAGATGAAAAAGGCACCTTGAAGGTAATCATCACAAATAAATTAAACATAAAAATTTCATTTATCATCTGAAAATATTTTGAAGACTAATCACTATAGAGATTTAGTCTAATTACAGATGTCGGATTTAAACTCGAAGTCACCTGAATCATTAAGATAACCCATTGATTGATATTTGTTTATGTGTGCTGTGCACTTTGTTTAACTGGTTTTGTCGGTTGTGAATGTCATGGTCCCTGTCCCAAACCCCCTCCCAGGCCTGAAGGTTAGGGCCAAAACCATGAAATTTAATGCAATCTCAAAAATAATTTTACTGCTGGGTCCTATTCTATGCATTACTAAGGCCATCTTTAAAATAATGTTTGCTTGCCTTAAGGGCAATGCCCTCTCCCAACTCAGGGAAAAATTACCGAGTTGGTAGGTACCAGTAAGTTGGAAAATCCAGAAAATTTCAACTCATTGCTGACAGGAAATGAGGAATAAAAAAGAAAAAATACTGTATCCTGGAATTAAAAAAAAAAGTTTTGAGTCAGGGCATTTTATTACATATAAGTCAGAAGGTCGGGAGAAGGCTACCAAACAATTTTTTAAAGATGGCCTTAGGCCAAAGTGTTATATGTGGGTTGTTGTAATATTATGTCACCTAAAATATTGTTATCCTATAGACTTCTTGTATGCTTGTTTTTTGCAGATCATTATTAGAAGTAAACTCTCTTTTCTTTTCTTTTGTAGATTGTTGATGAGGAACAGACTTATTCCAAGACACCATAGTTCAGGTCTGGTACAATCATTAGATTTAGCTACGTAGCTTGACTTACCTACATAGCTTTATTTACCTACCTGGGGTAGCTTTATTTAGCTACCAAATCAATTTATTTCTACAAGAAAGCATTTTTCTTAGGGTGTGCAGAAAATATGATTTTGATGCAGTGATTATTTTCAACTTTGAACTCATCTGAAAACAACTCATGAAAAAATCCCTCTTGAAAAAATGTCTTTTTCTGCGCAATTGCAATCAAAGTTCTGAAAGTTTTGGGGCTATGTATGACAATTAGAACAGTTACTCCTTGGATGAAATGACTAAGAAGTCCAGCTCCGGTTAACATGATAATAGGTCTGTAATTATTCAACACAATGTGAAGTAATCATATTCAGCCATGCCTCACCACATGCATGAGAGAGGACAGTTAACCAAACAATGGAATTACATGTTTTGCTCTAAATTGTCCAAACGCAGCAATGTATAAACTATCTCTGCTTTAGAATGGATTGTTTTTTAAGCCTCCCTAGTATAAATATCAATAGCCATTTTATTGCGACTTTTTGTCTCTTTCAAATAAAAAGAAAACTTTTGAAAAGTTACATTGAAATAGCTAAATAAAGCTACCTGAGGTAGGTAAATAAAGCTACATAGGTAATTCTACCTACGTAGCTAAATCTAGTGATTGTACTGGACCTGTAGTTAGCTGTAGGTCATCAACTTAATATAAACTTATATGTACAGAATCTTTGATACCTATATAATGACATTTTCTACTTGAGCTGGTGGGTAGAGGATGAAATCATTCAGGGGAGCACTTAACTGGCTCGACAAAGATTCCTGGAGGATCAATCTCAAACAGATTTTGAGGGCAACATTGATTGTTAGCCTCCAAGGGATGAAATATTGCACAATGCAGAGCAGATATACATGATCAATGTTCCGGAAAAGCGTTTCAAGGATGTGTCGATCAAACCCGCCAAAAAATTTAAAGTTTTAATAACTTTTAAATGAAATAAGATTTTTAATTAATTTTTGTGTGAAATGCTAATAAAACATATAAGTCGTAATATTATAGAGAAAGTATTAATTTCAAATCTGTGTCCAAGTACCTTTAATATTAATGTTCTACTGGTAATTGTCATGTTTTTTGGAAGTCAAGACAGTATATATATCATAATATCACAATTAAATGACATCTAAAACCATAAAATGTAGGAAAACTCAATTTGACAGTCAATAGTTAAAATTACTGTAAATCACTTTTTATTCGCGAGAACTTTATTTTCGCATAATTACGCAAGACTGTATGCTCGCGAAAAATTCATTCTCGCGTATAATAGAATTCCTTAATATTATATAGAGGGATGACAACAGTTCGTGAAAATTTGGTCTCGCTTATAAAGAGTAAAGGACTATTCTTGGAATATATTTTATATATTTTATATACTGTGATATGTACTGGGTTAATTTATACAAATTTGCAATATTTATACTTGTTTAGACTTTTAAAATAATTTTGAAAATATATACTCGCGAAAATAAGGTGTCGCGAAAATTATGTGATCTACAGTAAATGAATGAGGAGCTAAATGCATATTTATACTTATTACTAGTACATGTATGTATAGATTTATATTCCAAAAACTGCTTTCAAATTTGAATAATCATGCCATTTTATTTTGTAAGGAAAAAAATTAAAAAATTACAAGTACTTATTATGACTGGTATATTGATGACTAATGCAGATAAGTTCAGTTGTAAAGTTTTTATTATACCCCACGCAACTAGTTGCGGGAGGTATAATGTTTTTGACTGGTCCGTCAGTCAGTCAGTCAGTCAGTCCGTCAGTCAGTCAGTCCTCTTTTTTTTGTCAGCGCAACTCCTCATAAACCGCTGCACAGAATTTCGTCAAACTTTGCAGGTATTTAGGACACAATGTGTAGATGTGCATATTACCAGGAAATTCCGATTCCATTATTTTTTCCGGGAATTTCCACACTTTTAACTTAGGCATTTGGCCATACCTTGAATATAGAGATGAACAGTTTGTCAGCGCAACTCCTCATAAACCGCTGCACAGAATTTCGTCAAACTTTGCAGGTATTTAGGACACAATGTGTAGATGTGCATATTACCAGGAAATTCCGATTCCATTATTTTTTCCGGGAATTTCCACACTTTTAACTTAGGCATTTGGCCATACCTTGAATATAGAGATGAACAGTTTGTCAGCGCAACTCCTCATAAACCGCTGCACAGAATTTCGTCAAACTTTGCAGGTATTTAGGACACAATGTGTAGATGTGCATATTACCAGGAAATTCCGATTCCATAATTTTTTCCGGGAATTTCCACACTTTTAACTTAGGCATTTGGCCATACCTTGAATATAGAGATGAACAGTTTGTCAGCGCAACTCCTCATAAACCGCTGCACAGAATTTCGTCAAACTTTGCAGGTATTTAGGACACAATGTGTAGATGTGCATATTACCAGGAAATTCCGATTCCTTTATTTTTCCGGGAATTTCCGCACTTTTAACTTAGGCATTTGGCCATACCTTGAATATAGAGATGAACAGTTTGTCAGCGCAACTCCTAATACACCGCTACACAGAATTTCGTCAAACTTTGCAGATATTTAGGACACAATGTGTAGATGTGCATATTACCAGGAAATTCCGATTCCTTTATTTTTTCGGGAATTTCCGCACTTTTAACTTAGGCATTTGACCATACCTTGAATACAGAGATGAACAGTTTGTCAGCACAACTCCTCATAAACCGCTGCACAGAATTTTGTCAAACTTTGCAGGTATTTAGGACACAATGTGTAGATGTGCATATTACCAGGAAATTTCGATTCCGTTATTTTTTCCGGGAATTTCCGCACTTTTAACTTAGGCATTTGGCCATATCTTGAATATAGAGATAAACAATTTGTCAGCGCAACTTCTCATAAACCGCTGCACAGAATTTCGTCAAACTTTACAGATATTTAGGACACAATGTGTAGATGTGCACATTACCAGACGGGGCCACCAAATTTTTACATAGAAATTCCGATTCTTTTATTTTTCCGGGAATTTCCGCACCTTTAACTTAGGCATTTGGCCATACCTTGAATATAGAGATGAACAGTTTGTCAGCGCAACTCCTCATAAACGGCTGCACAGAATTTCGTTAAACTTTGCAGATATTTAGGACACAATGTGTAGATGTGCATATTACCAGGAAATTCCGATTCCTTTATTTTTCCGGGAATTTCCACACTTTTCAACTTAGACTTTTTTGCCATATTTTGAATATAGAGATGAACAGTTTGTTAGCACCACTCCTCTTAAACTGTTGTACATAGTTTCGTCAACCTATGCTGATATTTAGGACATATTCCATTATTTTATCCCAAAGAGTTTTGCCTATTATTCAAGAAAATTTCTCACCCCTCTCCCCCCACTTCAAATTAATGTGTGGATTTGTATATTTTCAAGAAATTTTGATTCCATAATTTATCTAGAAACTTCATTCCACATTTAAATGTCCTCATATGCAAGACATTTTGATGTGAAGATCTTTTGCAATTATTGCTCTTTCTGATCTATACTATGTACATGTATTTAAAGTGCACTGTGCCTTTCATTAAATGTGTTTCACCGTCAAGTTATGGGGGAGCGTGGGGTATGTGAGCTAGCTCACTTTTTCTTTCATTGTTCCTGGTTTTTTCCCCATTTTTTCTCCTCAGTTTTGTTAAAGCAATATGATATTATTGTTATTTAATACACATTGTTACAGATTCACTTCAGATCTTACAGACTTTCAAATTCTTGGAATATATTTTATATATTTTTAGCTCACCTGAGCCGAAGGCTCAAGTGAGCTTTTCTGATCACATTTTGTCCATCGTCCGTCCGTCTAGCTGTCCGTCTGTCTGTCCGTCTGTAAACTTTTCACATTTTTGACTTCTTCTCAAGAACCACTGGGCCAATTTTGACCAAACTTGGTACAAAGCATCCTTGGGTGAAGGGGAATTTAAATTGTTAAAATGAAGGGACATATCCCCTCGCAAGGGGAGATAATCAAGAAAAGACATAAATAGGGTTGGGTCATTAAAAAATCTTCTTCTCAAGAACCACTGGGCCAGTAAAGCTGAAACTTATGTGGAAGCATCCTGGTATAGTGTAGATTCTAAATTGTTCAAATCATGACCCCCGGGGGAAGGGCGGGGCCACAATGGGGAATCAAAGTTTTATATAGAAATATATAGGAAAAATCTTTGAAAATCTTCTTCTCAAGAACCACTGGGCCAGAAAAGCTGAAACTTATGTGGAAGCATCCTAGTATAGTGTAGATTCTAAATTGTTCACATCATGACCCCCGGGGGAAGGGCAGGGCCACAATGGGGAATCAAAGTTTTACATAGAAATATAGAGGAAAAATCTTTGAAAATCTTCTTCTCAAGAACCACTGGGCCAAAAAAGCTGAAACTTATGTGGAAGCATCCTGGTATAATGTAGATTCTAAATTGTTCAAATAATGACCCCCGGGGGAAGGGCGGGGCCACAATGGGGAATCAAAGTTTTATATAGAAATATATTGGAAAAATCTTTGAAAATCTTCTTCTCAAGAACCACTGGGCCAGAAAAAGTGAAGCTTATGTGGAAGCAGTCTGGGGTAGTGTAAATTCTAAATTGTAGGAATCATGACCCCTGGGGGAAGGGCCGGGCCATTATAGGGAATCAAAGTTTTACATAGAAATATATAGGAAAAATCTTTGAAAATCTTCTTCTCAGGAACCACTGGGCCAAAAAAGCTGAAACATATGTGCCCATGGAAGGATCATGGGGTAGTGTAGATTTCAAAATGTCTAAATTATGATCAGTGGGGTAGGGTGGGGATGCATTATGTATAACAAGGGGGAAATCTGGTAAAGAACAGAATGGTCAAAGCTTCTCAGGTGAGCGATGTGGCCCATGGGCCTCTTGTTCTTATATACTGTGATATGTACTGTGTTAATTTATACAAATTTGCAAAACTTGTATATACTTTTAAAATAATTTTGAAAACATACTATACTGTATTCTGTACAACTCTTCTCCATGCATATAAATATGCGATCGACATATCTGAATAAGATCTGTTCAGAGACATATTAATTATAAAAAAAATTTAAAAAAATATTTATAAATATTTATTTCTCTGGATCTGTTATATAATCATGAACAAGTGTGATAAAATACAGTTGTACTGTTGGATACTGAAACAAATCTGATTTATAATCTAGTCATATTTATTGCATCGCTGTAGTTTGAATATAGGTACAATACATGTATTGATATGTATTTTGCTTTTAGATAATTTAAATATACATTTGTATCTAAGTTTTCAGCAGTAGTTACATGTATTATGTTTGAATTCATGTTTTCTATCACTAAGTACAGTGGAGCTTCATTTATCCAGACGCTTTGGTTCCTAGTCAATTTGTCCGGATATGTGAAGCGTCCAGATACCTGAATCACCAGTTAAACAGGACAAAATAACATTTAAAAATTCTGTCCTGACGAAAAATCATCCGGATACTGAAGCATCTGGATATCTGGGGTCCGGATATCTGAGGGTCCAATGTATATGCATATATTGCATGTAGTTGAGTGCAACATTGAAATATTTAAACTCAAAAAAAAGGTTCAAAGAATATCCTGATGTAACTGTGGATGCCAAAATAGTGACTGCCGAAAAGTTTTTTAAAAAATCTTATTAGAATGTGTCCATTTACCTTCTGTAGATTAAGAATTTAAAATTCATGCTAGTTTTTGATTATGAATTTAATGACAATTCGCCGTACATTTCAATTGCAATTTTATATAAGTTTGTTTAATCTGAGAAAGAATTTAATTTAAATTAAACTTTCTGTAGCACAGTGATGACACATAAAATATATAGGGATTATTTATAGTGTAAGTCCAATTAAAGTCATTCAAATAAACAAAGACTATTTCATTACGGTATATTCATTTTCAACATTGCAATTTAAAACTGAAAGGTCATGAAAATTAAAAATGCCTTATTCATTTTATATTAGACTTACTGCATTTCAAGTTACCCTGGTAGTTCAAAAGTGATATGAAACCATCCTAGACTGATATTAATACAATTCCAAATGACATGTATTAGAAAGTATAATATAATCCTTTAAATAGTTAAAAAGATACATTCTTATCTCATGACTATGAGTTATGATTGAGCATGCTTAATAAAAAGCCATCATGATGAGATATAAATTTAAAAGTTAGAAGCAAAACCTGCTTGCATGGGTCTCCCAGGGACAGGGATTCCATGCCAACACACAGGTTTCTGTGACAAGGATTCCTCACTTTCAGACTCAGAATCTGTGTATTGGGCATCCAGAACCCATGCAATATGTAACTTTTTAAGAATTGATCTGTGCAGGTTTTGTGCCTTAGCTGTGTCTATTCCAACTCAAACTTTCAAAACTGTTCACATTTAGTTTAATATTTGAATAAGAGAAGACTGAACTGGAAAATGAAAGACATTACATAATATCGGTAGATATATTTCACTTGAAAGAGGTAAATGGTAAGCTGTCAGCATCCTTATAGATGTCTCGTACAGGGTCCTGCAAAGATAGGTTATGTGGGTATTTGTCCCTGTGAGATTTTTAAATCACTGATGCTGGGACACCCTCTATATCCTAGGCGCTTTCATACTTCACAGCTGAATTCCTTGTGGCAAGAACTTCTTCACGAACACATCTTTTTTTTTTATAATTCAAACAAAAATAAACTAAAAAACTGAAATAGTTAACATTTTTATTGCTTTATAATATCAGAACATGAGAATCAAACTGTTATCAAAAATAATGTACATACAAAATACTTCTAACATTAGTTCAATATTGAAAAAGAAAATAAACTATGATTTTGTGACAATTTTTTCCCTATTTCTAAATGCAGTATTTATTTGAGACTTGTTACATTGTGACAGGTCATTTGTAAACATGAGCATATTTTAACAAAATGGAATTTATTTATATCCAGGTATGTATTACAATTTTTCTTGAATCAACTTCCTCAATTAAGTTTGAGTACTAGTACTTTATCTTGAAAGTAAAATAAATCTGAAAACATATGTATTGTAATCCTGCTTTAAAACATGGTACAGTAAAACTCAGTTACTTTATAACAAAGTCACTGAGACCTATGAAATTACATGTACTTTGCTATTACCATAATATTTATATCCGTATAATGAATTTGTTAAATTTAACTTCGCTGTATCATCCCTGTTTGTATTTATATCATTTCAGGAAAACGGTTACAATGTTTGAACTTCAGACTCTCCCCTCTCTGAAAAGAACAAAAGTCGAATTAAAAATTAGCTTAATACCTAATTTAGACAAAAAATTTTATGAAAATTTAACTTGAAGTAGAATCTGACAATTTAAGGATGGATAGAAACTCTGGAGGACAGGGAGACAAAGAGATGAATAGGAGGGATCTATAAAGTATGGCTTCAACTCAAGATCAAGTCATTAATACTGAGGGAGGTCAACATTACCGCTACATTTCCAAAAATTTCAACTCATTACCGCTACATTTTTTCAGATTTTCGACTGATCATTACTGCTACATTTTTCCGGCCAAAAACAACTCATTACTGCTAAATATTAAATCAGCCCAAAACAACTCATTAATAATGCTACCTATCGATTTAGCCAGGTATGATTCGGGATATGAGTTTTAATCAACAGAATTCAATCAGTATCTAATCAGAATGAGTATATTTATATAAATAACTCTGCAGTCAAAATTTAATTATTTAGCGTCATATGAACATTATGGCCACAATTGAGAAGTTTGTTACAAATCGAGAGAATGCCGGCTTACTTATCGATGGTTATAAATTTAGAAAACAACAACATGTGAAGCAAATGGCTTTCAAGGCTTTAGCAATAGTATAAAAACATTTGACAAACCTTAGAATTTTATCTATGAAACTGCTTGATTTTAATTTTTTGTGTTTTATGAAATAAATTGATTTTGATAATAAAAAAACCCCATCCTGTTCAAAGTTCTACTTTCACCTCACCGTGGTGAGCAGGGAAAACGGGTCTTATGCATTTATAGGTTGTACTGTACACGCATATGTGGCTGGCTAGCGAAAGAGGCAATGTAGCGGTCATGTAAGGTTTTTTGTAGCGGTAATGACTATGTAGCGGTAATGAAATTTTGAAAATGTAGCAGTAATGATACGCACCCAATACTGAATACATGGTTGTACTTGTACATCAGAGTTCACTAATGATGAATGAAAAAATTAAATTATTTACAAGGTTTTATGTCAAAATAGCACTGTATGTATTAAATGCTAACAATGAGCAGATTTTCTGTCTTAAAAGAGCTAAGCAACCATGCTCAACTCAGTCACTAATATACCTCCTTTTACTCATCAGCTGATTTTCTTCCCTAGTGTAAAATCAAGTTCTCATGAAACAATGCTTTTAATGGAGGGTTCTTTGAAATTTGATTTTGTAGTGAAAGAACATTTGAAAATTTACATTTTGTGAATGTCATGAATTTATGCCACAAAAACGGTAAAAATTAAACCCCATTTATATATATTTATATCTGACTGTCCATTCTGGTCCCACCCCATGTGTCTTAAACAATTAAAATCTACACAATCTAGGGATGCTTCTGTATCAATATGAACAAGAGATGTTTGTAAAACACTTGTGCCCCCCTCTCCCCAAATTGGAATTTTTCCAAGTCCAAGGGGCAAATCTCTGTCAAAAATGGCACGATTGTACCCAAAACAGAATTTGACCTAGATATTCATCTGATAAATCTGTATACTAAATTTCATCTCAGCATGTGCAACGGTTGTAAAGAAAATGAACGGAAACTGCAAATAATTGGAATTTTTCTAAGTCCAAGGGGCATAACTCTGTCAAAAATGGTGCAATCATACCTAAAACCGAACTGGACCTAGATATTAATGTGATATATCTGTATACAAAATTTCATTTCAGTATGTGCAACGGTTGCGAAGAAAATGAACGGAAACTAAGTGGACCGACAGACAGCAGCAAAGCAATATGCCCTCCCTTCTTCGAAGGGGGGCATAATAATTGTTATTTCTTTATGATTTTTGAGAACAATATAAAAGATTTTCTCCAATATACTCCTTTGTAAAACTTTGATTGTCCTTGCTCGGGTGAGATAGGTTTGTTGATAACTTGCAACATCGGAAAATTTGAGGAATAAGATCATCCTACTTTCAATGGAGATACACTTGATTGGAAAATAACAGTTCATACTACTAGTATTTACATTCTGCAGGACCTATTAAGTATTCTCTACTATAATATACAAGATAAAGCAAGAGCAACTGAAAATGCATATTTTGGAAAAAATATTGAAAAAAAAAATACATACAGAATACTTAAATTCCTGAGGTCAAAATTCTCCAACCTCTCAATATCTTTGCACTATTTATAAAAACTTTGAAGAAAATAGCCTGTTCTTTTGCATTCTTCATCATTTTGCTTCTAGCAGACACAAGAACCAAGTCTGTGGTTTGTACAATATGGGTAGTAATGACGATAAAAAGCACACAAAGACTTATAAATCGTTGCAGAAAATGTACATTTGTTTTTACAAAGGTATTGAGACAGGAATGTCCAAGGAAAACTTAGAGATGATTGGGATATTTACCACAGAACATTCAAAATATATAATTCAAGTTTTTGTTTATATTACTGAAAATTTAGTGGCTACAGGTAAAAGAATTTTCTTTTTTTACTTGAAATCTGACCGAGTTTAAATGATTTGAAAATATTCTTTCTTGAACTATGACTAATGACTTTATAGAACACATTTATATTTAATTTTTAAGAACTGCTTTATCATATTCTTACAACTTTAATATCACAAATTCTGAAACACTACTAAAAAGCACTACATGTATAAGCAGTAACCCTTGAATATAATGATGTGACCAAAACACAAGAATAACAAGAGATGTTTGTAAAACACTTATGCCCCCCCCCCCTTTGAATTTTTCCACGTCCAAAGGGGCATAACTCTGTCAAAAATGGTGCAATCGTACCCAAAACAGAACTTGATCTAGATATTCAGCTGATTAATCTGTATACTAAATTTCAATTCAGTTTGTGCAACCTCTGCAAAGAAAATGAACGGAAACTGTAAATAATTGGAATTTTTCTAAGTCCAAGGGGCCTAACTCTGTCAAAAATGGTGCAATCGTACCCAAAACAGAACTTGACCTAGATATTCATCTTAAAAATCTGTATACTAAATTTCATTTTAGTATGTGCAACCTCTCTGAAGAAAATGAACAGAAACTGCAAATAAGTGGAATTTTTTTAAGTCCAAGGGGCATAAGCCACATAACTCTGTCAAAAATGGTGCAATCGTACCCAAAACAGAATTTGACCTAGATATTCATCCGGTATACCTGTATACCAAATTTCATTTCAGTATGTGCAACGGTTGTGAAGAAAATGAACGGAAACTAAATGGACCGACAGACGGCAGCAAAGCAATATGCCCTCCCTTCTTCGAAGGGGGGGGGGGGCATAATAAACATTGAACAATACATTAAAAAATACAAGTAACTGATAATGCCCTGCTTCTTGCACTGGTAAATGAAAATTACATCCAAAAAATATTACAAATAATAAAAAAAGCAAATCAAAATGCGACAGAAAATGGCAACAATAATTACAATATATAGTCTACAGTGTATTAATAAAGCCTTCATGCAGGTATATAAATGATTGTTTGAATATTCAGAGCATTATTATTTTTCGGCATACATGTAAATACTGTGATATAAATTTGGACAAAAGTCACAAGGAACACATTTTAGTGAATGTTCACAATCCTGTATGATGAGAACACATTCATATTGGTGTACAAAAGAACAAAACATGAAAAATGATCTAATCTCATAAACCTGGCATATGAATTCTGCATTAAAAAACAGAATGAATTTTTTGGACAATTTATATACACATGTACTGGTTATATATGCTGCATGAACTGCAGAACGAGTACATCACACAGATTAAAAAATGTAACTTAATATCACAACCACAGTTTTTTGAAATTGCCTGAGTTATATATTTTACAAGGGATTGACATTTTTTATGCAGTTCTACATTTCTCTGAATTCATTTTTCTGTTAAATCGAACAAATATTACTTGATTAAAAGACACAAAGGTACATATGACTACATTAGTAAGATGAATTTTCAAAAAAATGTTTATAAGCATTGAGAAACACTGATGTAGTGGTTCCTCTCCTCTGATGATTATCTCTCCTCACACTCTAATAGGAGGACTTCCTCTATGTCATCCATCTGCTTTGTTATCTCTAAAAAGAAGAATAGGATGCATCAAGATTTCTAAAAATATACATGTACATGTTATCAGATGCAGTATATCACAGAAAGAGAGAAAAAAATTCAACTGAGATCAGGTCTGCTGATGAGGTGAAAATAAAATCTTCAGGTACAAGGTTTGACTAGTTCTTTTCTGATTGGAAGACTAGATGCAAATCAATGTATGTAAGATCTCTCATGATTACAGATATGATTTTTTATGCAACAAATTGTGGGTTTCTTTTTCCTGAGCCTTGACAAGAGGATTAAAACACAACAGTTGGATGAAAAAAAATCATATCTTAGAATACATGATGGGAGATTCTTTTTATCATTTATTTTACTCATGGTTATTTTGTGTTTTACACAGTCTAGTATATGTATAAATCCATAATATTTGACTTGATGAAATTCACACTATAGCCATTGTGATGTCAAAACTGTGGATATGAAAATGATATCCTATGAGTTATATCCACTGTATAGAGGTAAAACATTTTATGATTTCTAGGATATATCCTACATACTTTTCAAGTGGGGATATACACACACAGGTCTGTAGCTGATTAACAGAAATCACGTTTGAGAAGTAACAAATATTTAATGAGATAAGTGACTTACCTCTGCATCTTTGAGTTGCAGCATCCAGTTTCCCCTTTTCTTCCTTTAGATCAGCAATACCAGACCTCAGACTATTAAGTTCATCTGTTTAAAACAAGGAATCACTATAGTACATTGGTTCATATACCTAAATAAACAAACAAAGCTGATGATAAGACAAGTGACTTACTTTGCAAAACCAGATTTTGCTTCAGAACAGAGACAAATGCTTTGGTGACAATCCCATGAGATTCAGAACAGGTCTCTTCACAGGATTCTACAAAACACAACAAAGGCAACTTGAAATCTCAGATACAGTAGGGAACACTACTTACAAATTGTGAATGATTTTAAAAAAGCTGATCTTAGCAATGGGAAAACCTCTGTATTATATACATTTGAATCTGGTATTGTGTATTTGTTTAACTTACTGAAAAACCTTTGGAGAGTTTGCTCAATCTGTGCTTCATCTGCTGTAGGGGGTATACTGGACAGGGCAGACTGAACATCATGTATTGCATTAGGGTCCAACAGAGGGGTTTGGTTGTTGTTGTTGTTGTTGGCCAAGGAATTTAACAACATGCTGAAGCAATCCAACTCAGAACTGCTTTCCAAAACTAAAATATAGACTAAAGATGATCACCACTTTATCTATAAAACTAATTACACTCATTAGAACATTATGCTTTTTAAAAGTACCCGATACATACCATTTTTCTGCTGCTCTTTGGTAGTTGTGAAGTCTTTGTCCAGATTTCTCTGAGCCTGTCTCTTCTCAGCTATGGGTGTCTGTACAGTGCTGGAGACCTCATTAGTTTGACACATTTCTACACTGTTTGACATCTTACTCTGGATAGGGGTACAGGGTTGAGCAGGACTTCTCTCCTCTGGTATGACTTCCTCCTCATTACTGGTATGGTGACTCACTGACTCAGCTGCTGGAGATCTCTCCTCAGTGTTTAGCACCTTCTCTGCTGAGTCCTCTGTGTTGTAATCAGTTTTTGGTTCATCTTGTTGAATTTTAATTGAAGGTGACAAGTTTTGATCAGTAACCTCTAAGTTGTCTGGTAGCTCTGGTGTGACATTTGATCTCTGAATAGATGCCACTTGTTCAGATTGATCATTTCTTTCAGATTCATCTTCAGTCTGGTTAGTTCCATCTTGATCCTCAGGGTTCATCTGTTTGGCAATATCAAACAGAATCTCTTCTTCAAGGAGAGTTGCATTCTCTGTCATCTCTGGCAATGACGGCTCCAGTCGATTGAAGAAATCTGCTTCTATCTGTTCACATCTAAAAGCCTTGTACTTATTGTCCTTCCTTTTCCTCATACACTCAGTAAGGTCATGCACATCAAACCTTTTACACAAGTCAGCGAAAGGATAGAACTTTAATCCATCAATGACAAGAAACCTGAACTGTGCTCCATACAGAGGAGCAATACCTCCCCTCAGTAAGACCTCACAGTCATTATTCTCACTCTCCTCCATGTTGTCAATAGCATTATCAGCACACTTTTCAGGATCAATATAGCCTCCTTGGATCTCTTCAATGCCTATTTCATCTTCAACATGTTCAACTTCTTGGCTACTTTCTTCAGGCACATCTACCTGTACTAGTTTAACAGGCTGAACTACTTCATTCAAGAAAACACCCTGACTGCTTTTCTCCACATCCTCTTCTGTCTTTATTTCTCTGTAAATGATATCCTCCTGATTACTATCTCCAGTACTAAGCTGTTTTGTCTTAACCTCCTCATGTGCCAACACTTCATCCTGTGAATCTGTAGAACTGAATCCATCCAGCAGAATAACATCGTCATCCACAATATCATCAGTATCGTCCTTATCCTCATCACTCTCTTCAGCATATGGAATTGTAGCATCACTTTCATATTCAGTAGATGTGTTAGTTTTTTTGGAGGACTATCTATGTCTACAACTGTGACTTCAACAGCCTTTCCTGTTCCTCCATCCAGAGAATATTTCCTGGACTTCTCTGATGTCACATTGCTGTTATCAGTGTTGGGATACAGCTGTATGCAGTCAGATCCACAATTCTTAAGTCCAAAAAAATACTGATACAGCCTGTGAGCATCGCTAATATGGATGATTCCAATGTGATTTCCTTTTGTTGTTTTTGTTAGGACTTCTGATTTAATCATGTATTCTTTAACCTCTGCTCTCCTCTCCTCTGGCAGTTCTTTATAGCGAATGTTCAGGTCACGTTCTTTGGCTAAAAACACATCTGTAAAATATTTATAGTGTAGATTTTTAGCAGGAACGTTTTTACCAGCTTTGGCTTGTGCCAGAGATACAAAGTTTTTCTTCAAAATTTCTCGCATTAATAGGTGTGGTCCATCTTCACAATTAATACACAAAACCTTTTCACCATGGAACTTGATTGGGAAAAGTGAACGTGCTTCAACAAGAATACTAGTTGTTTCCTGTGGAGGTTCTCTTTGATTCTGTGTGGACTCCAGATTGATGTCCAGGTTCACCTTTTCCTTCACCGATTCCGCATCTGTAGGACACACATCCCTTTCCTCTAACACGTCCTCTGGTTGCTGATGTGAATGAGTATCCATATGACCGTTGTCCTCTGCTGTCTCTGTGTCTGCAGATTTTACCTTTGGGATCATGTTGTCTTTAGGAGTCTGGAAGAAGTCGTGGTTCCTCTTATCAGACTCCTTACACAGTTTTTTGGACGGATGAACATTTGAATCTTGTGTTGTACTTTCTTGATCTACATCAGTTGGGAAACGCTTTCTTTTCACAGCACTAGTCTCATCTTCAGGCTTAGTCTGAGGAACACTTTGTTCTTTTTCATCACCGACATCTTTATTTTCTGAGCAACTTTTTTCAACTATGGAGTCAGTAAGCACTGGAGTGTTAGCACGATCAGAAGGTGTTGACTGTGTACCCATTACAGAAGTCTCAGTGTTTAAGATAGACTCCGCTGTAGAAGTGATGATATCTGGTGTAGGGTCTAATGTCTGTTTTATGTTCACCATCACTTTACTGAGGACATCAGACAATTTCTTGATCCCCTTATTGGACAACATAACTTTCTGATTGGCTGAAGTTGAACTTTTCCTCTTTTGTTTTGTCTTGGAGGGAGGATGAAATGGTAACTTGACCATCATGCATTGATGCCTACTAGTATTTTTTAAGTTGTTATCCATTTCATCAGATGAGATTGTAGCCTCTGAGTCTTCCTTCTCTCTTTCAGAACCGACAGTTTGTTCACTTTCCCAGTTTTCATTCAGTTCTATTTTAAATGTTTGTGCATCATTTTCAGTAGGACTGATGATGTATTCCTGATGGTCAGAAGCTTCCAGTGGGTCACAAGGGTTGGCAGAGGTTGCTCGGACTTCACTTTGTTGACTGACTTGTACCTCATTATTGTGAGACATGGCTGACTGGACAACTGTGTTCACATTCATTTCTGATGAATCAGATCCATGTACTGATCTTAAACAGCTAACCTGTTCCTGTCGCTCTTCTGGGAGTCTGTACCATTGTCCTAACACAGACTTATCTGAAGGCTCATTCACTTGAACATCTGATGTATTTGTCATGGGAGGAAAATCTTTAAATATCCCCAGCTCCTCCTGACGATGAAGGTAAGCCTCACAAAATTCAGAAAATGCAGAAGGCTGACCTCCCGGATTCAATGCTGAGAAATTCTTCAGGTAATGTTCATACAATTGGCGACAATGGAGAAAGAATCCAATCTTTGGACCTTGTGGAATAATGGTGGACAATGTTATGGACTTCTGTTGAAATGATTGCCACTCTGGAGATGACTGAAGTTGCTCGGTCATTGTGGGTGAGTGTATTGGATTCACCATCTGCTGGATGCTTGGCTGAGGTCTGTATGCTGGGTGAATTTGAGGCGTACTCAGTGGAGGTGCATTCTGTTGAGGAGGGACGTTTCTCTGGGGTGGATTAAACTGTTGTACATTTTGTGGTGGATGGTACCGATTTGGTAACCTTGGCCCATTTACATTTGGCATGGGATATTGTCGCATCATTTGGTTTGTATTGTAACCTCTCAAATAATTATTCCCTGCAAGTATAAAGCAATGTTCTGCATAAATATATGACATTATGTTTATGTTAAATAAATTCATCATGTGTGGAAATAATAAAATAGTGTCATTACTGTAAAATGTTCTATTCAATTAACATCTGGTTAAAGTTTTAGGCATCATTCAATGTCTTTTCATGACCAAAAATCTTATTAATTCAATTATAATGCAGTGTCCTACAAAACACACCAGTTACACAAACACTGATCTCCATTGAATACCACTGTACAGAAACAGTGGTTAAAAACAATTACCATGTTTACTGTTTTTCAGAAATGCAGTATTGTGCCATATATCTAGGAATAACTCTATCAAAAAACGGATAGAGTATTTTAAAGGTGTAGCAGTTTTTGAATTCAGTTGAAGTCTTTGTGAGAGTTTCTTCAATGTAGTACGATCATTTCTACTTGCCTTGAGTGTAGGTGGTCCCCCCTTGGTTTCTGACTCTGGTGTAGCCTTGTGTTGGAATGCCCTGTTGTGGAGGAACTGAGAAGTTCCTAAACATTTCTGACTGCCCCTGAGTCGCATTGGACATGGAACCATTTCTCTGAGAACTGTCTGTATGTGACCTTGGGACTCTTTGATTTGGTCGAGGTACCTGAAACATTCCCATATCTTGTGAACAATATGGCTGCTGTAGCATAGATCTAACCAAAGGAGCATTCTGATTGGGAGCTCCATGAGTAACTCCAGTATTGGCAAGTGTTGTATAAGCAGGGGGGTTCCTATATTGGTTGTTACTGGATGCTGGTGGCAAAGGCGTGCCAGTAAACTGGTTCTGTTGATTTGGCACTGTCACTGACCCCAGATAAGTGGCTGTGTACTGCTGATACGATGGGTAAATGCCTGGAGTAGGTGTCTGCTGGGAGCTTCCTGCCAGAAACTGGTTTGAAGTACTTCCCGGGAGAAACTGTTTTGACTGTTGTTGTGTAGTTCCACTTGTTATTGTGCCTGGAATTAAAATAACACTTATTGATCAATATAATTCAAATAATTAAGCTATAACAGCATCACTCAATAATTATATGTACTGCAATAATTCATTTACTGCATTGCCTGTTTATCAGACCTGTTTACCCATATTATTGTCTCACAGTATACAGTTATGGAATGGGTATGAGGGGAAATAGCAAGTTCCCATTCCATAACTGTTTTATTAAACTGAAACAATCATAGGCGATTTATTATTTTTTCACCAGATATTCCGACTTTTCAAAATAAAGTACTATAGAAGCATAATCACAAATGCATGCGGTTTAACAGATTGTATGATAAGTTATGCATCGTATCAATGAACAATAAAATTTTTTTTTTTAATTAACTGACATTTCTCAGTCTACATCTTGCTAGAATTCAACTTGAATTTGACATCGCATGTCGAAATTTTTGATGTCATAGTAAATTACTAGTTATATTGTAATAACATTATGTCACAGACTCAAGATTCCTAGAACACTCTGCCCACTGAACACTTTGATTGGTTAAGTTACTAATAAATATTCATGAGAGAGTAGTTCCAGTGAGTAGCTCTGACTTTCCAGGGAGTAGTCCTCAGATGTGGGAAATGGTCTCTCCTTGGGGAAATAGACAGTTTTATGGTATGAATGTTATATAGAGTAATAACAGCTAGAGGACCTAGAGGTACAATAAACTTACCTATGGTGCCTATCTCTTGTCTGTAAGACATTGGTGTTGTCTGGCCTTGTGTCTGACCTACTGAGCTAGTCCACCCTTCCTGACCACCACTAGGAAGGTTTCTGATTGGCTGTAATCCACTGTCCCAGACTTCTGGGTTAGTCCCCATACTGTCCTCATCTACATCACTACCAAACACATAATGATAGAGCTCCTCTAAAGGTGTATGAGGTCCTGCTTCACTCTACAATCAAGATGGAATTCTTTCAAAAATTGAAATATCGCATTGACGTTATTTAATAATCCCTCACCAATATTTATCTATCATCATAATCATATCTCTATGTATGTTCTAGAGGAACAATTGTGGTACATGTAATGAGCATATGATTGATTAGTTTCCAAAATTAATAGAAAAAGAAAACAAAAACAAACAAAATCAAAAAATTGTGGTCCTCATTTTTGGGGTCTTTTTAGTTTGGGTGGTGAGCAATTATCATATTATAAATGTCTTGTCTATCCATTATCATACGAGTTTTTGTTTTATCATGTCTTGTCAATTATATAATGTTATGCAAATGGAATATGAAAGATCCAGTTTCATCAAGTGCAAATGCTACCACCAAGGATAGTGCCAAAAATCAATGTGCTTATTTAAAAAAAAAAAAAAAAAAAAAAAAACTAGAATACTGACCAGTCAGCAAGGGCTCTACCAAGGGGTAGAAATATAAGGGTGCAGCTTACTGAACAATTAAAAATATATGAAGAATAAGCAACAGCAACTGTATTCTTAAAATTTCAAGATATCCCAAACCCTGTAAATAATATCCTTGTATTTACATAAGGCAGTAAAGAACAACTCAAGATTGAATGTATATAATTATTAAAACAATTATAATGAAGCTTGTGTACTGTAATATTAAATGCCAGCCTTCAATGAATGCAAATTTCACGAAGGCTTGACCTTAACTTCAAAACAATCAAAGTACTCATAAGTACTGAAAGCTGGGCTCATTTACAGGGTAATGAACAAAGACCGTGGTGACAGTTTAAAATCAAGTTCAGACATTTAGAGGATATGTTACACAAAAAACTATCTCAATGGAAAGTATAGTATTAAAAACTTTTAAAATTTAAATAAAATATAGCTAGAAATTAACAGTGTAAAATATTTAACACATGTATCATTTTGGGGTTTTATATACAAACAAAAGTAAATAAACACCGATGCAGCAAGATTAATTAAGGTCAAACGACTATGCACTGATGTGTCCTCAGCGGGGAGTTTTGCATCAAGTCATAAATGATGTTCCCTGCATTTGTGTTAGCCTGATAGTAAAACCTTTATTTATAGAATATGACGCAGACAGGGATACCTAGTGAAAACCTTTCGCACCTTTTAAATTGCTTTGTAAAATATTATTCAAAGGAGCCAGGAAAAATATTAAGCAATTTAATATTTTGATAAAAATATTCGATTTACTATTTCTTAAGGTGTTTGAATGGATTTTGTTTTCTCAAAAGCTGCTGGGCGTATGTACTCTATTTTTACTCGTAAACTCAATTTGGCGGTGAAGAAGCAGCTGCATTTCCTGTTGCTCACCATCGCAATTGCCGGGCATTGCTCTACAAGCAAAGAGCCCGGCTAAAAAGCTATTGCAGACAAAGGTTTTCCTTGATCTTAAAGTGATAGATAAACATGATAAAGATAAGCCTACTAAATTTTCTAGATAATTAATCCCAAGGGATTAATTGTACTCCCCTCTCATCCTTTTTTTCTAAATTTACAATAAGAACTTTTTCATTAATGATAGAATGAGGTTATTATCCAATTACCATGACTAACTGTTAAAATCAATAATCTTGAATTTACATGACGCAAATAAAAAAAAAAGAAAATAAAAAAAAGAAAGAAAGAAAGAAAACAAGACATTAGTTAAGATAAAAAAAAATATCTTCTTTAATCTATTTCTTGTTTTTAGAATTCAATGAAATAATAACTCATGGTGCATTGTATTTTAACAAAAATATCAAAGTATAAACATTTATATTTAATCCACATTTCACAGTGTTCATAGCATTCCAAGTGGTGACTTAACTTCAAAACAACTTCATTTCCAGACAGAGAAGGTAATTAATCTCAATGTGACAGATAAAGATAATGCTTTGGATTTTCTTCAAGAGGAAAGCTATAATTAATCCCAAGGGACTCATAGCAGCTTTCACAGTTTACAATGGGAACAAATTCAGCAGTTATCTCGCCTTGCTAAGTCATTCTTATATAAAGTTAAGGAATCTACCCCACCACCCAAGCTAAAAGCAGAGGACACAGGGAAACAAACTTACCATAAAAATATATCTCACTGCCTATTCAACCAACATACCAAATTTGAACTTAATTGGTCAACCATAAAAAAAGTTATTAGGGAAAAACAGAAAATTCGTGGATGGAAGAATGACAGACGGACAGACAGAGTGATTACTGTAAGGCACCCGCAAATCCTTTAAGGGCCATAATTATCATAAGGGTTGTGTTTTACTCAAAATATTGATATAAACAACTTGAAATTTTGTCCTTTCAATAAAACTACCAGTATTATAAAATAAGACAAACAGAAAATAATGTCATTACATGTATTTAGTGTTTTATACTATAGGTATCATGAGTCCAACTAATGCATTTTCCATTGAAATTATTTTATTTTTTGGAAGTTTTACTGAGCCAAAGAAGACTCTGGGAACCTTGTTCTTCCCATGAAGCTCATATCTCGAAAACCATCTCCAGTGTGGAGGGTATCTCAGCAGGACATTCAAAACATTCAGCCTGCCTGTTTATCATGTTTATATACAAAAAATCCAGTCTACAATTGTGGATATCTATAGATGGCACCAAACTTTCATATAAAAAATTACCATTCAACCAAATCAACCCTACTACATTATATCAGTTAATCACACAACCAAATCAACTGTATGCCAAGATTTTGATCACTTACACATGTTACAAATTATACATGTAACTGTTTATAAATTCATCATATTTATCAGAAGACATGTACTCCAAAATGATGAATTAGTCCTTTATCTTTAATAGTAGCATCTACTATAAGAAAAAAAAATTTTTGCCTACCATCACATAGATTCTGTGTTCTGCCATGCTAATTTCCTCTCCCTCTCTCAGAACCCCCCACAAAGTGACAAGCTGTTACTGCAAGAGGGAAACCTGAGCTGAGGAGACCAGCACAGTTAGAGGCACGAGAGAGTAATTAGGGAGTCCCATACAGGGAACCTGTCATCAACTGATCTCTAGTACATGTGTATATAAATTTTCAGTGCTGCATAGTTTGCAATTGAAAGTGTTGATGGAGTAATGTTAAAATAAATTGTCTAGAAATTTCATGGGGGAAACTCCTGTCACTACAAATTAGAGGCACTTGACAAGTCTAGAGTAATTAATAGAAAGGTTCCAAGCCTGGATGAAGATAAAGCAAGTTCTCATGGGAGGGATAGCCAACATTTCAACAGTGAAAAAATCATCTCAATTAATTCTCCCCCTATACTTTTTTTTCTTTTAGCTCTATCAGGTTTTGAGATTTCTCACAGTTTTTGGAAAGTTTCACTGATTTATAACTGACCTCACTATTTCCTATATCTGTGTTATCAGCTATAATTAAGAAACTCTGAAAGCCAGTGTGAACAGTGTGTCAGGTTATGAATTACCAGTCTCTTTCCTTGTTTATTGAATGTGAGAAAGATTTCAATGTTAAACAGATGGAGAATGTTATTTCTATTTGACCCCACTCTATTCCTCTACACCATCATCCCCACCAATCACCCTCCAAATAATAGGGCTGGGATGATATATCAAGATATCGATATATCGTGATATATGTGAGGACGATACACATATTGATACATTTGAACAAATATCGAAATATCGACCAAATAATCTTACTTCTGTTTTTCTTTGTTTATTTAACATTTGGGATTTAATATATTCAAATTGAAGATGAAAAACATTTCCTTATTCACTGTAGCAAATTTACAAAGGAAAGAGAGGAGCTATTTAACCTGATCTCATCTAAGGTAAAACATTTTACAGAATTGCCTGATAAACAAAAATTATTCTGGATTCTAAACTGTGAAGAATTAGATATACTAAATTCTCTTGGAAACTTTTTACAAAAAGCATTACCATAAGTTTTAGGAATATGACTTAATAATGTATGCATAGATGAATGATGTACTGTATTAGTGTATATATACCTATAAAACAATTCTTATGTACTATACATATAAAATATTTTGGGTTTTCCCCTACTTGTATATGTCTTTCCTATCAATCAAGCAACCCTTTCCCTCATATGTATATGTATATTGTATTGCATGTGTATGATTAACAATGTACTTTCTTTTTGCCCCACGAGGGCCCTTAATTGGTCAATAAATTGAATTGAATTGAATTGAATATATAAAATAAATAAGATAAATATAAATACAGAAATGAAATAAATAATAATTAACACCATTTGAGTTAAATATTTTTGTTTTACAACATATAATCAACTATTTTGAATAAATTATTCTCATTTGCAAACAAATAATTTGTTTATTTCAATGCAACAAAAGATTTTATAAGCAATTAAACATATCGTGATACATATCGTATCGATATAGAAAAAGTTGTATTGTCCAGGCCCTACCAAATATATCTTAATTATCTAGGAATGCTTCAACAACGTTTGGTTGACATTGTCATTGGTCAAATTATAATTGGTTCCATTGAAGAAGTGATCATATATTATTTGGCAGAAATATATAGATGTCAAAAGATTTATTCAAAAGATCAAAATCTTAAAAGCCCTATTTACACGGTCTGACTTGTAAGATGTGATTTCAGATGTGATTTCACATCTGACTGCAGTGTTTCATTTACACAGTATGATTTGTCAGACATGAAGTTCATTAATATTTCCCTCCAAAATTTTTTTGTTTACATTTCACAATGGAGAATGATGATTATAAGTTTAATAGCCATTTGTGTTTTATTAAATATACTTCTTCTTGATATAGTTCTACTAATCTTTCAGTCTGTTCTGTAGTTAATTACAGTTCTCTCTTCTGTCCAGCCAATAGAAAATGTCCTCTCAGGATTTCCCCCACATTTTAATTGCAATAAATAAGATTGATTGATATTGAATTATCTCTGGAGAAGAAGGGCGGAAAAATTCACGCTAGTTCTTCTTTATATTAGGGATGTCAAAATTGTCAATAATTGATATTCGAATATTCGATAACAGTATTTGAATATTCGATAAAATAAATACATTTTGCATTATTTCATCAAATACATATCTTCACTCTCCTGTCAAGAAGGTTTTATGCCACTATTTCGGAATAAAAACTCATGTAGCAATTGGTAAATGCATTGCACTTATATTTTTTTTAAATTTTCGAACATATGAAAAGTATACATCCAAATTGTACTGATTGTTTTTTGAAAATTCAAAATATTAGTATGTGATTGATAGTCTTATTAAATACATTGATATCTCTACCAAGCAGAACAATTATCTAACGGTGAAATATTAAAAGCAATTACTTTTTGCTAATAAATTTCCTGACTATGATTTTTTATTTACATAAACAAGGGATCCATGTGTTTACTGTTAACCTGTGTCCTTACAACAACACAAGCTGGTTGTAAGTAGTGGACACTATCATACAACTAATTAAGTAAACAAATAAATAAATTACTCTAATAGATACACTCTTCACACCTTTAAGGTAATCCAAGAGGAGTGTTTTTTTTTTTTTTTTAATTTTTTACAATCTTGATTCAGTTTCTAATAAAACTTGCCAGGTTTTTTTCTCTCTTTCTGATGCTTGTATACTTAAAAACGAATATTCGTCGATGAATATTCGAATATTCGAATATTCGTTGACATCCCTACTTTATATAGATCAACCTCTCTGACCTTGTCAGTGATTGGTTAAAACCGTCTGACTTGCCAGACAGAATAGAGCATGTCTCTATTCCATCTGACTTCATATCTGTCTTATGATTTTCCTATTTACACAATATGATTTGTAAGATGTGGCAAGTCACATCTTACAAATCAGATTGTGTAAATAGGGCTTAAGTCTGATTAATTGAGCTAATAAAAAAAATGCTGAATCTCAGGAATTAATCTTTATGAGATAAAACTGGAGCGCAATGGGTCATACTGCTCACACCTGAGTTACTGTGGATCTTCTTTCTTTATATTGGTAAAATTAAGATTACACATTATGGCCCATCCTTCCTTGTGTCATGATTTTTACAAACTTTAATTTACACTACATTACTAGGATTGTCCAATATTAGTTTGACTTAAGTCAAACATGGCTTTGCTGTTCTAGAGAAGAAGATTGCATGATTATGAATCAATTATGGTCAAAAGACAGATTCAATTGGTATAGTTATAAATTCAGCATGTGATATAATCTTAATAATCCATGCCTCAATAAACACAAAGTTGTGGACAATGTAAGATTCAAATAATATATACATCTTTTACTGAAAAGTACTCAAAAATGTTACAGTAATGTAAGAACCATGTTTGATTTGGGTTGCTTTTTGATAGCCCATAGTCTGGTAAGAAACAGCCCACCAAACAGTCATTTTTCTCCTATTGGTGATCAATCTCCCATATCAGAGACAAATTTTACCGACCCTTGGTTTCTTTTTGTAATATTACAGGAAACAAACATATTTTTTAGGCCTAAAGCAAAAGCACATTTGCATAGGCAATGGAGAATTTTAGTGAATATATTCCTTGCACAATTCTATAGAGTTTCTATGTGGAATTTCTCAAAGCAACTTTGTAAATAGGATACCCAAGTTGTCTGTATTGGCCATACTTCTTAATCAACTAATCCAAAAAAATTATTTAGTATTGAGTCTATAGTCAGATATAAAAATGTCATCCATGGAATTGAACAAAACAACTTTTCTCTCTCAAAATGGTCAGTAAATGCTGAATCTGATGGTCAGTTTATACTGACATCAATATTATCAATCAGGAGAAAACCGAACCATTCGTTAGACTGTGCCCAAAACTTGGCCAATTAAGATAAATAAATAGTATGTTTCTTATTCCAACCTGAGAGAAAAATAAGGTAGTTATGTAGGAAAAACGTTTAATTTTTCAAAACATTTCATTGGCAAGGACACTGTTAATTTTTTACTTTGGGAATCATTATAAAAATATTTCTGCTTAAAGTGCATAATTATGATATGCATTTTTACATACACAGAAGGGAGTGGGGTTAGGATTTCTAATAGCAAAACCAGAATTGTTTACTGCTGAAAAGATATTGGACAATATATTTTAGTGTTAAATCTAGACCCTAAAAAGGGCATGGTAATCAAGGAATCAAAAGAGCACCTTGTGTTGCGAGGGGCACTTTTAAAACAAATGTTAATGTGTTTAAAATTATATTAAACATTTATTAATATTTACATACTTTAACATGTTTAATTACTTTTAATATTCTTTCATGCTGAAATCTTTATTTAAACAAGTAATTAAAGATAAACTCATATATCTGTATTCCAATTTCCATTCAATTTTTTTTTTAAATACCAACACAATTAGCACACCTGGGCTGACCTGACAATTACTGAAACAAAAAGAATATAAAAAAGGCATTTAGATCCAAATTCCAATCAAAAAAGTAGTAAGGTTACACTTGAGAAAGTAATGGTATTAATCTAGCTGAAACATCTGCAAATATGATTAAAACTTGGAGGTTTGGTTTTTTTTGTAATCTGCTTGGACTGTGTTATTTGTGTACTAGTGCAGTCAATTTAAACATTAAACGAAAATACGAAGGGGGAGGGGCATTTTGAAAAATATATGTAGAGACATTTCTCGCTACTTGGAAAATATTCTACCAACAGGATCAAGTGAAAACTATTCTTACTCCCATAAAAATTAATGCCATGTATAATTTGTTTAAAAAAACTCTGGCTTACATTGACCCTCAGCTTGTCAAATCTATAAGTTCATTCAAAGAAACTAACTTTGTTGTTTGTTGTTTTTAAGCCTTTTTATCAAATACATTCAGTTTTTTTTTGGTACACTGTAAGTATTTCATTTAGATAAAATATCCGTTTTTTCTTCAAGTTCAACTTTATGTTTTATTCTACTTTTAGTTTAAAAAAAATTATCCTGATTTTAATTAGTTAATAGTTTTAAAGTTAATTTATCTTTGGTCTTGGGCTAATTCTTGCATAATCAATGCAATCAAATGACATTCTCTCAAGTTAAATCCTCTACCCTGACAGCCTGAGGCATGTTAATTAGCCAGGTGGCTGTGTGCGTGCGTTCAAGCGTGAAGTGATTTCCTGTCGTTGTATAAACAAAGGGATTATCAGCATGCACTGAATAAACAGAACAGCAAAGGAATATTGCCTAAACTGGGCATATTTATTAATTTTTGGTTAGAAAATAAGGGCATGGCGCCGAGGAAAAGGGGCATGGCGCCGCGCCATGCTATATGGTTAGTCGGGGAACTGGAAACAAAAATTATATCTAGGCCTTATAAGATATATTTACAGAAAATTCATTTCAATTTTAGTTTATTGACCATATTAAGGACCCTTGTGGGTAAAGAAAGAGACTGAGTACATATTCACTCTTGTATATGATGGTTATAATCATATACAGAAGAGAAAAGCACAATCAACACACACACACACATACACACAAAAGAGAGAAAGGGTTGTTTATGTCAGAATAGACAAATTCTTGTAACTTTTTTGTCTATTTTTACAATGAACATTTCGTAAAAAAAAATTCCAAATATAAATAACTTTATCAAGCTTTAAATAGCTTAATAAAGCTATCAAGCTGTATAACGAAGTCAGTAGATTGTGCTGGTCCAGCCAGACCTGTCTACAATACACAAAATACACTGAACGCTTTTGAAAACTCATGCACACTGCCACAGTATTCGCGTCTAGAAATTATCGCATATGTTTTATATAACATACTTACAATACTTTCTTAACTACAAGTCCTTTTAAAAATATTCACTGAATAACATGGTTTACGAGCAAACTTTACAAAACAACTTTGATAAAATGACAAGAAGGCGCTCTTTCAGAATAAAGGTTCAGACTAATACCCGCTTATATGCTTTGTGAAAATAATCCCTCCTACTCATTTATCTTGACCATGTTTACAAACCTTACCCCCCTTTTCTAACATTATACTCAACTGAATTTGTTGGTGGGATTTTTTTTTAAATGATCAGCTTAAACAATTGTTTTTTTTTTTATTTTAAAATTTAATTTGAAATTCAAGAGCTCTGTATTGAAACAGGGATTTGAATCATATCATTCAACTCAGAGGCTTAATAATAATTGGAAAGATGTAATGCAAATCAAATACATGTATTTAAGATTTAAGATATAAGTAGCATTTAAATTTACATTTAAATTGGATTAATCTTCAGTTCTCTATCCTATTAGTATTTTGCGCTAATTATTCGTATCTTCTCTCTGTAATTTGCATGCGGTAAATCTAGTACTTATGAGTCCCAATCTCGACCAGGACTGTGGTAGGGGGGTTAGTCCCCTCCAGTTTTGTTTTCTTCGAAGATAGACATAAAAAGGGATTGAATATTGGGGTGTAGGTTTAATTCCCCTTTTCAAAATGCAGTATATTCAAAGAAGGGGAATGGGAAGGGTTTTGAAGAAGAGAAAAAGTAGCACTGAAAGAATATGACCCCCCCCCCAATTTAAGAGGATTTTGCGTTTGGACAATATACTTTTATTTTTAAATTTTTATTTGTTTGTTAGTTTCTCAGTTTCATGTATTTGATTTTTTTCTCTTTCAATTAACCTCCCTCCTTCATTTTCAATTTGCTTCCGACGCCAAAGAGTTGATTTAATTCAAATGCATGTTTTAAAAAATCATGAAAGTAGCAGATAAAGAAATTAAATTTCTTCCAAACGATTGCAATCATGGTAACATAATTTGCGTAATATTAAATATACAAAATTTAATATGAATAGAGTAACTTATGATTTATGGAAAAAGTAACTTCTTTTTCAATCACTGAGTAAAGTTACACTAGATACACAAAAATTGTAAGTGCCCCTCCCAACCCATCTTCGCAAGCTCCGAAAACCCTTAACTTGCGAAGATGCTCCCAACTTGGCTGAAAATGGTCCGACTCAATTAAAACTGCAACTTTTTTTATTTCAAGGAAGCAATTGTTTTTTTTAATTTATTTTAATAACAAAATTTAAAATTAAGCATTAATCTTGAAATTTTTGAGTCGAGATGGGACATTTAACCCCATTCGTCTCTCAGTCTGTCCGTCCGTCACAAAACATTAACCATGGTCGTAACTTTTGAATGAGAAAATGATTATAGGATTGATTGTTTGATGTTTAATGTCCCTCTTGAGAAATTTTCACTCATGGAGACGTGTAAACCAGTAGGGTTTAGCACAGACATATTTTTTGAACATTTTAAACTTAGACAATATTAATATCATAATCATTTGTAGTTATTAATAGTGAAAGTAAAATGATATAAAGGTTTATTAAATCAGAATGTATATTATTAGTGACTCAAATTCGGTGACTATATATAACTGGAAAAAGGACTTTAATTTTGTAAACTATTATTATCTTGTTAAAACAAATTGGATTTTGTTGTTGTTCCAACACACTATAATTTGGTTAATCATTTTGTAAGTAAAATTGATCCAATAGACCAATCAAGCCCAAGTAAGTAATGAAATTTGAACGGAAATACATTGGTATTTTTAAGAGTTTTGACTAAGAGCAATAAAATTGGGAACTTTGAAGTAAATAAGCAATAGAGCTTAAGGCTAGAACTCCTGTGGTGCAGAGATGGGGACTGGGCCCATAAATATTAGTAATGAGTATTTACCTGCATTTAAGGGTGGTGCCATGTCGGGGTTCATAGGTCAACGGACAGACCTACGGACAAAGGTGGTTAGTGATGGTTAGTGATTGTACTTTTGTTTATTTATTTATTTATTTATTGGGAGTTCGGACTTCAACTCTAAGTATTTTGGACGGATCCTTTGGACATTTATATAAAAAGTGTATTTGTCTTTTCTGATCATATTTCAGGAACGAATATTTTTAAAACTATACGATCACGGAGAAATTGTAAACTTGGATTCATTTAATAAACTTTGAAAACAAAGACAAGTTTTCTTCATTGGATTACAGACGCCACCACTTGGATAGCTGCAAATTTTGTCGTATGAACTGCACTTAGGGCCATTGAGCAGGCATGGATCTTTTTTGTGCCAGCACCTACTGCGACACGGGACCTCGGTTTCTACGGACTCATCCGAAGGACGTCCACGTCCCACAGTGGGATTCGAACCCACGACGTAAAGATCAACTCCTCACTTCATGACTATAGAGCAGACGCTCTAACCACTAGCTGCCACGCGGGCAACTAGAAGAGATAGAATTTTTGCTTGTGGCAAGACCTTTCCAAATATTCTTCGATTTTTACCCTGTTACCTTGACCTTGAAGTTTGACCTACTTTTCAAAATGTTTTACAGTGTATTAAAGGTGCATTTAAAAGTTATGACCAACTGAAGTTTTAAAAGAATAAAAATGAGGGCTTTCACATTGGCGGATCCAGAGGGGGGTTCCAGGGGTTGGAACCCCCCCCTTTATTTTTTGCCAAGTGGAGAGAGAGAGAGAAAACGTTATCTGAGAAAAAATATTTGTACGTCTAACTTATGTATTGAATAGATAGATTCCCACACATTAAGTTTCCTCAATTCACCTTAATTATTACTTTTTTTTATGAGTGAATGGTAGAAAATATTTTACTTGTTTTTATAAAACTTATTTATGATATGTAACATGCAAGGTTTAATTTGATATGATATTCCCGCTGTGGCTGTGTTGGCTATATATATGTACCCTTTTTATCAAATATTTTGAAGGAAATATCATAAAACTCTTTGTTTTAAACCCCATCCGCATCAAGATCACACCCCATTTTTTTCAAATTCTAAAAGAAAATTCTTTTTTTTACCACAACATAAGATCTTTCAATACGTGTGTGAATCTTTGCTTGAGAGTTTGTATGCGGGGGGGGGGGGGCACAACCCTGGACCCCCCCTTTCAAAAATTGCTGGATCCGCCCCTGTTTCATATAACAAATGTTTATTACCTGTGATAAGACATTCCATAATATACTATAATTTATGACCTGTTACCTTGACCTTGAAGTGTGACCTACAGTCTACTTTTTAGAAATGTTTTTTTTTTCTTTAACTTTTGATTGAGTAGAGATAGGCCTTTCGTTTTTGACAACAATTCTTTGTCTTTGCTCTAATACACGTAAATGGACTTGTTTCATCGAATGGCTATATCCAATCTGAATAAAATCCAATTTTTGATTTGCTCCAAAATCCTTATGGTGGCGAATATTAGAATTTCGAGCGAGCAAGAGCGGTTTTCTTCTCCATTCCTCACCGGCTTTGTATCTTACTAGAATTACCGCATTCAATTTAAATTTTGATCGGACTCGGATTTTATTGTTCAACTTCCTGTTATTTTTTTTTCTCCTTAGCCAAGTTTTTAGCTTTTAAATTTATTGAAGGATAAAAGATCAGTAGCCTCGGTATATGTTTAGATTAAAAGTAAGTAAATTGTTGCCATCTTCTACCAAGGATATGGCTATTGTGAGGTACAATGGAAGAACGCGTTCTAATTAGTTGGATTTTGTTTCAGCCACCTTGATGATTGTATTCCAAAAGAATGTTTTTCAAGGGGTGTTACAATAGGAAAAATGATGTTGCATAACGTATCTTATTGTACCATTCATCCAGTAATACCATCTATTGTATGAGAAGTATTTAAAACACTGTAGTAGCAGAAACTGTAGCTCTTTGGTTGATTGCCAATTCATGGATGCTATACTTTAAGCAGAGGAACTACTTGAGGAATGCATATAATGAAAGAAATAATACCTAATACACCTTCGATTGATATGACATAATGCTAAAACTATCTTTAATTTCAATGTCGTAGACAGCATACATGTTAACTCTACTGATTTAGGCAAGAGTCGACCGCTTTTTCACTCCATCTTCCACGTACCGCTTTTACCAGGGAATACATGTCCCTGGCATACTATACTAACTAGACAATGATTCCTTATATTTCCATTTTATTGTGAAATAAAATTGTAGATTTAGATTTTAAAAATAAGACTAATAGATTTAAATTACACGAGGATTCCCATGCCAATTTCAATAGTCCTGGCCCACTGATGTCAAACACAAAGACTGCCACACGAGAATTACATGCACATTAGGCCTCCATAGCATTAGACAAGAAGACAGATGCGTATGAGATTTATATGCATGTAAGTCCTCCTTTGCTCCTGACCTATTGATTTACCTAATTTACATTACATTAGAATTGTCAAGAAATCAACTCCACTAACTATCAAAGAGTTATCACAGAGAAAAAAAATTAGAAATGGAAATATTTTTGAATCCCCTGGTATGTTTATCAGACCCCTGTAAATATAGCCAAAAATAAGTCACTTTGTCTCCCCGATTTTTGCTTTTAATATTTTAATTTCACGATCAATCCATTTTCAAGCTATAAATTTTAAATAAGAAAATCAAAATATTTGATTAATCAAAATCCTCCAAAATTCTTTGGACCTTTGACACATTCTGAAAAACAACTCATGGCCAATTCATGGAATTCTTGGTATTGCAAAAGAAGAATAAGCTTTATCGATGTGTAGATTTCAGTTTGAATTTCCCATGGTCTTTTTTTATTACTACAGTATTAGAGTAAAGATGTATCTGAACTCAATATCATGTCGCATGAATTTGTCACTTTTTAAATTTATATTACTATTTAATTATAGGAGATAATTGATGTCTCTTTACCACAATGGAAGAAAGCAATCCACCTGGAAAAGATCAAAATAATGAGCCAGAAAAAGCAGAGGAGAAAGCTAAGAATCAAGTAACATCACAAAAGAATCAATCTGCAAATGCCACCTCTAGAAACCCACAACCATCTTCCTTAGGTGCCTCGGCTTTATCCACAGAGGGAGAAAACAGTCAGCACTATGGCAGTGTCTTACCTTCAAAGCATCCTGAATCTCGTGCACATAACCTCACCACTGTAAGCTCCCCTACCGTCCCCCTGTCCACCAATTCACTGTGCTCTAGTCCTACTTGTCTGCCACTTGCTTTGGCTGCTGGATCTCTCTCATCAGGTGCTAACAGTCTAACAGACTTTGAAAAACAGGTAAAAATATCAACAGGTTACTGTACAATGTGATCTTGGCCTGATTGGGTTGAGATGTTTCTTATATACTGGGTAATTTGAAACATGTGTTTTTGGTTGAATTTAAACTAATATGAACTATAAATTCTATAATACCAATCTTAATTTATTTTGAATATGAATAATGAAATATTAAGAATTTTCCTGATATCTCTTTAATATCTATTGATATACATTATACATTATACATTGTATACATTATTTATCAGCTAATGTAAGAATGACTTTGTGCTGAATGTTAAGGAAAAAAAATGAAAATCTCTGTTCCATTTAAATCAAGATGTGATGTTGCTTTTTCAAAGGAAATCAAACCAACTTACCCGGGTAAGTTTTCAAATGTCAAAACTTGTATGATTTACGCTATGTTTATTATAGGTGATAAATGCAACCAGTGGATCTATAGGACATGGTAATGCCCCGTACAACTGGCAATCCACAAAGACCTCAGTCAAAGAGCGCTTACACTACCTATATAACACAGAAATAATGTGTGACATCCACTTCCTTGTCGGAACCTTGCCCAATCAACAAAAGATACCGGCCCACAAATTCATTCTGTCTGTCGGGAGTGCTGTGTTTGATGCCCAGTTTAATGGACCAATGGCTACTTCAGATGAAGTTATTGAAATCCCTGATGTTGAACCTGCTGCGTTCTTGGCTTTACTAAAGTTTCTGTATTCTGATGAAGTCACAATTTGCTCTGATACTGTGATGACAACTTTATATACTGCTAAGAAGTATGCAGTCCCTGCATTGGAGAAAGCATGTGTGGATTTCCTGAAGCGCAACTTGAGTAGTGATAATGCTTTTATGTTGCTGACCCAGGCACGGCTCTTTGATGAACCTCAGTTAGCAGCTCTCTGTTTGGAGACCATTGATAAAAACACTTCTGAAGCCATCATGGCAGACGGTTTTACGGACATTGACAATGATACACTCTGCGTAGTTTTAGAAAGAGATACACTGGGCATCAGGGAATGCAAACTGTTTGCAGCAGTGTGCAGATGGGCAGAAGCTGAGTGCACTAGAAGAAATTTGGCTCAAACCTGTGAAAATCAGAGAAATGTTCTGGGAAGGTCTTTGCGTCTTATTCGGTTTCCACTGATGAATGTGGAGGAGTTTGCTCAGGGAGCGGCTCAGAGTGGTTTACTGGAGGACAGAGAGGTGGTTCAGCTCTTTCTCTACTTCACTGTCAATCCCAAACCTCAGATCAGCTTTCTGGACGTACCCCGGTGTTGTCTTACTGGAAAGGAACAAGTGGTGTCCCGCTTCTGTCAGATAGAAAGTCGCTGGGGATACAGTGGTACAAGTGACAGAATTAGGTGAGTAGTTTACAGTGGCACTAGTGACAGAATTAGGTGAGTAGTTTACAGTGGCACTAGTGACAGAATTAGGTGAGTAGTTAACAGTGGCACTAGTGACAGAATTAGGTGAGTAGTTTACAGTGGCACTAGTGACAGAATTAGGTGAGTAGTTTACAGTGGCACTAGTGACAAAATTTAAAGGCAGATCCCCCCCCCCCAAAAAAAAAGCACCACTTATTAAGTTATTTGTTAGAATTTCCTCAATTTTCCAGGGGCTTTGCCACTGGACCCCCACCATTCATTCTATTCCTTCAATGCATGTATTTATTCTGACTTCTATATCATTCTTTTTAGATTCATGGTGAACAGGAGGATCTTTGTGGTTGGGTTTGGTTTGTATGGGAGTATACATGGACCAACAGAATACCAAGTCAACTTACAGGTCTGTCAATAAATACTTACTCTTTACCACCAACTCTTTATAAAGAAAAAAGTGTGATGATGATTCATGTATTGAGATTTCCTGATGATGGAATTGCATATATATGTTGCTTGTCATTGAAGATAATTTGGTTTTTAGAGGTCTTCTATTGATGATTAATTTGTGTTAATGCTTGACAGGTGATTCAGTCTGATTCTCTGAAAGTTATGGGCCAGAATGACACAACCTTCCTTTGTGACGGGACAAACAACACCTTCAGAGTGATGTTTAAAGAACCAGTGGAAATTCTGCCAAACATCAGCTACACAGCCTGTGCTACACTTAAGGTAAATATGATTGATACTACAGGCACAAAACAGCAGCCAGAAAAAAAAAAGCATACAGGTTCTAATATTGAAATACCGTATAAGCAGAATTTTTAGCGAGTATTTAATTTTGGCATTATTAGCGAGGGTGCCAAGATCGCTAAAATCGAATATCGCGTAAAATTAATTGCGCTTTATTTGTTATAGCTTCTTTAGTGAGATTTTTAGAATCGCTAAAATTACAGCTCACTAAAAATAAATTACCAATTTTTAAGGACAAATCGCTAAATTTGCGTCTCGCTAAAATTTCCATTTATATGGTACCAAGTACATTGGAATCCCGTTATTACAACTTGCTTTTTCATAATAAAATATATAGTTCCAGTTAAAATCCATTAAAAACAACATTTGGACATTTTAAACATTTTATTTCTTTTGAAGGGGATGTGTGTTTTTCATTCTGTTTCTAAAACACTGACACATTATTTTATAAAGAACTTAAATTTCATCTTGCTTTAACATGTATATGAATGTATAACCTCTGTGTAATTTTATAGGGTCCAGATTCTTACTACGGTGCTAAGGGACTGAGGAAGGTTACTCATGAATCTGTGTCAAGTGGCAAAGTAACATTTCAGTTTACTTATGCCTCGGGCAACAACAATGGAACTTCGGTGGAGGATGGACAAATCCCAGAAATAATCTTTTATACATAGGCAGTCTCTCTCTACATATACACTAGACCTCTACTACACACATTTAAACAGCTGTAAACTTTCGTCTTTGACATAAAATTACACAGCTGTGATACACCCTACTACAAAAATATTTACAAATGTAAAATCATCTCCTGCACATAGAGTTAATATGGAGGTAAAAGCTTTCTTCTCACCAAGTCAGAGTAACTGGTAACAACCAAACCTACACGCCGATTTAAGACAACTGTAAACAACCCATACATCTCTAAATATTGGGCACAGACGTTTAATCAGCCTTCTGACAAGGAGAGTGAACACAGTAATGGAGAGCCCTGACTACCAGAGTCAATTTTTTTCACAATTCAAGGGCTACTAAATGTCTTTGTATAGGGATGAGGTTTAATACATACAATTTAACTTCAAATCTCAGACACCAAAAAATCATTTATTATGGTAATGTCAAAGGGATTTTTTTCTTCATGTATTTTAACTTTAGTACCTCAAATACTTGGAAACTGAAGTTTTTTCTTGGTCCCATAGATGAGATGAAATGAGAAGGTTTGACAATATTTATACACATGTGATACTTCTGTGCATTGGCTTTCAAGCATTGTGATATAATATAGATTTGTAACTATTTATCTGTATCTAAGATATTTTTTAATGAATTCTCTGAGTGTAGTTTCACGGTACATGTTTATGTTGAACACAAGAATGTGAACATGTTCAGAAATGTGGCAGGTTTAGGTATACCACAATTGTATTTACTATTCAGTTTAAACTTTTTGGATGATATATTGCTATCAAGGACTTTAATGTATTAAAATTAATATTTAAAAACAAGTTATTACTGTAAATCACCTTTTATTCGAGTGCTAGAAATATCCGCAAGTTCCGCGATCTACTCTAACTTGCGAATATTAATCGCCGCGAACCATTCATTTATTTATAAGTATAAATAAGTATTTGTAAGTATTTGTAGAGAACGTTTCCCCATTCGTGAAAATTAATCCTCACGGATTGATTTCAAATTGACGAATCGTGAACAAAAGATGATGCGAATAATAGTTGGTTTACAGAATTAGATACTGTTCTTGACTTGACTTTTTGATAACCTAATTCTAGCTTTGAAAGAGTTAATGTTTGCTATTTATTTGACACAATTAACAAAACATGTATATCTTTTTTCATTGATGTGTTTGTCTACAAATGTAGTTTTGAATTTTAGAATTTATTGTCCATCGTTTTATTCGATCGTTGGTCCATTCAACTGATTTTCCAATAGTCAACTATTCATTGACATGCCTATTTACAGTACATAGCATTTTCCCCCATATTTATTTAAAGAGTTTGGTTGTCATGGAAGTCATTTTCTTTTGTCATGATAACATTTAGCTCTTCAGTGTGCATAATGTATGTTTGTCTTTTATTTATTTTGATAAATGTTATAAATATTAATGATTCAATTAAAAATTACCTGTTCTTTAAAATTATCAAGAACTCTTTATGTCATGATATATGATGCACGAGAAGTTTTATGTATCACTGTAATCCTATATGTATACAATCTGTGTTGAAAGGCTATTTATTTAAAATGTTCACGGGTTTCACACATTTTGACTACTTAATGTATACTGTAGATTCCTTATTTTTTGCGAGTTATTATTGTGAATGGGCTTTTGGACATCAAATCGTGAGAATAATAATTCGATTAAGAGATTTTACATGGATTTCAGCACCATAAAAATAAAAGCGAGTAATTGTATTTGGCGAGCAGTGTGTCTCACAAAATTAGGCGATAATTAATTCCATCCATATATTTAGGTATCTACAGTAGTTTACTCATCAACTGCTAGCCTTTGAATAGATACATATGTACTTTTTCAATGGCTGTTACCCATTCACTTTTAAAGTGCCCTCACAAGAAATTTTCTTGGAAAAAAATTAATTTAATTTTATTCTTTCAAAGCTCTGACATTATATTATTAAAAGGAAATATAATTGCATCAAACAGCATCAGAACATTGTTAAAGTTTTTGTGTTCTATGGTAGGGTGTCAGCAAATCATTGTTCTTCTTATTGCTCTCAATCCATACATTTATTTCATGTAATTTAGTGCATGGGACGTACTCAAATTTGAGGAAAATTTTTAAGTAGCATGAATTAAATAATATCAAGAACTAGAGGCAGGATACATTTCATGACGTTAATGGCATTCTCAATTTCTAGTTTAGTGTAGGGGATATTTTTATCACTTCCTTCATGTAGAAACTATTATATGAATTATTACTAGTAATTAGTGAGAAAAACAAATATTAACTTCAGTGCCCCAAAATTATGTACATGTGGATGGTTAAAATTTGTGGAGAAAAATTATGTCAGTGAGCTAGTTTCAGAAGAAATTGTCGAAGAAACAGACATAACTATATTGAACAAGTATTAGGATAAATATTTTGGATTTTCAAAAATATACAAGAAATAGGGAAATAAATATAAATGAGTGTAAAGAATAATATTTAATATGCATTTGAATGTTATAGATCTAAGATTGGTCTTCCATATTGAGATGAAATCATTAAGATACTCTTTGTTTGTATTAAAGTGCATGCCGGAGTAACAAGTTACCAGTATGTTACCTATTGTTGGGAATCTGAATGCTTTTGTTTGATATTATACAAGAAAAAAGGCATATGAATATCATTTGCCATGACTGATTATTTGAAAATAACTCCATGAAGACATATAATGTAAGTGCTATTATAGAGTTTACATATGTATTGTAAATAGTGATATGAAAATGGTCAATCTCATGGAAATCTCTTAATAGATTTTAATTTTCAGTCTAGCCAAATTAAAGTGACTAATCACATCATTAAATCACTTTAAATTTCTTAAATTATAAACAGCATGCATTTCATTCAATATTAACAAATTATTGTATAAAAAAAGAAATAAAGCTTAAAATGTCAAAAAACTGTGTTATTTCATAAAATATGAATATAACAAAAAGGGATCAAGTCCATTGATGCAATACAAGGTGGGAGCATATCAAACATGGATCTCTAAAAACATCAGAGGTGGGATCAGGTGCCATGGAGGCGTAAACATTTCTTGTCAACTCATTACACCTACCATGTTCTCCCAATTGTCATGATCGAGCAAATGGAAGATCAGTATGAAAGTAATGAGCTAACAATTTGAAAGAAAAAAAAATATATAATTTTGATAGGTTATATTTGCTGACAAAGTCATTGTTTTGACTGTATAGAATATGTGAATTAAAATATTGACTTTTAAAGGTACTTGGACACAGATTTGAAGTTGATATTTTCTCTATAATATTACGACATATATTTTAATAGCATTTTACACAAAAATTAATAAAAAAACTTATTTCATTTAAAAGTTATTAAAACTTCAAATTTTTGGCGGGTTTGATTGTCACATCCTTGCACTTTCACAATTTTTAACCTTATTCTTAATCCTTAGGAAAAGTGGTAATCTTGTTGTGTATTAATGAGAAATATTAAAACTTTTATCCAGAAAAATAATTTTATTCAGAGTAGAAATGTAAGAAATCAAATTAAACTCCTTCACAAGTATCGTCATTCAGGGCTAAGAGTTGTGTACAGAGTTTAGCAAATCGAGCACACTCGTGTTATGTACACAGTTTTTGTAAACGGCACGAGTTCTGTTATTGTTGATGTTTACAATTCACCGGGTGCATTCAATTGTCACAGTCTGCTTACCACAACTGCACGGACTGACAATATATTGTGTGTTTGTTTTGCTTTCGAACATGTCTACTCTGAATTTTCTGGATTATAGTATTAATATTTTTCATTTATACACAACGAGATAGTAACTTTTCCTATGGATTAAGAATAAAATTAATTTGTGAAAGTACAAGGATGTGTCAATCAAACCCGCCAAAAAATTTGAAATTTTAATACCTTTTATATGAAATAAGATTTTTATTTAATTTTTGTGTGAAATGCTATTAAAATATATAAGTCGTAATATTATAGAGAAAATAATAACTCCAAATCTGTGTCCAAGTACCTTTAACGAGACTGTTGATATCCTTCTTTTATCAACTTATTTGTCAATAGCTTGTCTCATTTTTGAAATTGCTTTTATGTATGTAGAGCATGTTCTTGAATATCAAATCAGCTGGGAAAAAAGAACTCTTTATGCATGTTATAATATTCATTAGAAAATGTTTATAATTTGCTACATGAAGGGAAGTAGATGATAAAAAAGTTTGAAATAATGTTTATCATAGATTTTTAATTGTTTTGGGTTATCATTACCATCTTTTTCTAGTAAAATATCCAAATGTGAAACATGTTTCAGACTCTTTGGTATCTTTTATACATGTACTGAGTTCAAAGGGATGAATGTTAGGTAATAAAAATGAACATTTTGAAATGATTTTCATAAATTTAGAAAATCTTTGACACTGTACACGTGATGAATTAATATATTGTTTAATTTTATTATGAGAACTCGGATGAACCACTTGCAAATTAACAAATGGTGAAATCTAATTATAAAAATCTATTGATCATGCAACCACCTTGCGATTTTAATTTAATCGTCATGATTTAATTGATGCCTAATTCATTTTGCAATATTAAGAACGTTGTAAATAATGATTCTCTACAATGCACAAATCTTAATTAAATTCGCATTTAAAGACCTCTATAAAGAAAAAATTGAATAATTAATATAAACTGGACCAGCTTGTACTGCTAAACATATATGCTAAATTCAGCATGTTCATCCGAATTATAATTATACGTCTGAATCTGGGCAAGAATATAAAGCAATCGGATTCTTCTTTTTTAATGTCCTTTCATACAAATGAGCTGTTCTTCGATAAACAGTGCTTTATTGTCGTAAATGTCGCAGGGAGGTGTTCTTTCAACTTTTCTCTATCTTGTTTTCATTAACGACATGTTAGATGAACTACAACCCAAGAACTCAGACCATACTAGTGCCGTTGTATTCGATAACAATTACCACTCTCCAGCTCTCGCAGATGACATCGCATGCATTGCACTCTCTCCCTCATCTCTAAAGTCGATGATGAACATTGCGTACCGATATGCCTGTCTATGGCGTTTTGAATACAACGCTTCTAAGTCAAGCATCCTGCAGTTCCGTGCTAAAGGCCAAAGTCATCCTGCAGAAAAAGACATTAACTTAGGAGACTCTAAAATACAATACGGAAACGTCTATGAACATCTAGGAATTCCTATTAGCAACAATACTAAATCAAGATTTTGAGTCATCAACGCTTGCTCCAAGGGTTGGAAATCATTCTACGCATTAACTGACATGAATATATCTCTGGTAAACCCTCAGACGATGTCTCATCTCTATAGAACCATAGTCATGCCATCCGTTCTTTATGGTTGTGAACTGTGGAACCACATGGTGAACCAAGATATAAGACGCCTCAACACACTCCAACACGGAATATGCAAACAAGTTTTGAACCTTCCTTAACTTACCAGATCAGATATTTGTGAACAACTCATGGGTCTTCTACCAATCACTGCGGAAATTGATACCAGGAAACTTCTTTTCTTTGGCAGACTTTGTAGACTAGATCTCAACTATCTTTCAAAAAAGATCTTTACATCACGCCTTTTCTCCTTCCTCTATCAACTAACTGGAACTAGAGACCAAATGGGATTCATTCCGGATGCATCGTTCCTTCTTCAGATGAACTCTCACATTACTTGAATACCTGGCTCTCTTCTGGATCGTTCCCATCAAAATTATCATGGAAATCTATAGTGCGTTCAGCTGTTCACAAAAACCACACTCTCCAACGCAACGATCGAACTGAGTTTGATCCAGACTTTCTCAGATTTAATGCTATATTTTGTACATCGAAACCATTCAACATGTGGAAAATTGCAGATTCTTTCAACGAAATTCGAAACTTTAAATTCATATGCAAACTTATTGCATCAAAACCCGCTCAAAATCCGTTTACATGCATGTCATGCGATTATCCCATTACAGACGTTTTTTCACATACGACAATATCCTGTCCAGCCCTCTTGAACCAACAAAACATATGGTGGAACTCTCTCTCAGAATCGTTTACCGTTCACCTTGAAGCTGAACTATGTGGTCTTCCTGAAGATGAGTTATTCAACATTCTTCTTGGAAGACCACCACTTACAATCTTGTTAGCAGAAAAAGAAATCCAGTTTAGAAAACTGAATTATGTACACATCGTCTCCTCTTGTGCACTCTACAATAGACAGTGCAATCTTAGATTTGTAAATGGATAGCCCCCCACCGCCCCCACTCCCTGCTTGGATGGCTATCCTTTACATAAAATAGTGTATCATATGTGTAATATTTTCTTTTTTTTTCAGTTTTGTGTATTTTTGTTCTTTTTTTTGTTCTTTCTTTTTATTACTTACAATATGTTTTTTTTTTTTTCCTCACATTGTGATTGAGTTATAATTTATATGTAATTGTCATGTCAAAAATCTCTGTAACAGAGGAAATAAAAGATGAATGAATTATGAGAACTCGGATGAACCACTTGCAAATTAACAAATGGTGAAATCTAATTATAAAAATCTATTGATCAACCACCTTGCGATTTTAATTTAATCGTCATGATTTAATTGATGCCTAATTCATTTTGCAATATTAAGAACGTTGTAAATAATGATTCTCTACAATGTACAAATCTTAATTAAATTCGCATTTAAAGACCTCTATAAAGAAAAAATTGAATAATTAATATAAACTGGACCAGCTTGTACTGCTAAACATATATGCTAAATTCAGCATGTTTATCCGAATTATAATTATACGTCTGTATCTGGGCAAGAATATAAAGCTGCTGGAGAGAAAACCACCCTTGCAAGAAATGAAAGAATTTGTAGAATGTGCGACATGAACTGTGTGGAAGATGAGATACACTCACTGATTGAATGTCCATTATATAAGCATGATAGAGATGACTTTTTTAATATTATTGCTAAAAGTAATAAAAATTTCTACACTTTAACAAATAAAGAAAAATTTTTATGGATTATGTCTAATGAAGATGACATGTTGCTTATCAAGCTGGGTAATTTTTTAATCAATATCTTTAAAATAAGAAATAGCAAATTATGCAATGTTAAACAAAGAAACAAATAAATACAAAAGAGTAATATATAGAAATACTTTAAACAAACTTTTATTTACAGTATATTGATTATGTATGTTGTAATCCCCAACTGCTGTAACATCATTTATCTTTTGTTAGTTACTGCTATCAATTTTGAATTTCTGCTTGTATGTTTTTTTTTTCCTTAATTATTACTTGTATGCCCTGATGGGCCCCAAATTGGTATTAATAAATCTTATCTTATCTTATCTTATCTTATAAAGCAATCGGATTCTTCTTTTTTAATGTCCTTTCATACAAATGAGCTGTTCTTCGATAAACAGTGCTTTATTGTCGTAAATGTATGATCCTCTCCAATTCTTTGTATGAATCACAATTTCTATTTTTGTATTTTCTATTTTTAACTTTTTTGATCGGGATCGTTCATCAGGTGTTAACAAAAAATGTTCCAAGAAAATTGTAACTTGCACATGTAAGAAAAAATAGATTGATAAATTTTTCATGCCACCAAATCTGTGAGTGGGTTAATATCAAAGAGAGTTGCAAATCCTTGAATCCGCTTGTTTTATTTTTTGAGATCGGGATCGGGATTTCAAATATTAATTATTTGATAGTGTGGAACTTTCTTACGAAACACAGTATTAGAATTGTCCGATTTTTCAAAGGAGAAATGAATTAGTAAAGATTGATTAAAGAATAATTATTTAATTTTTATGATATTGTTCGAACAATACATCTAGGATATGTAAATAAGGTAAGTCATGCGAAGTTCTGTAGCTTCAGATTATAGATCTACATGTATTTCTGCTTGACCTTTACTTGTAGTTACTAGTTGTAAACATGTCACTGCACCGGTGTAACCGTGGAAAGGGAAATGTGAACTTGAGCAGTTTGATACAGAAATAAACCCTGGAACAAAGTATTCTTTAAGTAGATAACGGTTTTATTTTTAAGTATTATGCGGATATACTTCTTTTACCAAGCATTTCAGGTTTGATTTGATGCACAACTCCACCCCATTTATTTATGCAGGGTTGTTCCTTAAAATTGAAACAGAAGAGGGGGAGGTTAAAAGTAGAAGGGGATCTGGGGTTTCTATCTTAATGGGGAGTTAAGGAGGATTTAGGTTGAATACCAAAATAAATGGGGTATTACATTATTATAATAGGCAGAGAAAATCCCTGGCCCCTGGGTCTTAAGACTTAGGGTCAACCCTGACCAGTGAATTTCTTTTTTCTCATTTAGCGTAATTAATAACTTACCTGGTACTTATTTATTTTTTTTTTTGAAAATTAGAATGTTCAGTAACTTCTTCTACAAGCATGGACATTTTTGTGCCAGTCGACCATGGGAGGTCATTCTCACCACGCTCACCCTCTCAGCCTGTTTGGCCTCCGTAGGAATTATCACAACACCTGACAAAGTGTGTGGGTGGAACTATGAATGTGAAAAACATCAGGTAAAACAATCATTCAATTATACTTATTTATGAAAACATCATAGAAAAGAAGAAGAAATCACTAATAATCATTAACAGAAACATTAGTGTATTTATACATGGTAATAAATATCAGCTAATTAATTAATTGTATTTGAAACAGCACACAGAGAAAAGCAACAATGATCACATTTTCCTGCCAATCATCAAACTGTCAGCAGTGCTCTACACTTATCTACAGTTTAGAAATCTTCGTAGATTTGGAACCAGATATCTTTTAGGTATTTACTTAGTTATAAAAGTATTGATGTTTTTACTCATTGTTTGGGTAAAGCCCACACAAAGAAATAAATTTTAAACTATAACCCTTCTTGTTTTGGAAGGGGGGGGGGGGGTTCTGTCTTCCTAACAGAAATTAAAACTAGTGAAAAGAAACCGTTGCTTGAAGCACCAAAAAAATATTTATTTTAGGCCATAATAAAAATATTCCTAGATTCTCATCCCTGCCCGCCCCGATTTTATACCCCCGCCTCAATTTTTTTTATTTCTGTTTTACTTCGTCTTAATTCTGATCGGGATTGGTACTCGCCTACCATTCTACTTTCGTTTTAAATCCCACGAAAGTCGACATGATTTTGACAGCTGAAAAGATGGTAATTGCTGTAATACATGTGTATATATTTTAAACAAGGGTCATTTGTTGAAAAAGATTGGTGATGATGTGAAGTAAGAGATAATTGAACCTTTACTATGACTTTTATTCAGGTATTTTAGATAAAATTACACCGATTGACTAGGTCAATAAAAAAATTGCAAAATTGAAAAAAAAAATATATAAAATAAAAGCCGCCTGCCCGCCTCGATTTTTAAAAAAAATTCGGATGAGAATCTAGCAACTTATTTATTATGGCCTTATAATTTTATTTTATATTTTTCAGGTATATCTGGGATATTTACCGTATCTTCCAGTCTTGTGTTCAGTATTGCTATCATCAAAATGTTTGGCAATGATCTCTCAGGATTGACGTAAATATTTTTTTACTTTGTACATTTTTAAGTTTCTTATTGGTAATAGACAAACACTTTCTTCAGATAATGAACCAAATAAATCAAAGGGGTTTTCTTCATCCTTATATTGTATGAGAGGGTTTTACACAATTCTGTATTGTATTTAGGGAAGCTTTGCCATTTTTCCTATTGCTCATTGACCTCTCTAAGGCATGTGCCCTGGCCCGCTTTGCCCTGAATTCTAAAAGCCAGGAGGAAGTTCAGGAGAACATTGCCCATGGAATGTCTAGACACGGCCCAGTCATGACATTAGATGCTATTTGTGAGATTCTAGTCATTGGAGTAGGCACTTTATCAGGTAAACAGGTCACTCTTTGAACCTTGTTCTTCGAACAGTACATATTTTCTTAAAGATGACTTTATAAGTAAAATTGCATGCAGAAAAAATCTCAGTGTATATCTTTACAGAGTACAAATTTTAGAAATGTCTGACATTGTTTTATTTATAGTGATGAGCATCATTTTAACATATTATTTCTTGTTTTCTGTTCCAGATGTCACCCATTTAGAGATGATGTGTTTCTTTGGTTGTTTGGCTGTTTTAGCTAATTACCTGGCATTTATTATGTTGTATCCTGCGTGTCTGGCTTTGTTCCTAGAGGTAAGCAGAGTCTCTTCTATTTATGTATTGATTAGTATCTTGGAGAGGTTTCATGAAGATCATAAATCATATGCATAAAGGATATTATAAACAATAGGTAGCAAGGAAGAGAGGTAAAGGCAAGGGATTGAAGCACCTACAGCAGCTTGCCCAGATTTTACATGAAGAAGAGAAAGATGTGAGACCAAACCCAGTCACTCAGAATGTCAAAATCATTATGGTTAGTATGACTGTATATACATTGTGTGCAGCCTTTGATTTCAAGAATGTTGTTATTCAAATTTTTGAGGAATATCTGTTCTGATGATGTTCCTGTATTAGTGAAACTATGAATTTAATTTTTATTTGGATCTGTATTAATTGATTATTTAAGTGAGTTTAAATAGAGAAATATTTTGACAGATTTATAGTTCTGTGAAAACAGCAAGAGTAAAACTGCTGCTAAAATAAGACAGTGTACGGTATTACAAATGCACTTGATATGTTATGTAGAGACCTAGGTTTTTTTTAATTTCTGTTTCCTTTTTTTAGTCTGCAGGTCTGCTGATGGTCCACTTCCACAGCCGCTTTATGGCAAATAAGAAAACCATGGATATGATTGGAAAAGATATGGCCAGCACCCAGTATAGGGAACCCAATGTTTCACTGTGGTCCTTCTACATTCAGAGGTATTATATCTCTATAAATATACTATTTTTTAATTGAGAGAAGTAGGAGAGAACTGTTATTGGGGGAATGGATCTAGCAGATTTGGAAGGAAATAACTGTCCTTGAAATTGTAGAAAATAATTAAACTGTCCTCCTCTTGGAAGGAAATAAATTATCAGCTTTGACACATGATACCTCCTCCCCCTTCCAAATCAGGTTGCTGTCCCCTTCAAAAAAATTGTGTGATTTTCAATGTAAATCTCAACTGTAAAAACTTGTTATGAATAAAACATTTATAACATGTACACCATTTAAGTACTTGAATGATAAAATCACACTTTTCGTACCTACTGAAGGTTCATGCATGTGCCCATTTGTAATGGACTTTCTTTTTTATGCAGATTGTTCACAGTAAAGGCAGATTCTACTTTCACTTTGGCTTTGGCCATCTTTCTGATAGTAAAGTATGCATTTTATGATGACAACTCCATGGAATATGATCTTCTGATGTCTTCCACAAGTAGAGAAACCCCCGAAGTAGCATCACCAGCGTCCACACCTAAAGATTTAGATCAGCTGTGCAACGGTATGTTTGCTATTTTATGAATTACATGTAAGCTTTATGCAATTTTTCCTTTTTTCTCATTTTGTTTAATTTGATGAAGCAGTGAAATTTAGTTTCCTAATTCCTAGACATGTAAATAAATACACTTAGTTTGTCACTTTGTGTATGTAATCAATTATCAGTTGGAATATATTTCAATGTGAAATTCCTTCCCATGAGTATTAGGCTGAAGACAATATTTATACCCCACGCAACTAGTTGCATGAGGTATAATGTTTTTGACCAGTCCGCCAGAGTGTCAGTCAGTCAGTCAGTCCTTTTTTTTTGTCAGCGCAACTCCTCATAAACCGCTGCACAGAATTTCTTCAAACTTTGCAGGTATTTAGGACACAATGTGTAGATGTGCATATTACCAGGAAATTCCGATTCCATTATTTTTTCCGGGAATTTCCGCACTTTTAAACTTAGGCATTTGGCCATACCTTGAATATAGAGATGAACAGTTTGTCAGCGCAACTCCTCATAAACCGCTGCACAGAATTTCGTCAAACTTTGCAGATATTTAGAACACAATGTGTAGATGTGCATATTACCAAAAAATTCCGATTCCATTATTTTTTCTTAGAATTTCCGCACTTTTTAACTTAGGCATTTGGCCATACCTTGAATATAGAGATGAACAGTTTGTCAGCGCAACTCCTCATAAACCGCTGCACAGAATTTTGTCAAACTTTGCAGGTATTTAGGACACAATATGTAGATGTGCATATTACCAGGAAATTCCTATTACTTTATTTTTTCCGGGAATTTCCGCACTAAAAACAGGTTTTGGCCATACCTTTTATATAGAGATGAATAGTTTGTCAGCGCAACTCCTCATAAACCACTAAACAGAATTTCGTCAAACTTTGCAGATATTTAGGACACAATGTGTAGATGTGCATATTGCCAGGAAATTCCGATTCCTTTATTTTTTCCGGGAATTTCCACACTTTAAAACTTAGATTTTTGGCCATACCTTGAATATACAGATGAACATTTTGTCAGCATGACCCCTCATAAACCGCTGCACAGAATTTCTTCAGACTTTGCAGATATTTAGGACACAATGTTTA